GCAGATAGTTCCACGATTCGCGGACTCCAGTGTCGAAGTTCATCAGTTCGTGGACAAAATGACTGAGCAATTGAGGATGATTCGAGATCTGCGGAAGGAGAGTCTTGGTCTTCTGTCTTATAATCGGCAGCAGAGACGTAATAAAGGCATGAGGTGCATTGCAGAGATTCCATTCCAAGTCGGATCCGACGGTCTGGGCTTTTTCGTCGAAGATGGGTTGAAGGTAAGAAGCGAAGAAGCCGCCGTAGGTGTTCATCAAGTCCGAAACATGAGCTAGGAAATATTCAGGCTTTGATGGCGCCGTTAGACTGGATCTCCTTGACTACACTGTTTGATATTCCATACCTTGTCAAGTCTGTTGGTTGGCTTGTCGCCGCTGAAGTGGTACTTGAATCGAAGCTCGAGCGGGTGTACCATCACTTCCAATGGATGTAGAATCGGAGGTTCAAGACCGGATTGTTCAGTAGAAACATCGCGCCCTTGGAGATCCCTGGTAGATGCAAGTTAGAGGATATCCCACAAGCGGTTCTGGAACGAAATGAATCCATACGGTGTCTGCAAGCCCAGCAGCAATTCCACATTACTTCTCCACTGTGCCAACAGATCCTCGGAAAGTTGTAGGTCTTTCGACGGCCACTTCATTTGTTCGAGGTTCTTCTGTAGCCGGCTGGTGAAGTCCTGTTTCATATGTTCTCTCAACCCCATCGCAAGCTTCTCGACATAGTCCACCAAATGAGGGGCGGCTCCTTCGGCGGCGGGCTGCGCGGCTTTCAGCGACGAGACGATATTCTTCAATCGGGCGTACGGCTCCAGGGCGAGTTGCGGCATCGAGGATACATTCTTCAAGGCTTCCTTGCTACATTCGACTTCAGTCAGCCATCACCGATAACCTCCGCGGGGAAACAAGAGACTGAAGTACCTCAACTCATCCGACTCCTTGAGCAAAGCGACATAGCCCCGTGATATCTCTAGCCGTCGCAGCTTGTTCATTGATGCTTCAAACCTATGCGCGGCTTCATCGCTGGCGTCCGATTTCGTGATGGCTCTCAAGCGCCTGTCAATGTCGGCTTGTTCCTCATTGAACGCTTCGGCTCGTTTTCGGGTGGCTTCGACGTGGTCATTGGAGGCTGTGGTGGCAATCGAAAGGGCTTCTTGGGCTTCTGCTAACTATAATTTATGTATTAGCCAAGAATAAATAAGGGAAAATGACAAGAACAGTAGGTAGGGAAGTACCTGTTTCCGTTGGAGCTCATGCTGAGCCCGCAGACTGTTGAGCAATGAGTCCAGACTCTCAAAGTCCCCAGAGACCTGGATCTTGTCGTTGAGATAGTCTTCGACTCTTGTTCGTTCATGCGACGACAAAGCCGGCATCGCCGCCATTGTTGATGTCTATATGGTTGGAACTTGGAGGGAGGAATTCCAAAGCAAAGCGCAAGGTGTCGTCGCCAAACGATCACCGCCGCCTTTTATTCGGGCCGGTGACGAAATAGTCCTTTGCGACAACCACTAAATCTATATAATCTACTTTTAATACAATTTTATTTTATTTTGCCTGTCATTGGTCATTAATGAGATGTCCAGTCCAGCCAAAAAGCGCAAGAGGAATGCCCCAGAATCCACTCCGCAGCAAACGCGGAGCATAGCGTCATTCTTCCAGGGCCAAGCGACCAAGAAGACAGAGCAAGCAGCAAATTCAGAGAACAAATTGGCCGATACGGCTCATGACACAGAGCAAACACTTTCAGATGAAGCACTTGCACGCAAACTCCAAAAAGAATGGGATGAAGAGGAAAGCTCCCTAGCTTCAACAACTCAAGATCCCGAACCCACTACTAGTACTACGACGACTACCTCAACACCCCCAGTCACATTAACAGAAGATCCAAAATCCAAGGCACAAAAGAAAAACACCCTCTCCTTGCAGTCATCCACAGGCATGGAAGACACAATCTCTCTCTCAATTCCCCTGGACCAGAGTCCATTGGCATTCGACGCTGCGAGCTACGCAGAAGAGCTGCAATCGCATTGGGCTGCAGAAGGAGGAGATGCGACATACGCTCTACTAACCAGAGCCTTTGTCCTGGCGAATGCGACAACTAGCCGGATTCGCATCGTCGATACGCTAGTCAATTTCCTACAGGTCCTGATAAAGGGTGACCCCAGCAGCGTTCTCCCGGCGGTATGGCTCGCGACGAACTCAATATCGCCTCCATATAAAGAGGTCGAACTTGGTCTTGGGGGCTCGTCAATATCTAAAGCACTGAAGAAAGTCTATGGATTGAATAGCCAAGGACTCAAGGCGCTCTACGACAGACACGGGGATGCCGGCGATGTGGCGTTTGAAGCGAAGAAAAAGCAAAGCTTCACGTTAGCAAGACCCAAGCCTCTGAAGATCAAAGGGGTGTACGAGTCACTTCTCAAGGCCGCCATGAGCAAAGGTCAAGGGAGTCAGGAAACGAAACAGAGAATCGTCGAAAAGTTACTACAAGATGCGCGCGGCGCGGAAGAAAGTCGCTATATTGTTCGAACGCTCGTTCAAAACCTCCGAATTGGCGCTGTAAAGACAACCATGCTCATTGCGCTGGCGCGGGCAGTTGTGCATTCCAAGCCCAGGGGCGCGGAATTCAGCGTCCACCCTCAACAGGACCTGGCGCGTCTCAAGAAAGACGAACTATCCGAGATTTATGCACATGCAGAGGAAATTGTCAAGGCTTCCCACGCCAGACACCCGAATTACAACGACCTCGTCCCTTGTCTACTCAATATTGGAGCATCTGAAGAGCTTCTAGTGCAATGTGGTTTGCAGATGCACATCCCATTGAGACCAATGCTGGGAAGCATCACAAGAGACCTGTCAGAGATGCTTACCAAACTGCAAGGAAGGGATTTCAGCTGCGAATATAAATACGACGGGCAACGAGCCCAAGTTCATTGTGATGAAAGTGGAAAGGTATCCATATTCTCTCGCCATCTCGAACAAATGACGGACAAGTACCCAGACCTGGTATCATTAGTCCCGCAAATACGGGGAAAAAGTGTTTCGAGCTTCATTCTCGAAGGAGAGGTCGTTGCCGTGAACCGTGAGACCGGGGAACTACTATCATTCCAAGTCCTTACCAACAGATCAAAGAAGAACGTTGAGATCGGAGATATCAAAATCAACGTCTGTCTCTTCGCGTTCGATCTGATGTACTTAAATGGTGAACCCCTACTCGACCGACCATTCCGCGAACGACGAGAACTCCTTCGGGGCTTATTCGTGGAAATCCCAAACCAATTCACCTGGGTCAAGAGCCTCGACGCGACATCCGCCGACTCCGAAACAGTCCTCGAATTCTTCAAAAGCGCCACAGATGTCAAATGCGAAGGCATCATGGTCAAAGTCCTCGACAACAACTCCGACCCGCCACCAATCAACCCCCAAACCGAAGAAATCCCTAGCAACGACCTCACCACCGCATATCCCTACCTCAAACCCGACGAAGAAGGAAAAACCAAAATTCCAACCAAAGAAAAATCCACCCGCCGCAAACCCCTCCTCTCTACCTACGAACCCGACAAACGCCTCGACTCCTGGCTCAAAGTCAAAAAGGACTACACCACCTCCTCCGAAACCCTCGACCTAATCCCCATCGCGGGCTGGCACGGCCAAGGCCGCAAGGCAAAATGGTGGTCTCCGACCCTCCTCGCTGTCCGGAACCCGGACTCCGGCAGCTTAGAAGCAGTAACGAAATGCATGTCCGGGTTTACAGACAAATTCTACTTAGCCAACAAAGAGAAATACGCCGAAGGCTCTACAAACCTCATCTCAAGGCCAAGCTACGTCGAGTACCCCGGTGAGCCGGACGTGTGGTTCGAGCCGCAGGAGGTCTGGGAGATGGCATTTGCGGATATCACGCTGAGTCCGACATATCGGGCTGCGATAGGGTTAGTGAGTGATGAACGGGGACTTAGTTTGCGGTTTCCGAGGTTTTTGAAAGTGAGGGAGGATAAGTCTGTTGATGAGGCGAGTACGGGAGATGATTTGGCGGTTTTGTGGAGGAAGCAGGGGGAGAGGTCGAGGTTAGAGGGGGAGCCTGAGCCTGCTAACAATGGGATGGAGATGTAGTAGCTGTTTCGTTCATACTTCTGCCGATATATATAGGCGATTCATGAAAAGAAAATACTAACTAGTACTATGTAATATCATACTGATGAGTATCACGTGCTTTTCCCCACACCAGATCTAGATTCATTCCGAACCCGGAAAGGCGCCAAAACCTAAGCCAAATAGCTAAAACTCCGATGCGAGACTAGTCCTCTTTGGGAATTTATGAAAACGCGAAATTGGCATATATGACATCATATAACGCGTGATACGCGTCGGGGGAAAAAACTTTTTCTCGGGCAATGGCTGTTTTGATTTCGGGGCGGGTGGAGGTGGACGGGAGGGGCTTGTAGGCATGAAAAATTACTGTATTAATGAGTGATCTGAGCAGTCTCTTATTGCTATTTCACATGCAGCATAAGGACTGCAATAGAAACTATACAAAACAATCAAATGTAAATCCCGAATTGAACAGGAGATGATACGTCGCCGGTCTCTGACATGCATGGGTCATAAATATGAGATCATGCCCCTCGGTATAAAATGAGGTGGCTGGTAATAAATCAAAAATTCGACATCAAATCCAACAAATAATAAGATAGACAACTAAAGGGTACTGGTTTTCATCACGTGCCACACAAAGGAAATGATATGCAAGAATCAAAACATAGGAAAAGGGTATGGTAGGCAGTCGATGTATGCAGATTAATTCGAGATTGAATCGGCAAGGCATCACAAGCCTGAAGGGCTTTCCAAGATGGGAAGTAACAATGAAAAGCGCTGCCGACAGGCAAGACTGGTGGTCGGGATGAGAGCATCCGCTAATTTGTACATGTAGAGTGATCAGATCATTAACAGTCGTAACGAGGAAAATAGACAAAGAAAAAGAAATGGGAAAGAGTGGTCACAACGCCTAAGGTCGCAATTCTCCACCTAGCTGTAAGGGCGCGCCCGACCCCTTCTCGCGGTTCTTGGGGCTCTCAGCACTTGGTGGTACAAGGTTGTCAAAGTTGAGCCGTTTTCTGGCATCTCTGGCGGCAAGAGGCGTTCGTGTAGGACCCCCAGGAGTACGACCGCCCCATGGGGGCTGTGCGGGACTCGGAGTCACATTGACAAAATCGGCAAAATTGAATTGTTGATTGGGAGTCCCAATATTACCAAAGAGTCCTCCACCACCAGGTGTGGGTGTCAGCCCGGGCAATACGGCATGCTGGCTGGGCGGAGTGGAGGGAGGGAAATCCCGCGGCTGTGTCTTCACTGCCGTCCTGGCCGGAGTAGGCGAATTGGCTAGGAAGAGAAGTAGGTCCGCACCATCCTCGTTTTGTAATTCTCGCTCTGTCCAGGACTGGCGAGAATGTCTGGGCGGCGGAGTACGAGGGGGGGACGAGCTCACCATGGAGCTGACGTGCTGGAAACTGTGGACAGGAAGGTCTGGATCATTGTCATCGTCCGAATGAGCATGATATGGGGCAGGCGACGAGAGCTCCGGAATGGTTGCACTCTCAGACAGGAGAGGTGGGTGGTGGATAGCATTCCGAGGACGTCGACTGAAGCCCGGAGAGGATTCTGGCAGCTGATATGTACTCTTCCAGGAAACCCGTGGAGCTTTAGCCGTACGCTCAGGACTCAGATCCGACCTTATCCGTTTCCGACTGGTCGACAGCATGGGCTGCATCAGGTGAGAATTGAATGTGGCCGCATGCTTATTCCGAGAGGATCGAGGTAACTCTTTCGAGTATGTCGAGGTATGTAAAGGGGGCGATGTCAAGGGCGTTTCGCAACGGCTGCGGGAGAGGTTGGACGAGTCGGAGGGTTTGTTGTCACTGCCCAGAAAGAGTGCTTTCCGATTTTCATTCCGAGAAGGGTCTAGTTTATGTAGACGGCCGTTTTGGTATTTGACTTTGGCGAGGCCTAACCGATCTTGAAGGCTGAGGGAAACCTGGATTTGAAGCCACTTGGTCAGCAAAGGAAAAATGAAAGTGAAAAATGAATTTCGAATTCCAGGAATAGCTAAAACGTAAATTCTGCCATTCCAAGCGAAGAAATCCTGTCTCCTCACTGGTTGGGATCCGTACTCACCTGTGCAATGTCAATTTTCCGGATGGTCTTGTCGGAGCTGGGAGGCTGATTGGGGGCCATTGCTTGGATTCAATACACAATAGACGATCAATTTACCCACGAGGGAGGGTATGTAAGTGTACTCATAGAATCCCAAGCAGCCAGGAAGGGAGAAGATGTGAGGTTGGCGAAGGGAGGTCCCAGTAAACGAGAGATAGGAAGGGATGGAGAATGACAGTCAGAAGACCGAAAATCGAAATATAAAAGGACCAATTGGAGAAATGAAGACAATGATGCAAACAGACAAATAGGAACTCAAATATCTGTCAATTGGACTGGAGTTATGAAGCAAGTTATGACGAAGGAAAAAACTGCATTGAGAGAGGCGGACAAAGAGAGAAAGCCAGAGAGAAGAGAGAAGGTGGAGCGGCAGCAGGCCCGGAAACGCGTGCCATCCACAGTGGCATCTCTCGTGCAGTCATGAATGAATGCGGGATTAGACCAAGGTGCAGTTATTTTTCTATATGATTATTATTTATTATTCTATTCTATTCAGATCTTTCTGGAAACATATATATAAAAGACAGTTGATGGTGTTGTGTGCCGGGATGAACTACACTATAAAATACCCGTCCGGACGGTACGGTCCATTACATCGGAGAATCGACTCGGGCAACGATATCAATCTAGATGGCAACAGTGATAACAATTGATTCGAATAGTTATATAATGTGAAATGCCGTGCCCCACGCAAGCCTACGTAGGACAGAAGACAACCTGAAATGAGGTCCTGTCAGAAGCCGCCATACAGAGTGCCTGTAGCCGTAATGCAGAACACTCTGGCAATATTACTGATTACTGCTCGAGACAATACCAGGGTAAAAGAGAATAGCCGCTGTCAACAATTATTGATTACTGGCCAGTGATATCCAGAGAACCAGGGTCGAAATTATCCTCCATCCTATTCCCTCTTTCGGTCGAACAAAGCCACGCCCGTCCGTCATTTCCACATGAGACCCGTCTGTACCACAATCATTTGAGTCGAATGCAGGCCCGGCCGGTAGTTGCTACAGAAGAGTAATAGAAGCTGGCCTGTTAGCAACAAGCCTGTCAAACAGTGTCTTCTGTCCCTGGTTGCCAGCCCTGCAAAGAAGGGATGTTATTTCTAGCATTCCCTGGAGCAGGATCAAAGAGACATTGCAGAGGCTGTGCAGCGACAAAGGAAGAGTATGACTGACAGTCTTGGCTGAGTCTAGCAAAGACCCGGTACACAGCCGAAGAAGAAACGGAATGAGTAACGTTGATAAATCTTGGGGTTGCCCAAGTGGTCCTGACACTCAATGGTGTATATTTACAACGTAAAGATAAAGATAACGTTACAGTTCCTCTCCCCACCTCTCCAATCCAGTACATTGCGAACTGACAATAATGAAACTGAGAGCTTGATTCAAGCATGGAATTCTTCGTACATCGCATTAAAGCATTGATGTACTATCTGATTCAGTTCATGCGCAAACCAGCGGGGTATATATTATTGTTGTTAAATTCTTCATGGGTTAAGCATTTTGACATCTATATATATATATATAAACACCACCCGTAGCATGCCCATAATCCTATCTACATGTGGTCATGAAACGAATTGGATCCAATTTGTGCCTTGCTAGACAGACCTTGCTGGTGTGTTGTTTCAGCCTCTCTTGTACTTTTTGGGGGTGGTCTGAGCTTCAGCATTGACACCGGACCAGTTCGTAAACGATAGATTGGCAAATCTCTAGGGCGATGCTTGTCAATTGAATCTTACCGAGGAACGACCACGGAGTAGGTAGAGACGAGAGAGCTGCGTAATACGACCTGGATTGTGTGATTGGATCGATACTAACCATTTCCGGCAAGCTGTATACTACCGTTACAGAAGCTCTTTTTAAGACAGCACAAGTTTGAAGTACAGTAGTAGTAGGAGTACGAGTACAGAGTACGAGCAAGAACTTTTCTCGGAATTCTGCAAAGATAATGGCTCAAAAACCTTGAACAATCATCACCAATAGGAAAGGAGAGAGTCCAGATCTCGTCGATCAATTATCGGCGGATGATGCTCTGCGGGAGTACATATCGGAGTAGGAACCAGCATTCCAGTTTCATATTCTGCACAAATTATTCTATACTCTAGATAGGAAAACATGGTTCTCGTGGTTACATTCCAATCCAATTCAATTAATCCTTCGGTTCCTCTGAACGACAATACTAATACGTACTCAGCATAACAATGGCATTCATTCTCCGAATCCCAGGGAACTGAGTTAAATGCTGTCTTTATTTCTTTGCCTCCCTCTCCCCTGATCCACTCACTGGCCAAACTGAAACTAGTCAATTTCACTGGGTTTTGATTCGCGACGGATTCAGCACTGTTAACTAACCCGACTCCTTTCTCTCTCTTTTCTCTCGTAGCCGTTGTTATTCTTGTATATGCTAAGGGCGCTAACTGCGATCGACCAGTAATAATCGCAACTAAACCAACCTCAAGCATCACAGCCTTTCTCCAAGGCAATCTTTTTTTTTTTCTTTCTTCCCTTCTTTCTCTTCACTCTTCTTTTGCTTCTTCTCTTACTTGAATTCCTTTAATCTGATTCTTCTCATTTCGTTCGTTCTCTCTCAATTGCTGAAGCGGGGCGGTTGACCATTGTTGGTTTCACATCTTCGTCCTCAAACCGCAACCGGTCGCTTTCCTCTTTTTCTCTTTCCTCTCGTCTCTTTTTTTTCTCCATACCTTCTAATCAAGGAAATCTGCCCTCTGGGCAGCATTAGAGGACGAGAGATCGCTCGTTTGGCCCTGGCTTCTTGTTACTGCTATTCTCTCCATTCGTTTCCCATCGTTGTTGCCAGTGCTACGTCTTTCTGTCACTGCCTCTCACTCATCGGGGGTTGATCTGGTATCACCTCCTTCCCTCTTTCCTGCTCTCTTCTTTGTCATTTGCCCCTTTCCTTTTCTCTCTCTTTCTGTTTCTTCGTCCTGGGTCTCTTTCCTACCCGTCAATCGATCGGACTTACCTCCGCAACCATGCCCTTCTTCAACTTCCGCCGTCGTTCTAAGGCCAGCTTCATGTCCAACGACACCAGATCCAATGAATCGCAGTCTAATGGCGATGTGATCTCTGGCAAATCCTCTTCGACTCTCGATACATCCTCCCACAGCTCCGTTACTCCTCCGTCCTCCATCAAACCCAACGGTACTTCGTCGTCGCCAAATCTCCCCGCGCTGAATGAAGCTCCCACCAACAACAGCAGCACGAGCAGCGGAGGGACCAGCATGCCGTCCACCGTGCCGCCGCAACGGCCGGGTCCGTATGTGACCCCATCTCAACGGAATAGCACCTTCGTACGTGACTCTACACTTCGCGCATGGTTGGACTAGGTTCCTACGCATAATGTACAAGAGGACTAACCATTGAACACCGTTGTGAATAGGGTGGAAGCTCCATGTCAGGCAACAGTGCTGCCCGGTCGCCAGTGCCCTCCTCTCCCTACGCTCCGAGAATTATCTCCGTTGCGGATGGTTCATGGGTAGGTGTTTGTCTTGATCCTGTCTCGTTCTAAAATAGACCGCTGTGACATGTGTTAACCCCACTTGAAACCCTCTCTACAGGTACACCAAAAGGTGTTACTCGTTTACGGTCAGATAGGTGACCCAAGATTGCACCCGCTGGACGGATGTGTCACCGTCAACCATCATCATGATAGTTATCCCCCGGTCTCGTGGCCCGTTAACTCCTCACACTTCAAAGCTCTCATCCACCTCTCCCCCGGACCGAACCGACTGCGATTCGACTTTGTCTCCTCGAAATTATCGTCCGGAAGCTCTCATCCTGCGGTTCATTCGACATGGCTCTGTATCAACCACCTGCCCTTGGTCAATACTGCGCCCCTTCAGCTGGTCATGTTGCTAGGGAAAGATTCAGATGGAACATTTGATGCGGTGCCGGAGCGGGTGCAGCGTGAAGAGAATGGGCTGGAAACTGCCATAAAAAAGTACCGTATGGCTGCGTACCTTTGGCAAGCGTTCACAGGTGAACAGATGTTCCGCAACAACTTCGGGCGTCGTTGCTTCCGGTTTGAGGAAGAGTGGCAGACTGGCACGTTGAGCCGTCGCGATACCGCCATGGGGCAGATGCGCAACGAGGCCAAGGTTCACGTCGTCCGGACTGATAAGACGGTGGCGGAGCTCAGGGACCTTGATATCGCTCAGCAGCATGGTCCGGCCACGAACAAGGACGAGTTGTTCCGTATTGCGAAGGCGGCTGTGCGGGATTATTTCCATCCCCAGCCTGGGCAAAAACAGTATGTCGCAGTCATGCTTTTAGACTCGCACTGGGACAAGCAATCCCAGGTCATCACCGGCCATGCGGCTCTCGGCTCGGGGGGCGACGACATCAAAATGGCCATCTTCGGATCGCACGGTCTACAGAGCTATCCATCCAGCTTGGAAGAGGTTGTGGAAGCCCTTTCCGATTGTACGCGCACCGACACCGCGTTCATTGCAAACGACTGCGGCGAGGCTGGTTCGAACTGGGAATCCGCAGTTTTGGGGATCGGAGCTCATCTCCACGAAGTCGGCCATCTCTTTGGATCTCCGCACCAGGAATCGGGCGTCATGCTCCGAGACTATGTGCGCTTGAACCGGACATTCATGACACGGGAGCCGTTTTCCACCCGCACCAAGACTCAGGGACTCAAGTTATGTCTGCCTCAAGATGAATGCAGCTGGCACCGTCTGGACGTTTTGCGTTTCCGTTTCCACCCCTGCTTCCGATTGCCGGGGGATGCTCCCATGATTTCGGACGACAGCGTCCAGGTATGGCCAGTGGAGAGCGGAAAGATTCTTTTCACCGCGACGTCGGGCGTGGCGTTCATTGAACTATATACTGAGGGAGATGACGTCTGTCACAGCTTCATTGAATACGTAAACACCGAGTCTAGTAGCAACGGGCTTCCGAAGCAAGTCACTGTCACAGAGAACGAACTCCGACAACGGTTAGCTGGAAGTGACAAAGACAAGAAGAAGAAGAAACTTAAGTTGCACGTCGTGTCTGGGGCTCTTGGCACTTATACTGTGGATGATATCGGGAGTTTGAGCTCCAAACTGTCTCTGGTGAAATTACCCAAGAGTCAGTCGGGGTATAAGAGCGGAAAGCTCGGGTTCTCGCAAATGGAAGGCAGCCAACCCGAACAGCTCTTGTTGGATTGCGCCTTTGTTTCCACTAAGCTGTTAACCTCGGTTAAAGTCTATCACGGACTAGCCCTGGATGGGCTAGAGTTCTTCTATGAAGATGCCACGAGCCAGCTCTTTGGCAAACGGGGCGGCAAGTCTGGTGGTGATGAATTCGTGTTTGGTAAGTTGAATCAGGTTTGTACCTCGGAGAATTTGACCTGACAGCTGTCATAGATATTCGACGAGGCGAAATTCTATTGGGATTCTACGTTAGAGCTGGAGCTTGGATCGACGGTATTGAGATCCTCACTAGTCTGGGACGGAAATCGGGAGTGTATGGGAATGCAAACGGAGGTTCAGGGTATGTATCGAAGTAACATTTCACGACTTTCAATGTTCTTTTCTAGGAGATGGGCTGACAATTCACGATTGAATATAGACACACGTTGATACCACCACTAGGTTATAAGGTAGCCGGCATCTCCGGCTCCAGTGGAGCTTGGGTGGACGGATTTTCGTTGATTATTATGCATTGATCATTCTATTTCTGATTTCGGCCGATCTAGACTGATGATGGTCTTTACTTTTTCTATCAACGGATCGCCTGAACGAAGGAGTCGATGCAAGACAACATTAGCCTGTGTGGGAAACTCGCAGTGACAATACCGCTGCCCGGAAGTGCACGGGAATCGATGCAGTTGATCAAAGTCATTGTCCCGAGTTGACGGTGGCGTTCCATGCAAAAGCTTACTCGTTGCTTTTCGATTGCATTAATTGTTTGCTTTTTTTTCTTCTGCCATATAGATGGGGGATATCCACGGATGGTTATTGTCGGACGGCTGTATTTATCTAGCGGCTGCGCGATGGATGCGCCGCAATGTTTATTTGGCGCCGGTGTTTGTTGAATATGTTACAAAAGCCTATATACCTATCTTCTTTGCTAATGTTTCTTTCGTGGGATGGCGTTTGATGTGATTCGGGTGTGACATAGGAAGATTAATATCAAATAATGTATTGAAAGTTGTCGTACAAAAACATCCGTCATGATTATTTCAGTCACTTCATAAGGTCCCCGCGAAGTGATCAACACGGGGATATTATGCCGTGGCAGGGGTCCCTGGACGGGTACGTGTTTACAAACCTAGGCATAAGTGATGAGCACAGAATAAAAGGTACATATTCATAAAACCAAAAAGGCATGTACAAGTAGATCAAAATGTGGTACTTTTGCTGTAGCCAGTGACTTCCACCCAATAATGGCAACTATCAAAACCACGCGTTCAGTTATCGGATTCCACTTGACTGTGGCTGAGCGAGCCAGCGAGAAGGCTCTCCGAAATCGATCGATATCGATATGACATCATAACAACCTTCAGGGCTGAAAGGATTGAATAAAAAGGACGGGAAATGTGGAGAGCACAAGTACGTAATGATTCAGTAGAGATGGGGTCCGGGATATATTCGGCCTACATGTGTACAGTAGTGGTTGTGTTCGGTAAAAAGTGGAAATGAGTTACTCCATAGTTATCAAACGGGATGTAGCCGTTCGCATTGGGAAATAAGGATACAAGGACTCCGCTGTTTTATCTGATTGCTACCGATGATGTTCGGGTGTCGTTGCCGGGGATAGACGTTCGGACTATTGTTCAGCGAATAATAATGGTGTGATCTGCTGTTTGTTCTTTGAGAATTATGAAGAAGATTATTATGGAGTAGGGATTTACCTATCTTTCAGAAGCACGTACTGTACTGTACAAGTACTTGTACCTCGTGTACGGTGTACGTTATATGCTGTACAGGGGGCTGATGAAGAATGTGTATAAAAGTGATATTATAGTCCAATTGATAGAATGTTACATACATAATTGATTACATAGTATATAACCAGTGCCAGTGCTCTGCTGTATTACCGTTGCAAAGGCGGGCTTCTGATTGGCGGCTACATGTGCCGACGCTTAGCGCGAGTGTATTGCATTTGTAATGGGGGTACAGAGTACATGAAAAATTCATATCGACAATTCAGTTCATCGACCCGACGATGTGGACTGAAGCTACTTTTCTATCGGATGATTATGACGTTACGTCGCTGTGGTTTCAATTGCTGGAGATTGGTATACAGACACCTCTACGAAGTACTCTGTTCTAGAGCGCTGGCCTCGCCTCGTACTTTGGACGGATAAATCCCTTGACTCCGGCTATCTGGACGTTGGAAATAAGCTTGTTTTAGCTGCTGGGTGGCAGCAACTCTACTTGCATGTTGGATATATATATGAAGTGAGCTATATAGAGCATTCTGTGTACAGTGCGGAATAGATATAACACCCCCGTATCTCAATATAGACTCCCCAAGGGATAATGGTCCATCGCCACGGCTGAACCGTCTGGGGTAAGGGATGCTCGTATTCGATCGATGCATAAGTATCGATTACATCGACATTGTGCAAAATGGTGGTTGGTTGACCTATCATCTGTGTCTGAGAAGTCATGCGCAAATACAGAGTAGATGGAATGAAACCGAATGAACCGATCAGGCTGAATCAGTTACAGATATGATTCTGTGGTTCTGGACCCACGTGTAATCAGTTGATCTTTGCAGTTGCCCTTTAGAGAGAAAGAAATAAAGAAAACCCAGGGTAGGGTAGAGCATCGGGGACGGAGGACTCCGTCCCAGTGTCGTGCGCTGGATTCTTGTTTCGGGGGATCATTATTGGCTGTTCTTAGAATAGTTGATATCAATGTGTTCATTGAGTTCGTTGTATCCGTGGACCACACAAGTCTATATGAATCTGTCGCCTGGGTCTATATCGCATCGTCAGTATGTCCTACAGCAGAAGTACAGCTACTGTATTCTGTACGGAGTACTACCTGCGATATCAGATGGGGGGGGGCACTATCAAAGGCCCGTGCGAGCGGCTCAACGGCAGGAAGGTGTAGCTACTAGGTGATCGCATTGATAGACTATCTCAGTTAATCTGCGTGCTGACACTTCATACAATAATAACAGCACTCTATGCGGGCGAGACCATCTGTATGTACTCCGTAACGTCTGTATCGTATACTCCGTACTCGTACGGCCCGAGCAACCACCAATGATACGGCTTAACAGTGCCGGTCCTTTACCGGCGACCCCTCTCTGGGTCCAACCCCACTAATCCCGGGATTGTTTATAGGCCAATGAGAGAGCTTGTAGATTGTATGGTATAAAAAATGGGAAAGGAAATGATCAGTTTCTCAATGGAAAATATGTATCAAAATTAGCAGGTATGAAGTAATTGCGTGGCCTTTTTTCTTTTATAGGTAGACTAAGAGAAAATAGGAAAATACAGGCCGTTGAGAGGTACTACTCGGCCCACGTCATCACCATTCTTTTTTTTTTTTTTTTTTTTTTTTTTTTTTTTTTTTGGTATGGGCTTATGTAACCCACCTGCCACAATAGTCGAGCATAGTCCGTATTATTCCTATTCGAATGTTCGTTCTTTTCGGTTTGCTTCCTTCGTTCCATAACTTTCTCAACCTTCTTTCTATTCTATTCTGTGGATTTGGGCGTTGATTGAATTTGCACCAACCCACTTAATAACAATTCCCCAGTGACGTTTTCCATTTTTCTGTGGTCCTAGCTCCCTGGGCTCTCTTATTGGGGGCAACTCTACCGTTGGCTCCATCATCTATCTTTTTAACGTCTTCTTTCTTCGCTGCTCTCTTCCCGCCTCTTCGCATTGCTTATTTTTCTTTACCGTTTGCCATTCTCTATCTCTATATCATTTATATCATTTCTAACCTGTCGTATTCTTTGCATCTTCTGTCGTCATATTCATCCTTTATCTTTTACTCCATTCGGATCTACTTATAAAGACACAAGGGGCCTTTTACCGCTTTCTTCTATACTCCCACGTTGAGCCCCATACTATCAGACACACTGGATGTCACCAGCATTCTCTACTCAACTTCTTTCATCTTTCCTTATTTAATTCGATTACCACTGTTAGCATCGTTGTGTGATGATGTTCCGCAACAGGTAAGTCGTGCATTTGCCTGGAGACAGTTTCACTGTAGTATGGAATACTGATAGCCTCTTTTCTCTCCTACAGAAACAACTCTTGGAAAAAGCCAGACAACGAACTCATTCAGAAATTCCAAAGAGCCTTCTCTGACGTGATTCCTGGGGCCGCAAAATCGCAAGAAGGAGCTGCTGAGCTCGTGGATCGAACGAGGTATATAACCTATAACTTATAACCCACACACCCCCCACGCCTTGCGATACTCGACCCTTTCAAATTCAGATTCTGACCGAGGTGAATGTCGAAAAGCAGGCTTCATGTGCCCAACAATGACCCGAAACCGGTCGATACACAAGAACTTCCTCGCGTGGACCCATTCTCTCTCGTCGACCCGAATGCCCTTTCCTTGTTTTCCTTCGCCCACCAACCGAACGGCCTCTTGACTCCCAACCTTGGCGGCGGCTTCAATCCCGCATTCCACAGTCAACATGCCGGTGACTTGCACACCCCCAGCATGGGGTTGGGCATGATGAATTCGCTCTCGCAGTTGTCAGCTCCCATGGATCAAGACGCAGCAAGCATGGGCCTCGATCAGTTTGGTCAACCGCTCTTTTCAAGCTCGAACCCCTTCCAAAATCAGCAACCTTTTGCCCAGCAGCCGACATTTGCCCCGCCAAGTGTGCTCGTACATCGTGATTCGGGATACGACGCCGCCATGGATGAATCCATCGAGAACTCGTCACTCAATGACTTTGATATGCAAACCAATTCACCAGTGAAATTGTCGCAGATGCCAGAGCAACCCACCATGCTTGCAGATCAAAAGTAAGTTACACTCGTCATTTCACATCTTGTCAGTATCCTAACACTTCTTCAAACAGATTCCGGTACAATGTGACATTGCGCGCTCCGACTGCCATGATCAAAAGCCCGGGAGATATCCCAATCACGTATTTGAATAAAGGCCAAGCGTATGGGCTATCCATAGTCGATTCGAACACGCCTCCCATGAGTACAAAGCCGGTCCAATACCGAACGTTCGTTCGGGTGTCGTTCCAAGAGGAGGAACAACGGGCAAAACCGGCTGCATGCTGGCAATTATGGAAGGAGGGCAGAGGTTCGAGCGAGGCGCATCAGCGCGGCGGCAAGCTTCAAGCAGTCGAGTACGTCGATCCGTTCCAGGGTGGAGACGAGGACCGGAAGGGTCGCCAGGTTCAGATCGAAAACACCTCGTTCGATGGTTTCTGCGTTACATGGACCGCGAACCCCGCCACAGGGACATCCGACTGTACGATTCCCGTTCGGTTCAACTTCCTCTCTACGGATTTCAGTCATTCCAAAGGTGTCAAGGGTATTCCCGTTCGGCTGTGCGCGAAGACTCAATTGATATCTGACGACGGGGCCGGGCCAGAGCACGAAGTGAGCTATTGCCAAGTTAAGCTTTTCCGTGATCACGGCGCCGAACGCAAGCTATCGAACGACGTGGCCCATGTGAAGAAGACAATCGAAAAGCTCCGGCAGCAGACTGCCCAAGCAGAAATTGGCGCCGGCAACAACGGGAAACGGAAGCGCGCCAACGGCTCTGTCGCTGTCAATGACGGAGATTATCGTCCTTCGAAGACCACGAAACACAGACGAACATGGTCGATGGATTCGCGGGATGGTACCGAGAGGATTTCTCTGGAAGATGATCTGCATGCCAAGCTGGCGGCGATGCAGGAGATGTTCACCTCGACCAGACCTGTCAGCAGCCTTAATCTGCAAGGAGAGGACCAGGATGATCCGGATATGTTCCCGGTCCAACTTCCGGGTGGTACTCTTTCCAGTAAGAAACCGGAACTCAGCCTTCGGGGAACCCGGCCGAGCTTTGACGGTGTGCTATCGCCTGCGACGAGTAACCTGTCAAACTCTCCACGCGCAGTCTGGAATCAAATTCCCGGACAATTCCAGCACGACTCGGCATACCAAGGCTCAATAGGTAGCTCCCGGGGTAGCTCTCTTCCTACCTCTGAGATCTCGTTGTCCCGGCCTGTCAAGGTTCAAAAAGTATCGACGGATCCCAATGTTTCGACGGGTTATATTGAAGCAATGGACATCGATCCAACCTACCGGCCGCCAGCGGAGCGTTCATCCAAGCCAAGTAAGTTTTGAACTGACAACCACAAAGTTTTATGGCAAATGCTAACCAGTTAATCAGTCGCATGTTTCTATCTTCGTTTCCCGCACAATGAAACACCAAATGACGACTTCTATCGTGCTGTCTATTTGAGCGAGCGGACTGTTAGTGATTTGATGGAGAAGATCTCGCACAAGCAGAACATCGATCCGAGTCGCGTTGTTCGCGTCCTCCACATCAAAGAAAACGGTTTGAAGATCATGGTGGACGACGACGTGGTTCGCGAACTCCCGGATGGTCAAGATATGGATGTCGAACTCTCCGAAGCTTCTGACACATCAGACGGAAGCGAACAGCCTCCGGTCGAGTTGAAACTGAGCTATTAAAGAGTACTTCTGTCGGACTTACGCAACTGTGTGTTTGTCCTACGGGATTGCATTCCGCAAATGCTCTTCGCCTTTCCTTCGAATTAATCATACACGTTTCCATACTTTTTTGTTCCCTGACTCGCCTCCTCGGGTGATCTGGATGACTGAGAAGTTTACGAAAATTTTGATCGTTTCCATCCGTGATGTAACACCTGGTGCGTGGCACGGAGGTGATATTGCACTGGGACGGCCTTTTTCGGTTTTTTTTTTTTTTTTTTTTTATTATTATTATTATTATTATTATTTTTTTTTTTATGGATGCTTTTTGAGCGAGTTTTTCAGGGCGTTAAGGGTGGAGATGATATACGAGTCTCCGTGAAAAGAACAGTTTGCCTCTTTTGTTGTTTGATTTCCTTTTATTACCCTGGCGGTTTTTTTTTTTTTTTTTTTTTGAAGCGAAACGGTCGTTTCCATCCAACGATAGCATATGGATCGTTGGAGTTGTCTTGTTTTCTCCCTTTTCTTTTCGATTCTGTCGAGTGTCTCTATAGACGAGAGCTCTCGTTTCTCTTTCACATGATCGCATTTTACTTCTCATTATGTCACCCTTGAGGATTTGGTCAGGGACGATACACACGAAATAGATACCCCCTGTGACTATGTTGTTTACTACTGTTTTCTTTTCGGTCTTTTGATATATGGGCGCAGATGAGGAATATACGTCCTGGCTTGCTGGACTATCAATGAAACATTCAAACACGCATTTCGAGTCTTTGATCTGTTTTGGTGTAAAGCTGGCTATCCTTGAGAGATGTGCTGCGATGGCGATGGTAACCTGGTTTGGTTGATTGAGCTTGAGTTCATTTCTTGTTAGCCGAGTAATCTGAATGAAATTATGATATCATTTCACCACTGCTATTTCTGTACTATGCGGAGAAGAGTTCCGCAGCCCTATCCGTATCAGTGCCTACTCTTTTGAGAACCTCAAACCGTCTATGGCATTCGTACTGGGAGTCTTGCTTCCTTTTGCCCTTCATGATCTCGTTGCTCAACTTCATCCGTGACAGTGATGCCTTCGATGATCACTCTTAAGATACTCTGGCTTACAGGCTTATATCGTTCGATAATTAAACCAAGTCAAGATGTGATTATGGTCCATTTCCGGCACCGAATTATGCCTGAGGCATCCTAATTGAGGGGAGAGTTCAGCCTTGTTTACTTCGTATCTCGCCAAATCATCCTCATCAACCTTATCGAACCAAGTACTAGACAGAAAAAATGAATCCTAACTTTCTCCTCGCCCTGCCATTGCCTATCCGCCAAAAAATCTACACAGAATACCTAGGCTTCGAACAGTTCCACCAATGCGACTTCAACAGCGTAAACGACCTAGCCTCTGTAGGCGAATGGTCCGCTCGCCAGCGCCGTTCCAACAAACCACCATTGAGCACACTCCAGTGCTTTGACTGTGGCTTTAAATCTTGTTCCCGGTGCAAGCATCGCTTGGCGAATCAGCTGTTCTATGTTTCGAGGAATGTGTCTGAGGATGCACGGTCGATTTTCTATTCCAGCAATCGGTTCTCCGTGGATAGTGATAGGTACTCTAGGCTTCTGCTGCTGAGGTATCTTACGCCTACGGTGTTGAGGGCTTTGAGGTCAATCCGGGTTGGGGTGGAGCCTGGGCGAGAGCGCAGTGAATACATCTTCAGTATGTATCAGGAGAGACAGTGCGATGCGAATTACATCGACAAGGTTCGTTGGGAGGAACAGGCCAAGAAGCAAGAGGTTTTGCCTGACTGGCTTGATTTTTGCTCGAGGCTAGCTGCGCATGTGAAGCCAGATCAGCTGGAGCTTAGCGTTTCTGGTAGTTTCTTTGATATCGATACGACGCGGGAATTTCTGAATCCATTGCTCGATCTGCCGCGTTTGAGGGACTGCTCTATCTACACTGGACTTGTTCATGGTAAGGAGTTGCAGTTGTTTGTCGAGGATATCGTCAAGAGGGCTACCACACGACAAAAAGGCTATAACAAAGACACGACCGGATTCCCATTCACCAAGCTTCCAGGCGAGATCCAACTCCGAATCCTGAAGTATACGGATCTAATATCCCCCGACGTCCTTGCCTGGATACCCCCCATGGGCTTCGTCCCCCGAGGATGTGAAACCGAAAAATGCGAGGGAAGTTGGTATTGCCCCTCAGCCCACGTCGCCTACTCGTCGTCCCATTTCTGCTGGCAAATGCCAACAGCGTTATTCCAAGTCAACCACCAAATCTGACAACAAGCACTATTTGTCTTCTACCTGTGGAATCGATTCTCCCTGAGACTCAGCCGTCCATGGTTTAACCTCGACTATAATCTGTTGGCCCCTCGCAACTTCAAAAACGATCCGTTGTACCTCCTAACCCCGTTCCCCGAATACTGTCTTCAATATCTCCAGCATCTCGAATGGTACGTCGACTTCCCCGAGATCGAATCCCTCCTTCCAGGCGGGGAAAACCACGGTTTCTGGCTTGAGGTGCTGGACCTGCTTTCTCAACATACGTCCCCGCACCAATTAACCCTCATCCTGGATATGTCGCTCGAAGCATACCATCAGAGATTCTCCTTTAATCTACCGGGGGAACCTGGCTACAAGGATCCCACAAAGGAGAAATGGGAGTGTTACCGGGAGATAATCAAGCCTGTGGCGACTAGGTTACGGGGATTAAAGGATTTCTTTCTGAGACTTTCTTGGCCAGTGCAGACTGCCAAGGTAAAGGCAAGGGATGCGATGGAGGCGGAGCTGGAGAGGGCGGTTATGGGAGAGGAATATGATAGTTTTAAAAGGGGGAAGACGTTGACGAATTCGGTTTGATGCGAGATGCGTGGGCTGTTGATCTATAGGATGGTCGACTGTATATATGCGGTGCTATTGTTCCTGGTCTGAAGGATCACAGGATTCGATAGGTCTACATTGATATCTTCTGATTCGTTCGAATATAAAAATAGTAAACACCAAATATATCTATAGCAGCCAAGGACAAACTGGATGAGTCCGGTCACAACCTGGTCTACACTTAATCTTGACTAGGCGTAGGGAATGACCCTGGACGCAAGTTGAACATGAAGAAACAACTGTATTATTGCACGTAATGTGTCTGGTCTAACTGCTGCAAATCGTAGAACACATAAAAAAGCCTTCCCATCGAAATCACACCACATTATTAGTTATTACACATGCTGAAAAGTACCCGTTAACTCCTAATGAAACCTCATAAGTCCCCGATGCTCCGTAACACAAGCAAGGCCCCGGTGTTCTAGACAAACAGAATGCTCAAGAGCGTCAGCAACACCACCATAGCAGTGCGTGCTCCCGTAGGATGGAAAGCAGCATCCGACTTGGAAGGTTCAGTAGTTGAAGTCGAGTCGGGGGCGGTCGCCGTCGCAGCGTCTCCAGTCGTCTTCGAGCTGGTGGATCCAGAAGCGGAATGAGTAGCTGGCGAAGAGATAGAAGTAGAAAAACCAGATGAAGCTGACGACGAGATAGAAGAAAAGCCAGATGACGAAGTCACCGCACTGCTGGACGTAATCGGAGCCACTGGAATGGTGCTTGTCAAACTGGAAGCCAGGGTGCTGGTCCAGAGAGTGGTGCTGGACGGGGCAATGATAGTGGACGAGGTAGCCGTGCTAGACGGGACGACGTCACTAGCCGGCACAGAGGTGCTGAACGAGACAGAGGTGCCAGACGGGATAGCAGTGTCAGACGAGACAATGGCACTAGACGAAGTGGAAACGCCAGGCACGCTATCAAAAGCACTGGAGGTCTGTGACGCTCCAGGCTCACGTCCGCAAACAGTCTCAGTAACAGTCACAACATTCGAGTCTAGTATAAAATCAGCATCTATACTGCCAATTGGGAAGGAGTAGGATGGTGGGCTCACCATCACGAGGAAAAAGCTGGTATCTGGCCAAGGTGGGAGGTTCGTGCTCTGCTCAAGAGGGAAGGTGGTTAGTCTCGCATGTCAATGGCATTGGTCAGTAGAGGTATTGGTACTCACCAGCGAGAAGCTTCAACAGAGAGCGTTCATCTTCCGCATTGTACATGCTTCCCACGGTTCCTATTGATGTCAGTTGGATGAATTAATGGCGTTGGAGATGGAATACTTACCACGAGCCAATCCAGAGACGGTCAGGAACGACACAAGCATGGCGACCAAGAGGTTGATGTGGGGAGCCATGGTTACTCGAAGTAGTGAACCAAGGTAGTATTTAGATCAGGAAGGGGCTTTGAAGGCAATTATAAGGAAGAAAAGTGATGGACGATGGAAAGAGCGATGGAGAGGGTGAAGAAGGAGGATGGAGGAGGAAAGAAGAGAAGAGGAAGGAGGGGAGTAGGGAGGGGAATATATACGCCGCTCTGGCCGGCAGAAATCAATTGGGAAGGCGTGACCCAGGCCAGTAAGAACCCGAATCGGGCCGTTACACCAAGGCGTCCCAATTGGGAAGGCACGTGTCAAATCGAGTTCGTTTTGCGAGACACTCGTCTTTTATTCCTGGCTCGAGGTTTCTTCTGCAACCACTTGGTATGTGAGACAGCGGGGTCTAGAGCTTTATTATATACTTGGATATACTTGGGTATTCCTTGAATCGTAAATTGACTACCATGGGTATCTCCATCATAAGCAAAACATAATCATCTGTCCCATATAAACACTCATTCCTTTGTTTGTGTCTGTCCAGCATCTGAATCGTGTCAGTGTCGTCCAACCAGAACTGGTCTTTTTCATGCCATTGAAGGTCACTGGCAGTATCGAAAGACTTCATGCGCTCAGGGCCTGGCGGAAGTCACCTGGAGATGGCTAACGAAGTACTTTGGGGTCTACCACTGGTAACCAATGAACTGATTACCCCGTGATCTCCATTTCCTCAAAATCATCACCGATAGCTTCGATCTCCTTGGCCATTGCACAGATCCGACACCTATCCCCAATCCGGTCCCTAAGTAGCCGTGCGGTCGTTACCTTGGGACCAACTGTTCGAGATACGGACAGTGACGATTCATCAAACGTTGGCGTGCGTGGGAATGGCATGGGCGTATGAGTTCCCGAGGAATTCTCATCCGTGCCCGGAGCAGGCTCTGGATGGACGTGTGATAGATGGAATATATGACCGCAGGCGAAGCCGACAAGGATCTCTTGTTCTGCAATCCAGGGTAAGCATTGACCAATCAACACACGGCAGGTCCTTTTCTTACCATTGGGGTGGAAGGGAGATTGACAACCAGCACACCGGCCTGCAGAGGATTTGAACGGTTTCGCGGACTTGACGGTTTCAGCATCGCTCTTCGAGTCATCTTGTGCATACGCATCCTCTTTCTCCTCATTTTCGACTATGTTGAACTTGATTCCTCGTTTCTGGCCCTTTCGCAGTTGATCCATCCCTACCGCAACCTCACTCTGAAGGACTTTTGCGGCGCCTTGACTGATACTCGCTTGGAGATCATGTTCGCGGATCATACGAGTGAGACCCTCCCGCAAGCCCTCAATCTCCAGACCACTAGGAATGCGCCTAACGAGCTTTATTGGGTCAATCGCGGTCCCTGCTTCTACAAGCAATCCGTGAATGAAACGGGGTTTATCCATCGAATAGTCGAGAAGATCTTCCCAGAGGTCTGGGTCGTCTTGTGACTTAGCAAACGATATGGCTTTCGAGACATCCTTCAGATCCGAAAGTATGAGGTTCAATGCCCGTTTGGTTTGACCCATTTTCGATAGCAGGTAGATAAGTTCTGGGGTGTAGCGACGGGTTTCGCATATGGAACTTGCTGTCTCAAACGAGTAAGCAGTGCTGGTCTGTAGGAATTCCATCAACAATGGCCTGTCGTAATCAGCGAACAACTCCACAGCCGTATCCGCAAAGTGATCAATTAATGCTTTTCCTTCATCGGCTGCCAATTTATTCGCTGCGTCCCGTACACGAGCTCCACGGCCCCTACGAGGCTTTGTGGCCTCGTGGGGAAGCGATTCTCCCCGCCAGAGAGCCCGCAAGTAGAAATAGAGATAGAGTAAGCGGTTCTTAGCTTGCAGCTGGGTGACCACTGTCTCTGGACGAACGATGCCTGTGTACGCTTCGCTAACGAGGACTTTTATAGGCTCTGCCGTTGCTTCTTCAAGCTCAGGAATGGGCGCCGATTTCAACTGTTCTTTGGTTACGCGAATCAAGATAAAGGCCGGAATATCGTCAGAAACAGCGTCCAGAAGACGGTGTTCCCTAATCAACGACATCACCGTATCTGCATCTTGGAGGCGGATATAGCAGCGCAATGCTTCATGATAGTGGCCTTCCACCAAGTAGAGCTTAGCAAGGCATTTCATGAGAATACGCCAATCTTCGGAATCTGGCACTGTAGAGTCAGATTGAAGTTGCTTTTCTATGGCTTTCCCCACGTTTTTGGCGTCGAACAGGTCTGATGGCCATGAATCGACGAGCTCTTCCAGTCTGCGTCGATCTTGTGGGACATAATGCAAAAGAACGGTATCGTAAATGGCTGACGATAGTGGTGGATGCAGATGAGTAGGGATATGTGGAGATATTTCATCGAGCTTCTTGTTATCGATAAATCTCCAAGCCCAGTGCTCCCATCTAGGAGCGGTATTGACCACTTTAGCGCATATCTCAGCAGCCTCGGTCCACTTCTCTTCCTTGACAAGCCGCTCAACCCATAGCTCACCAATCCGGCGCTTCTCCTGGTCGGCTGCAGAGTTCACTGCTCGGCCTGTCGTTGTAATCGATGACCGGTCGTCTGCAAAGAAATCACCAAGGCTGCTCTGCTTTGTTGGGGTTTCAGAGACGTTATCATTAAGTTGACTCGCAGATCCAGCTGCCTCTGGATGCTCATCGACAAGTTTCCAGGCTTCCTCGTATTTCCCACGTGCGTCTAACCACGCCAGACGATCTGTGAGATCTCTCTTCAGAGAAACGACGCAATCGAAGGGACTCTGAATGAAAATTCGCGATCCGGTAGCTCCTGCAACGTCCTGCAACTCTTTGGGAGGGGGATCGTCGTTGAAGAGCCTTCGTGAAGATATGGTGTCTGCCGCCCTACTTGAGCGCCTATCGCCACTGCTCGTGGTACTACGGATACTTCCCGCAGAGCTGAACAGACGCGCAGGATACATCGTTGCATCCCAGAGACCGTTCCCAATAGCACCCAATGTTCCGCGTTGGGTAATAGGAACAGGCGTCTTCCAAGGAGGTAAAATGGACATGTGGTAGTCCGAGGAAGTGAGACTTTCATATCGACTGACGGAGAGCGTGTCAGCGCTGAGCTCTTCCTTGCTTTCAATGTCGATGATCCGAAGTTCAGGCTCTAGGCCCTTTTGGCGTCGGTGAGTCCCAGGACGAAGAACACCATGTTTGGACCGCTGTTCTGAAGCGTCATCTTCCGCCTCGATATGTGCAAGTACCATAATGAGGCGGGGAGTATATAAAGAGATCCCGGATATAACACAATCCGTCCGTAATCTGGAATTGGTTTAGCAGCGATCCTTCACGATGGCAAATTCAGGGAAGCGTACACTGTGGAAACCTCCACGGAACCGGGCCTGTGGTCTCGAATATTCTTGTTCGGTCGATCGGGGTAGACATGGATAACCCAAACTGTACCTCCCCAGCCAACAATCAACTTCTCTACCGTTTCTTGTGCCGAGGCCGATTTAGGTGATTTGGCATTCTCGTGAGAGGCATCAACCCTGGAAACCGGATCGTCCAGGCTATCTAAGGAGCCTTCATCAATCCACTCAGCCCGGGCTTCCCAAACACCGGCCATTTCCTCCCAGCCGGGAAGGTTTGGACGATCTATGTGACCGACTCGTTTCCAGGCAAGGTCCAGATCTGCGGAATCCAAATGCAGATTCGATCGCATGATCTTGATACCCTCCTCGTTGACCCAAGTGACATATTTTCCAGACAACGACCATCTTATCACGCTGATAGACCCTTCTCCGCTATGTAGGACTGTATCCTTGCCGTTGTTTGCCCCCAGGCCTATCGAGCCTAGCCAGCTGGAAGCTGCTGCTGCAGCACCCCCCATTGTGGTTGAATTTGAGCTTGCTCCCACCCGACCGCCTGTGGTAAGAATGAGATCGCCCGCGCGCCCACCTGACAGAAATGTCTTGTCAATCTTGTAGTCGGGGGACAATGCGACCGCTTGGACAGGCCGGCCAAAGTTCCGTAGTATGACATCTCTTGGGTCCACCAATGACGAAACGCATACATTCCCATCGATGGAAGAGGTGGCAATGTATATTGAGTTCGAAGGTGTCGCGGGGACAGTCGCTTGCTGGCTCCTCGGTTGTCCTCGAAGACTGGCAGAACTGGAGGAAGACCTGTTGGGGAGCTGGTCTTCAGCGAAGGTGGAGGCCCTGGTCAATGGTTCCGGTTTGAAAGTCGGCAAGGGGGGAGGAAACGGTGAGACTGAGATAGACGTGACGCTTGCTGAATGGGCATGGTATACACGAAGGGATTGTAGGAGAGGCAAGGACAGCACATGCTATGGGGGGTCAGCCATTGGGTCATGTTGGTTCGGCGTTCACGACTTACAATGTTGCCATTATGCGTTCCGATCACCTAGACCATTTTTCAGTATACCGAATCCATTAAGAGTATCTCGAAAGTCATACCATCTTGTCTCCTGCGGTGATGAATGAGCTTGTTGCATCGCCATTCCGGTATACTGAGCCCAGATGTTTCGTCAGGTACGCATATTTGAGCCGTGGCTCCTCGTCATCTTCGTCCTCCTCACTACCACCATCCTCTTCTTCTCCTTCTCCTTCATCCTCCCCGTCCTCTGTGCTTTCCTTATCGCCATTGTTGTCTTGTCCGTCCTCAATCGGTGTCGGTCGATCATCGCGATAGTGCTCGTCGCTGGTTTCGTTGGTACTCTGTGGGATAGATGCTTCGTGCTCGGAATTTGCCTGGCTAGCACTGTCTGCTGCCTCCGTCGCGCCAGGCGCGTCCATGGCGAGAGCCTTTTTCCGTGCCTGGGGCTGTTCAAGCAGCTGCAGCCCAACAATGTCGTCAGTCCAGTTGTCAGCCTGGGGTAGTTGATCGGAGGAGGCGCTGACTCAGCAGACTCCCAATGTTCTTTTTTCCGCGACGCCGACGATTATTCACAGAATTGTCCCGTAGCAGTCTAGCGATTTCCAGTCCTATCATCCGGACCTGTCATGGATCTGAGTGCTAATGATCGCCCGCTTTTCGCGTTGTCATTCTTCAGTACAGACTAAAACGCCGCCACACGATGTTCCCGAGGCCATACCTCTGTTCGGCCTGGAAAAGGCCCGCGTTGAGACTACCCCAAAGCCAGTTTCCTCGAGATTTTTCTCCAAGGAATGGTTTCTTTTCATCTGTTGCATATCTCAGGCAGAAGCAATCTAATAAGGATGGCGACGTTTCTGAAGAGTGGTCTTCCGAATTGCAGAAACAGCGGAAGAGGGGTGGTAGATCTCCGGCAGCCCCAACTTCGTTACGAAGAGTAGCTGTGGAAGCACAAAGATCCAAGGACAGTTTTATTTCGAAGGCTCAGCTCAAAGAGCAAGGCTTCTATCAGACTAAGGTTTCAGTAACCAAACGCTGTGATAAACTCCTTTACTGATGTTTATTTTCTCGAATCAAGACAGTGACAGCGTATGCCGTAGCAGAAAAATTTGACATTCGCAAAGTCAGAGAACTCCTCCAATATCGGGGCTTTGAGCCCGACCCTCTCGAGACCGGCCTATATCCCCAAGTCGTCCATGTTCAAGTGCCGCTAGACTCGATACGTCGTATGAGCAATCCAACCGCAACAGATCTCCCTCCTGATGAGGTAGGGGACGTCTTCATATTCCCGTCAGGCACAGTCGTGGCATGGTCGCTACCCGAAGGGTTCACCTCCTTTCTGGCAACTAGGACACTACTTCCAGCGGCGGAGGGAGAACATGCGGAGGATCTTGAAACTGAAGACCTCGAATATGTGGAAGACGGCAGCCGAGAGAACAGCAGCATCCGGGGTGACACAATTATACTTGGGACCAAACTAGGGGGGATGGAATCCGGCTTGCAGCTTCCACCTGGTCGGCAATCTATCGATACAGTCCTGACCAAAGTTGCATTTTCTTCAGGATTAGCTCGGAGCACAAAGTTGGCAGTGCTGGAGGCTCTCCTTGCGAACTACTTTGAGTCTACTCGAACAATTCCAACACTTTTGTCGAGAGGCGCACGTCTTCCATACACCCGGGACTTTATCCTGCGCAAAACCGGTCAGCTTCTCAGTGTCCGCGCCCAACTAAATCTTTATTCGGAGCTCACGGACTCTTTGCCTGATCTCTTCTGGGATAGCCGACATGAACTTGGTCTGGAAGGATACTACGAACAGGTAGGGAGGGCGTTGGACGTGGGCATTCGCATCAAGCTCTTGAACGAGAAGATGGATTATGCGCAAGAAATAGCGAGTGTTCTCCGGGAAAGACTGAGTGAAACCCATGGTCTTCGACTCGAATGGATCATTATTCTGCTCATTGCAGTTGAGATTGGCTTTGAAATTCTCCGACTGTGGAAAGAGCGGCTTCATGAGACGGAGGACAGACATTAGACCAGCCTGAACAAATGGGTCTATCGTGATATATATGCGATGATGTATGAGTGTTGATACCCGTGTACTATAAGATTCTATCTCCTTAGGAATTGAGACTGCATAGACAACCTCCGTACGGCGAGCGGAACGATGCTCCGTACTCCATTTCCCCAGACTGATAAGCCGCTTATCAGTCGGTGAGAGTCACATGTGACAGGGTGATTAGTCATTATCGTCATGGGAATGACGCTGCATTCACGTGGGCCAGCATCATTGTCTGGTCAACTGTTCGATTCTCTCCTCTTAAATTGATTTGTTTGGATGAATTAAGAGAGGTTTGGAGCGTTACTTTTGTTATCTCAATTTGGTGCTGCTACCACGCTCATCATCGAACGCGCGAAACGCATCTAGTACAACAACGGTATCAATTCCTCGACAACCGCAATGGAATCGTGGGCCTTTTTTACAGGGGTCCCAGGACCACAGAGAGTCCTGAAAGCTCTTACCGGTAGCCTGGGACTTTCCTCATTGACAGAATTGTACAACCCGACGACAGAAGTTACCACACACCGAACATGCGCCAAAGAAGAAGTGAGCTGTCAAACCCGGTACAGCGGCCAGGACACTTGCTGCTTCAACTACCCTGGTGGACAGTTGCTTCAGACGCAATTCTGGGATACTGATCCTGCTCTTGGGCCTGATGATTCTTGGACTATTCATGGACTCTGGTGAGACTTCATTCTCTGAGATTGGGTAGAGATACAAAGCGTCTGAATCACCAGTCACTAATTGGAAGATGCGTCTAGGCCGGACCATTGCGACGGTGGCTTTGATCAGTTTTGCGATTCGAGGAGACATTACAATAACATCTCGTTGATATTGGTGGATTCAGGCCGGAGGGACCTTCTGGAGTATATGGACGTCTACTGGAAGGACTTCAAAGGAGACGATCTAGATTTGTGGGTTCATGAATGGAACAAGCATGGTACACCTCCGCCTTTACTATTTTAATTGAAAGGGCATAAATTAACTCGGATAGGTACCTGTATCAGCACATTGGAGACCCGCTGCTACGACGAGTATTACCCGCAGCAGGACGTTGTGGATTATTTCGACAAGGCGGTTGAGATCTTCGGGGAATTACCTTCATATAAGGTTCGTGTTTTCGATTTAATTAAGCTGTCATCTAGCCACGAAGCTCATTAACACTGTTGCAGTTCCTCGCCGACGCCGGAATCGTTCCATCCCATACGAAAACCTACACTTTGGCTGAGATTGAGGATGCTCTTGCAAAGGGCCACGGAAGCGACGTTACCGTTAGATGCCACAGCCATTCTTTGAATGAGATTTGGTATCATTTCAATGTCGCCGGTACTCTGCAGACGGGTGACTTTGTTCCCTCCTCTCCAGGTTGGTTAACTCCTATCCTGTCTTCTATGTTCATCAGAGCATCCACTAATATCTGTATGCTAGATGGTCTGAAGTCCAACTGCCCTACAAAGGGCGTCCGTTACCAGCCCAAGAGGTCTCAACCAGAGCCAACCAATACAGCAACGAAGACCGCAAGACCAACCGCTACTCCTGGTATCCCATTCCAAGGACAGGGCAATCTGAAGGTCTCGACTCAAGGTTCGGGACGGGGTTGTATAATCAGCTATGGCACCTGGTTCTCATCTGGAACCTGTGCGACGTTCAGAGGAGAGAAAGTCAGGGGTCAGTTCTTATTTTTCGGGAACACTCATGTCTAGGCTCAGTACACTGACAGCTCCTTCACAGATGGCACATTCACCTTGACATCAAGCAGGGGGAAATGCTCCTTCGAACAGGATATTCTGACCTGTGGAGCACACATCGACAACCCAATGGAATTCGAGGTAAGCCCTGCCGTCTCTCCTTCTCATTCGTCCGCAAACTTACCTGAGAACAGATGATCGACGGAAAACTCGCCTACAACGGAAACACAACGTTCTATGCGGACAAGCCACCCAAGGGCTACACACAGAGTGATGTCTTCGCTACTCAGGGAGAGCATCCGGTTGAGCTGGATATTACCTGGAAGGAGCGCGAGTGATTCTTATTGCATTGTTTCTATTCTGATACCACTTGTTGGCCTTGGAACTCTTCGAGAATAAACATATTATAAGTTGCATCACCAGGCCATCGTCATCGTACTATGACTATTAAGATTCAAGAATACTATAACGAATTCATTTATTCTTTTTTTTTACGTTTATTCTTTTTTGATAAATCATCATCATAAACATAAAGTATGAAACTAGAGTACAGGTCATCACCATCACCACCAGAGGATTAGAGCATATCTGCGTGCCAAAACATAGGAGAAAAAAAACAAAGAAAAAACAAAAACGCAACCATTTAGTACAATCTTTCCAACACAAGCCCAAAAGACATATCACATAAATATCAAGCAAATGAACACAGAAATCCAGAAATCCAGAAATCCACCAAAACAAAGGAAAAACGAGAGGAAAGGCCCGCAGAACTCCATATACCCTCTAATAACCAAAAGTCCGCTAGTCCCAAGGCCAATAAGAATAGTCGTTGTAGTACATGTATGTGCTGATCGAAAGATATCCAAGAAATTATATCCTTTTTTTGTCTGTTTCGTTTTTCGGTTTTCGGTTTCCCATCACAGTGATCATTCATTCACAAGAATTGAAATCGTTGAAAATATCGTGGGTAGAGTTGATACATAAGCAGGTATGCAATTTTTCCAGTCGTCGAATCCAGAAGTCGTTTAAGAGTTCGCGCGTCGGTCCATGAATAGCGTCGTGTCGTGTCGTCGTCAAATATGCCATTCTATTTGCTTTTTAAGTTGTCTCAAATGCTTGTCGTTCGTCTCATTCGTTATAGTCGTGCGTCGTTCCCATTTATGCCATGAAAAACTCCGAGGGCTGCTCATCATGGAGATGAAAAGAGAAGAAATCGTCATCCATAGCGGGAGCAGTCGTGAATGTCTTTCCGGGGAAGAAATCCATACCTGGCCCGTCGAGAGCGGCAGTGTTGACATAGTCCGGGAATGCAGCCATCGAAGCATCCGTCAGAGGTGGGAAGTCATTGTCAAAGCCACTTGTTGTTGTTGTTGTTGTTGTTGTTGCATCCTGGTTGATGAAGATGTCCAGGTCCGACTCGTGAGTGGAATCGGCCAGCGTTGGTGCGGTGTGAGGCGAAGAGAGATTGTTGTCGTTGGACGATCTGCTGGCATCAGGGTAGCGGCAGGATTCAGCGTCCGTGATGAAAGGCAGACTAGGCCCCTCGTCGATCTTCTGCATTGACTGCTTCGAAGGCAACATCTCATCCTCTGTGCAAGGTGTGAGAGAACGCGGGTTGCAGTGAGGCGAGGGTTTGTTGCCAGTGCTGCAACCGGGGGATGCGGGAGGAGTGAAGGTAAAGGCCTCTGGCGGCAACGCGGAGTAGTTAGGCGTGTGAAACATCGGCCCGTTGATAGGGCTGGATCCACGGAGACTCATGTTCTCAAAGACCTCTGACGGTGGTGTACTGCAAGAGAAGTTCGACGATCCGGAGACAGAACTCGAGGAAGAAGTCTTCTCGGCGATGCGTTCGCGAGTACGACATGCCTTGTCCTGTCGTTCCTCCATTTCGGGGCGGTGCTTCTTGGGACGGCCGCGCTTTGTGGTCTTGCGCACAATACCCTTGTATCCTCCGATGCACATCCCGCGCTGACGGTGACGAGTCAAGGCATCATGGCGGGCGAAAACGTTTCCACAGAGGCACTCGTAGGGCTTGTCTCCCGTGTGAATTTTGGCATGGCGTTTGAGATCGTGACCACGGACGAAGCACTTGCTGCAGTGGTCGCACTTGTACTGGCGGTCACCCAAGTGGGTTTGGACGTGGGACTTGATGTTCTCCTTCCGGCCAAACCGTCTCTCGCAGCCCGGGTGGAGACAGACCCATTTGCCATCCTTGGGGTCCGGACCAGAGATGTACGAAGCGATCTCATCGATGGTGACTCCGGTTTGGTTGATGGATGCGTGGACCCTGTCATCAAGGTTCAGGTTGTCAATAGACGCGACTCTCGGGGAGAGCTTGGGCTTCGACGGAGTCGAGCTCGCGGTCGTGGCGGTACTTGACATTCTCTTGTGGCTTGGTGTGGCAGGGTGAATGGGAACCCTGCGTGGCCTCTCATTTTCACCTGCAGGAGACGACGGCATGGGTGCAATTTCTGGCGACGAATAGAAAGACGACGATGCAGACAACGACGGAATATGTTTACGGTGCGACGAACTCTGCGACTCTGATTTCTCCGATCTGGAATCCTGCTGCTGACCGTTAAATGTATCAAAGCTATCGAGTTCAAATGTTGCTGTGTTGGGGGGAGAGGGGAGGTCAAACTTCTGCGAGGAACTTGTCCCCACCACTCCTTGAAGGGACCTAGCACGTTGCATGTACGACGCCTTGACGGCCTCGGGAACAGACAGACACTGCTCCTTGGTGGGTGATGACTGCACCTCCGTGTTGTATGGGACAACATCCATTGACTTCTTGAACGGTGTCGTTGCTGGGGTGATTGGCAAGTAACCTGATTCCTAAATCAGCCATAGGTTCGTGCCAAAATCATGAATTCGATCTTTCTTACGGGTGTTGCTGTTTTCGTGTGCTGGTGTAAGCGGACGTTGCGAATTGGGGATGGTATCCGACTGAGCGGACAGGCGTCGCATGTCCTGAGGAACCACATTGGCTTGGGGCGCAAGCGTTCTTTGCGGGTACATATCCCAGGCGGCCATTTGGGCATTGTTGCCGGGGAAGGTCTGGCTTCGCAACAGCTGTTGTTGTTGTTGCATCAAATTGAAGTTCAGATTCAGCTGTGCTTCAATATACGCCGCGCTTTGGTGGTTCTCATTGTTGTCTTGGTTCGCAGGCATATGCAGGTCCCCTTGGCTGAACGCGTGGCAGTCGGGCATCAGGGGTACAGATGTTGAATTAGCGGGATACATCTGATGTCCCTGTCTAGCCAATCGCTGTTGTTGGACCTCGCGCAAGACATTGTGTGGTTGTGGTTGTTGGTGTACTGTTCCTTGGTTAGTAAAAGAAAGATTCCCATCCTGCATGGCCTGTGCTCGTTGTTGCATCTGGAAGGCCCGTGTGTCGAGGCTCTGGCCTCGTCGATGAGCATTGAGCCGTTGCAATGCCGGTGCAGGGATACTGGGAACTTTCGCGGCCTCGAGGGCTGTAGGGGTCGAGATCTGTCGGCGGTGTTGTCGTTGCCGTTCTTGGAGGTGGCCTCCATGTGAATCGGACAGCATGGTTGCTGAATAGACGCGGTACGCGCGATTAACCGGTAATTCCGAACAGATCCGTGTTGCTTAGACCTGTACAAGAAAGAAGCTCTGTCAGTATCTAGTAATGCATTCGAAAATAATGCAGGATAAACCGACCTCTTGCAGCGATGCGGTACGGCTGCGGCCAACCCGGGGGCAATTGAACAGGTTTTCTGTAACAGTGTCAGTCTGTGACCTTCCAAATGACGCGCTCGGGGAAACGAAGGAAGAAAAGAAAAAGAGTTTCTAAGCTCTCAAATCAGTCGGTGTGCAAGTGACTAGTAGTATCTTGTGAAGATCAAAGAGTGGTTCGGTGAAGTAGCTGAGATCCTTGGTACTAATATGGAGACCTTTCCCCAGGAACCAGACTTGTTTATATGAATGAAAAAGAAGAGGAGAGAATAATAATGGGTGGGAACCAGGGAAAAAGAGAATTATTGAATTATTGACACCAGCTCCAGGCACCCGATCCCCGATCTACGATCAACAATGTCCGCGTTGGCCTAGCAACGCCCTTTCCGAGGCGACGTCAGGGAAACGCGAAACCGCCCTGTATTGGCATTTATTTCTTTTTATTATACGAGTCTAGTTTTGTTTCGTCAATTGCTTCTAAAATCTACCTCGGTTTTTTGTCACCGATAATAGCGGTAACCATCATGGCTCCGCCCATGTACAAGTGTACTATGGAGCAAGTGGGCTTTAACACGTCTATCGGATCGGGGAAACCCCTACCGGCATACAACTAGTGAAAGGTACCATGTACGGGGGGCCACGCTGTATGCACGGGTCTACCCATATATGTATCTTCGGAGGTTATTCACCTCAATAACCTCCGTTTAACCCTACTCTGTTACAGTAGTTTCTCTGTAAGGAGCTCGTTTCAACCCTCCTTCCTTGTATCAAAATTGAATATATACATAGTTCGCGCCCGGGATTTGCAGTATGGTTACGTACGAAGGAGACAAGAGTTCAAATAATTGAATACATTCATGCCCTGGATTGGCTTCTGTGAGGGAGCAAACATATTGCGTCCGTGGTAGGTTCGAGATGCAGTCCATGGCCTCAGGAAGCTTTGTATGACTTACGGTTCAGGCATTCAAGTCGCCATTAACTAACTAACTAGTTAACTAGGTCACTGCTGAGCCTTCCCAGGCCACTCTCATCTCATCCACAATCATCATGGCTATCGACATATTCAGAGGGATTCCGATCCACATAGACAATACCCCTCTCGCCTTAGATGATGCCACTCGGGCTCTATAATCGCACTATTACCAAGCCCTCCTCCATCACCGACGCAGAACGTAGAGCAATAACCCATCGCCCGTCTCCAGAAGAAGAAGACAAGCTCTGTCGCGCAGAATGCGGACTAGACATGTCCGAACTAATCACTAAAGCTACTAACGATGGAAACTCCCTGACATACACGGAGGCTCGTTTGCTAACAGGCGGTCTCGTCCCACGTCAAGCCGAGAAACTGCTCCATGAGCGAATCCGATCGCGATCTCACTCACCGGGCCATCGACGCCGCTACGACAGGGGAGATGAAGGCTGCCCAGACTAGTGCGTGTCGAGTGCGACGACAACAGCATGTCGTCTCATCTGTGGCTTACCAATCCATGAACGATGAAGACCGCAAAAATATCACATTGCCATGCGTGTGCCATGGCAGGAGCATGTTTTGAGCCTCAATGCGCTTGTATGTGGGCTAGTGGTTTTCCGGGCGGCCGATGTGGATGACGATGTCGAGTGGATAACATACAAACAGCAGATTCAAACTGCCATCCATTACGGCCCCCATCTAAAGAGACAGCGTGTAATAGAAACCGCTATTGCTAAGCTCGCTATGCAATGAATGGAAGAAAACGTGCAAGACAATCTTTTGTTTGATCTTCAGCGTCGATTTATTGCCTTGCGAGAAAGTGAGGGGTTCCCTGCTGGTTTGCGAACGGATTCGTTTCTGTATGTAGATCGTGAGGCCATGCAGTCGCGGGATACTGAGAGGCCATTTGTCCGGCTGTGGGAGCCGGACGAGAGGGCAAAACCACTGAAGGTTGATATCAAGCACATCCCCCCGACTCTGTTTGCGCGACTTACGCAACGGGGTCTATCCCGTCCCGAGATTAGACAGAGCCCATATCGACACGCGTCAGAACTGGACATGCTCCACCAAGCCGCCCGTCTCTCGTATAACCAGAGTGGGAAGCGAACTTGGATTTGGCCACCGCTCGCTCGTTATATGTGTGACCTTTATCATATCAAACTGATAGAGGTTAGGAGAGATACCATCAAGGAATGGTTGCTAATTTACAAGCAGCTCAAGAAAGGCAATGACATTTGGTTAGAACAATCTACGGAGTGCATGGAAGTAGTCTATTCTAATACAATAGCTGCGTTACAAGGCTCATTTCCGATCTCCTCGAATAGTTGGCTTTATAAAACCAGTCACTCCGTACTTTCGATTTAAGTAGAAAAAGCTCTATATAGGATAAGGCATTTGCAAGCAAGCAACACACTATAAGACATAGCAACCAGAGAAGGACACAGTTGAGTCTTGCGTCAAATTCCTTGCGGGTGCCAATTCTTCTCCATCCAAAGCGTCCCATCTGTGGCAGCACAGAAGTATATCGCAAACGGCTTGCACTTCTCCCCATACTGCTCTTTTTCCAAGTTTTGCGGTCGAATAATATGGCATTATCCGTGACTTCGTCTCTTCAGTTCCCGTCTAACCACCATACGTACGATAACGACCACAGGCCTATCTTGGGCATATCAATGGTCATGGCATCTAACGCCTTTTGCAAATTTCTCAAGGTCCGCATTATGTCCGCGGCGTTTAGGTTTTGCCTCTTAGAGGCCGCCATGGATCTCTGAGGGCCTGGGTTCGACGCTGGATCCGACGCTGGATCCGACGCTGGATCCAGGTTTCTGCGTTTTTGAGATATATAGACCAGCTTTGTTGACTTGGATCTTGTTCAAATAACTAATCACCTAAGAGGCAATTCATATCGCCGCGAAAGCCTCTTCCGCGTATTAAGCGTAACAAACGCCATATCCGGTAGCCCGTCAGAATGCATCTAATATGACCTATTAATTAATTCAAATTCGTACCTTGTACACATTTAGCAGGCTGTCCGCATTTGACAGCACGCTGGAAGTGATATCATTTCCATGTAAATTTGTTATCTCGTCGACTGACCGCCCATTGCTCTAACCATCTGTGATCGCTGTGGAAGACTGTAGGGGGATGTTGATCAATTGAGCTCTGGCCATATCAGCTTCAGTGGCTGTGTCGGGCATGTACACACCGATTTGTCTCTGGTACCAGGCGGGCCAGGAGTAACTGGTACACTTCTTGCTATCGTTTAACGGTTTTTCATCGTGTTTTGAGTGTAGAGATAGCAAGGTCTCGCCATATTCGGGAAGTCTAGACAATGTCTGATATGGGACCGTCCGAGTCCCAGCCGCTGTATGGTCGAGACAGATAGCTTTACAAGCTCGAGTAGTGTTTGGGGACAGGGCCCTTGGCCCGTTTGCTGCATATGAGGGTGCCATCCCCACGTTTGGCTTCTCCTCACATCATGAATTCTTGCGCCTTAGGCTCTGTCTGGAGCCCATGAATATGCTCTTTTACTGGCACCTTATAGGTCGTGCATCTCCCCATCGTTTGCCACGTTTCCGGGTATTCAAATAAAGAGAGCCCCGAGGGTCTCTGATCACTTGGATCTAGCACTTAGTCAGATTCTTGACTTCTCAGTGCTGATAACAACAACATTAATTACAGATGTACACCTGATACATCTCATCAGTGTACAGCTGTGCCCCATACTGCTAGCACGCGCTCTTGGTATTGTCCATCAATACTGATGTATTGACATGTGTCCAGGTTTGCGAAATGGCACATGGCCTATAATCGAGTAATTAAAGGTCCAGGCTACTTACCATTGAAGTAACGGTTCGCGTAAGTGCGTCTGGTACCCAAACCACTCTGTCTCTAGGACATGAGAGTACCCTGAGCCTCGCCTCGCATTATAAGATCCAGAATCCTGGGCCCTGGGCTATGTCTGCCGCTCATGGATATGCTCCGTGAAATCGGGATCACCACTTCATGCTGAGATTACCGTGTTGTCACAGCTGTAAGATAGACAGGCGCACAGCCTATAGCCATTTAGGACTATGTTGCTCCTCTCTGATGCCATATCCTATCAAGTGTTCGTATAATGGGGGCCGTAGCACATGTAACAATCCGCAGTACCATACCTTCCGGTATCTGGGTTATTTTGCACTGGACCATCGTTCTCGCTGGACGTAACATCCATGTAGTCCACCGGGGTACCATGGGTAAGAGCTTGAGCAATCTGGAGGAGGTAGCTCTTGCCGGGTGGATATGAGTTCGTCATGAGTTGCTGTTTCGTCCTTCGATTATCTGTCGTAATCCTTCCGTCAGTTCCCTATCCACCACGCTCGTTCTATCACAAGATATGACCGTGACGCTTGTGTCGATGAAAAGATAGCGCCAAAAGATTCACATCGACCAGATGGTTATGACTCAGTGATTCTGTCTGATTGCTCGAACCGTGGCAACAGCGCAGGGCAAGATAGGCATAGAATACTGGACTTGAATTTAGGGCATGTGAGAAATAACATGGGCTTCAAAATTCTGGATGGCACAGATTGTTGCATGATGAATAGACAAAGAGAAAGAAGACTGTCATGTGTGGAGACCCTACAAATCTAGGATTCTTTCATCAAATTCACTCAAATCCAAGTCATCTTCCTATTCCTCTTCTTCATTCAACAAATCCAAGTACCCTTCATACACTTCACAGTTAACAATGAGCTCAAATCTACCCTTTTCAGCTATCTCCGCCAATTCGCCCACCCTAAGTTCAAACTCCTCCCGCGCAAATCGCACAGCCTTCCTACGGTATACGCCTCTTCTGGTAAATTTCGTTTTGAACATCCAGCATTAAAGTGCACGGCGAAAATAACGGTTTGAAGTTGACCGTCTTGAGCTCATGGATATAATTGTTGTTTTCTTCGACAATGCCATCCAATAGGTCGAAGATGAGTTTTCCGTAGTGCGAGACCACAAGTGTTTCCAGGGATCTTGGGAGCCGAGGTGTGTTGCCCAAACTGGATTGTTCCACATATAGGTTTCAAGTTCGTGAAGGGTGTGAAAGGTCCAAACTTGATATAATCGGTCCCGATAGGATCGATATTATTCAATTGAACGCGTAGATTGGTTATGTTGTCCTTATGCGAATCCAACGCTTCTAGAAATTCATCGACTTCCAGACGGTCGGTGCTTCGAGATAGACGCGGATCGACCACGTATAATAGTGAGTTCACGCATTCGCATGAGTCCATCAAGGTGATCAATGTCTCTTGATCTAGGCAGCACGCCCCCAATGAAATGGATGAGGCTTTCACTGCGTTCGGGAGAAGGCCAGACTCGGGGAGCTGTGTATCGTCGCTAATGCAATGCTCGACTTTGAAGTGTTGCAGACACGGGAGTTGCAAAAAGGGCCATAGCTTTTCAATTTGTATGCCACCTGGATATTCTTCACCTTCGGGAATGACTCTGAGAGTAAGCGATGTGAGATTGGAGAGGTGCTTAGATACATCCATATCACTCTGATTACATTAAGCACCTCAAGTCTCTTCAGTTTGATACATAGGAGCAGCATAACAGGGGCGGTCATTGCAGCTAAGATGACTCTAGCGTGCATTAAGTTGGCCCCTTCGTTGATTCTTAGCTTCTGTAATTCATTGGGTAAACATATGCGAGTATCAAACAAAAGAGTACTCGTTTCATAAGCCGGGTCAGCATCAGGACCTTCTCCAGTTCTGATGTTTATCTCACGAACAGCACTCTGTAGGTCGGTTCGCGAGAGTACGGTCCGAGTAAACTGCGTGAGAGCCCTAAAGACTTCCGTTTGAGACTCATCGGAGTAGTCCATCAAAGTGAACTTTCTAAAGAGCAACGGCTGGGCGATTTCCTTGAATAAACGGAAAACTTTGCAAAGTGACGATAAGTCGCGTTTATTGTCCAGATGAGTGAAGATCTCGCGAAGGATCTCCGGAGGTAAATGTTGAGGCATGGCCGTGATGAATGAGGGAGACAAATTTAGAACGCGATATAAATAGTAAAGTACGAACAATGAAGGAAAGAAGCGTTTTAGATAGCCAGTTCTGCCCTAAGCCTTGTAGGTCGCTGCCGTAGGTTCGAAGCCAATGCTATGGCAATGGTGTCGATAATCCTCAATTTTTCCGACTTGGGATACGACACTAGGCTGGGGGTGATTTTGAAGCAGGTGATATCACAGTTGGCTGGATTCAATGAGTATTAATCAATGGGTTGAGATGGTACCCAGTAAACAGGGCGAAGAAAGATTCGCATTCTGCCATGTTCCTCTGCCTCATCAAATCGGGCAGGGGCCCACGGTCACCTACAGAGTACCAGACCATTAATTAGGCTATCTTGAATCAAAGACAAATCAACTATGGAGCATAAGGGTATGTTACTCTTCTGTTATCACGATCTAAACCGTTGTCCCACATCAATAGTGGCATCAATAGCGTCTCTAGTCAAGTTCTTCGCCGAACCCTCGGTAGTTGCTCGGCGATACTGCAAACCGTTTCAACGTACTACGTCGTTGCCTATTTCTATGATAGTAACGAATCTTTACCCCACGAATCAGGCTCTGGGGTATGATAACCTAGCTATTCTCAGGGGTTACAGATAGAGCCATCAAGACGTGAGTATCGTATATGGTATGGACAAGGTAACTATATGGTATTATTTACACAGAATTTGAATTTAAAATCTTCCACGACAAACGAAGGTCGAATATTATATATACATAACTTAGCATAACGAATGTGTGTTTGTGTTTGTGTATGTGTGTGTGTGATTTAACACAGGGTATCAGCCGATTGGATCGAGTCCCTCTGGTTCTTAACAAACTTGGGCCAAGTGTTGGTAAGAACAAGGTACTTGATGCTCTTCTCCGCATCGTTAAAGACAGTTTCGTCAAACTCCTCCGGAACATCGCCCCAGTACTGTACGCGGTCCTCGATAGGCCCAGAAGCGGTGCTCTGGATTGTCTTCTCGGAGTCGGAGCCCTCGCCCTCACCCTCTGGTGGGAAGGTGGCGGAGAGGGGCGACTCAACGAAGGGGGTGGTCACGTCGACCTCGCGCTTCTCGCCGTACATGATCCGAGTGGGTATCTCAAAGATGTTCTCGAGTGTCTTGAGCTCTTGCGACGAGATGTTGATGGGGAAATCGGCGTGGCGGACACTCACGAACTCGGCGTAGATGTGGAGGGCGCGGTTGAAACGTTCACGGATCAGTTCCTTGACGTTGTCGCCGCGAGGGGTGGTGCTGTAGACGGCCTTGGGGAGCGAGCTCTTCCACTCAGCGACGCTGGTGAGGAAAGCGATGTTTTCACCGGAGAAGTCGTGCAAAGCAGAGAATTCCAGAAGGGGAGTGGGGTGGCGCTCGAGGACGTACTCGAGGGCACCCATGGTCAGGATACTCTCGCTGGAGTCGGTGGTCTTGACGGAGTTGCTGCGGGACATCAGGGACTCGGCCATGATGGAGGCGGATTTGATAGACTTGGCCTCGGAGCCGGACACCTTGTTTTTGAACTCCCATTGCGCGATCGTGTCGAGGGTTTCTTTGCGGAGAGAGCGGTGGCGGATGACCTCGTAGCAGGGGAGGAAGATGGTGAAGATTTCCATGACATAGATGGAAAGGCAGATCCATTGCGGAGGCAGCCAGTACTGGTTGACCTTCTCCATGGCGGGAACGTAGACAGCGATAAGCCACATCGGGGTAGCGTGGAGGTTGCCAACGGCGCAAGCAATGGTCTGAACTCTCCAGCCATGGGTATCGTGGATGTTGCGAGACTTCCAGAGAATGATGGGCGCGACAAGCCAGGCCCAGAAGAACTGCCAGATCACAGTAGGCCACCATTCCCAGCCACGACCCATCTCAGCCTTTTGCTCCATCGGGGTACCGTGAACGCCGGTGCCGGGAGCACCCCAGGAGCCGTGCCACTTGCGGGAAATGATCCACATCAGGGTAGTAAGGAAGATCTGATGACAGTTAGGAGAGGTACGGCCCGAAAAGAAGAGATACATAATCGTACCTGAACCAGCATTCCGAAACCAACGACCACGATCATCTTCTTGGAATAGTCGAGACGGCGGAAGCGATCGATCAAGCCGCCCTTCTTCGAGTCGGAAGGCGATTCGGGAGTGCTGTCCCGCTGGGTGTATTTCTTCTGGGCCTTGGCGACATGAAGGAAACGACTGTTGGAAGCGTGGAACAAGGCGATACCAAGCGGCAGGTAGAGACCCATAACCCAAAATTCAGCGTCACCGGGCATAAGAGGACCAAGCATGAGACCGATTTGAATGGTGATCCAGTACAAATGAAGCATAACGATAGCAGCGAGCCACAGACCGAGACCTCGGATGCGGAGAACAGGCGCTTTACGGTTGACGATTAGAAACGCAATGCCACTCGCGACGATGACCGTCCAGATGCAGGCCCAGCACGACCACCAGGTGGTGACCGAGGTGATGAGGAGCTCTGCCTTGGAATCGGCCGTGACTCCGAGTTCCGACCCCATGATGAATGACGGATTCTCGGTTGGTGAAATGAATGACTGAAGTTAGGTAGTGGCTTGTCAAGTCACGGAGGTCGGGTCCGTGAAGGAATCATTCAGCATTGAAGGATTCTTGTTGGGGGAGGCAGGGGACTTATAAAACCCATTCGGTTGGGAATTAGAAAATCACCTAAAAATGACGATGCTTGCTTAGTGGCACATGGTGCTACAATACGAAAAGAAACGAGGGGCCCATAAACTATAGATCCAGAAAAACCTTATTACATGTAACACTCCTTTTTTCTCCAACGTGCACGCTCATTTTCTCCAAATCGGGAAACCCTAAATCGCTTAGATTACGAGTGGTCGGGTGGCAAAGAGATCGGGCCACAAGATCTGCCTATCGGGAGATGCAAAATTGTAATACATACATACTAAGATCTAGTTGGTGTACCAAGTATTACGCTAGACATTTGACATGCATAATGAAAATAGTCCGATTGTACCATCTAAGGCCACTAGTGCTATCTCAAGACAGCCCGGCTTCGTTAGCACTGCCTTCTACGCGCTAGGCTAACCCCCTAAACCGCCTGAAGATGGCTCGACCATAGTCCGCTAGACACGATTGATAGATAGATTAATGCTGATCCTAATACTCCAACTACGAACCGTAGTTAAGGACAAGGTCCATTGTGGTGTCTGACATTGTGAAGAATCAATACGTAGCAAGTAAGAGAAGCCGCAGATCGGGGGTCCACCATCTACGACGGGATCGGAAACTAGTGGCTCGTAGCACAAAAGATTTCAAATACTTTACCACGGGTTGAGAATCAGTCTACTACTGTATCAAATAAATGGGACCAACCTAATCGGCACTTGAGCACACTTGCATGTTTCTGGTATGTATTCCCACGTGCTATCTTGTAGTGAGGCAGTTTATGGATCCCACCACCGTGCAGTCCATGACACCGTTAACAAAGTCTAAAATCAATAAATTCAGTAGCCAGGGGAAATATATACGAGATATAAACCCAGGTACCGGAAACAAAATCCGGAGATGGCGTCATGACTTCAGTGTGTACTCCGTGCATCTCCGTAGATAATCTCTCATCAGTTATGAATACATCTGCAGATATCCCCCGGTCGTCTGTGCTTATTATAATCTTGACTGGGATTCCAGCTTGTTCGAGTTTATTTTTACGAGTTCCCCGCGTTTAGTGACACGATGAGCTGGCTTTATGTCCATGTTGACAGACAATGACATGGTCGAGTCAGTCCTGCGTCTTTTCCCTCTTTGAGACATAGTACGGAGTATACTCATAGTGGTCTAGACAAGGCGATCATCCTTCAAACTATCACAACTATTACCCCCAATGCCGACCAGATGGTATTGGTAAGCAGTACCCATAGTTAACTAGAACGAGACCAGCGACCCTCTGGTACCTGCAGAAGTGGAAAGCTTGTCACGAGGCCACGTGACCAGTGCCTGGATAAGTCCGGTCATGTCCGTTAAAGTCACATGACTAAAGCCGGAATTGGAAGAATGAAGGTCCGAGCCAGGGCTGCGGGCAAGAAGCGATACACGTGACCACACAAGCGATTTTGCGATTCCGATCCAAACTTAAGCTCCGCTTTTCCTTTTTCTTGAACGATCACCAAAGGTTGAGGAAGACAACTTGTCGAGGTGAGTTATTCTTGCAGGATCCCTTGAGGATATTGATTGCGCGCGATCAGTCTATTCTTTGCGACTCGTTTGAAGACGTTGGCTTTTTCTGTTTTAGAGGGGCTGGTTCGTCGAGAACGAGCAGCAAAAATGGACGACAGCGCACGATCATGAAGCCTCAGCGAGAAAAAGAATGAACAGCGACTAACTTATACAGGCCTTTGCAAAGATGCAAATCTTCGTCAAGACCCTTACGGGTAAGACTATCACCCTTGAGGTGGAGTCGTCGGACACCATCGACAATGTCAAGTCCAAGATCCAGGGTACGTCCCCCATACACCCCCCAAAATCGCATCGCACAGCCCCTAACAGGATAATAGACAAGGAAGGAATTCCCCCGGACCAACAGCGTCTGATCTTCGCTGGTAAGCAGCTGGAGGACGGCCGCACTCTTTCGGACTACAACATCCAGAAGGAGTCGACCCTGCACCTCGTGCTGCGCCTGCGTGGTGGTGGTAAGAAGCGCAAGAAGAAGGTCTACACCACCCCCAAGAAGATCAAGCACAAGCGCAGAAAGACCAAGCTTGCCGTCCTCAAGTACTACAAGGTTGATGGCGATGGCAAGATTGAGCGTCTCCGCCGCGAGTGCCCCGCTCCCGAGGTATGCATCCCTTTTCGCTCTGAATGAACTTGGAAGAAGCAAAGGCTAACTGATTGTAGTGCGGTGCTGGTGTCTTCATGGCCGCTATGCACAACCGCCAGTACTGTGGCAAGTGCCACCTCACCTACGTTTTCGACGAGTCCAAATAAGCGGATCGCTCGTTACCCTCCGGTAAAGACTTGGTTGGATAGGTTGAGGATCGCCTCGGCTTCGGCAGATAGTTATGAATGACAATGAATGAATGTCTGCTGGTCTATTTTGTTTTCATCAGTCGTAGACGACGTGTCTTGTATCCATTTTAGTAGAGTCATGTGCACTGCATAATCGTATTTACATAAAGAAATGTTCCTGTGTCCCGATCACCGAAATCCCGCCCTAAGGTTGTCGTACTGACTCTCAGGGAAATCGAGGTTATTTGCCGACTGCTCCAAGGCATTCACGCCTCCGACACCCTCGACAAACGTCCCAATCAAACTTCCCTCCGCCGGACTCGCAGCCTTCCCTCCCTTATCACCACTGGTCTCCCACCACATGCTACCACCAAGCAGGTTCGCCCTGACAAAGTTGGCCTTCATCTGCGTCATCGGCACGGTATCGTACGAGACCATCGTCCGGGTCGCAGGGCTATAACACCACGACGCTTCCACCGACTGATCCAATTCCTCCTGTGCACCCGGTCTCGGAAGCGCCTTGTAGTCCCACACGCCGTTCTCCCAACTTCCCTCGCCAACGCCTGAGAATGGGGTTCCGGGGCCGTCGGTGTTGGTGAATGCGCGGCCGTACAGGGGCATGCCCAGGACCATCTTGTCACGAGGGATCGCGGAAGTCTCTGTGTAGTGTAAGAGGGCTGCGGTGGTGGAAAATGGGGTTGAGGCGGGGTTGCTGTTGGAAGGGTAGATGTTGGCTTGGTGGCCGGCGATGGAGTCCCAGCTACCGGCATAGTCGTAGGCCATTAGGTTGTAGAAGTCGAGCAAGGGGGTCATTTCGCGGAGTCGGAGCTTGGTGAAGTTTTGGGGGCCTGGACGGGTTAGCAAGAGGTGTTGCAGACTTGGGTGGTTAACGTACCAGCCGGGCAAGCAATGGTCAGAAGGAATTTGCGATTGGGGCCAGCTGCGCGGTCTAGAGTCTGTATGCTGTCAGCGTATGGACGAGAAAAGGGTCTGGTATGATAACTCACCTCACGACACTTCTGAAGAAGCAAGACAAAGTTGTACGCTTCAGTGTCATCTAAACAAGTATCAGCATCCTGCCCAGTAAGTCTCAATCCTCTGCGAACTCACTCTGAGGGTACTCCCAATCCACATCAAACCCTGCCCCTGCATTAGCAAAACACCCCCTCAACAAAAGAAAAGAACAACACACCATCAAACCCCAAATCCAACACCAACTTCGTAGCCGTCTCCGCAAACCTCGTCCTCCCCTGTTCCGTACTAGCCGGCTGAGCGAAATTACTCGAGTACGTCCATCCACCAATCGAAAGCAAAACCTTGAGTTTCCGATTCTGCTGCTTGAGAAGGAACAGCTGCTTCACACACCCGTAGACATTGTGACCCACGTCGTTCCACGAGTCACTCGGGTAGTGTTTCTCAATATCCGACCAGGTGTCAGATAGGTACCTGCATTAGTGTCAGGATTGGACTGGGGCCTTGCATTGCATTACATATAAAAGATGGCTGGCTGAAGGAGTTCATGGGCTGGCTGGGGGGGGCTTACACTTCGCCACTCTCTGGACGCACGTTGGCGAACGCATACAGCACATGGGTTAATTTGTCGGCGGGGATGTCCTGGGGGTTATGGGCGCGGCCGTAGATTGCCTGGAAAGTGGAGCGGTTGGTGAGCTGTCACTGAGCTAATTGCTGTTTCAGCGCATGTTGGTACATACCCAGTTCACGAAATATGCGACTGATTTCATTCCTGTAGACATGTCTGCTGCAGGATGAATTCTTGAAGTCTCGAAAATTGACACGTTGGAATATAATGATAGCAATAGAGATAATTGTCGCCGGGAATACTGTGCAGGTACCTTGCAGTTCAACGGGCTCGCTGTAAAATATATATGAACTGTCTGGTGGATGACACCGAATGTAGAAGTGAAGCTATTCGATGCAGCCTAGGCCTTGCCCAATTAGTACAGATATAAAAACAGAAACAATTGGTGATTGGTCTATGTGACTGTGGCTGGGGCAGGAGTGTGGCGCGGTGATAGATGATGTAATCGGGCATAGAGTAAACAAGGACGATGATATGAGAGCACGGAGCACTCCTTTATATAGATTTCCTGGTCATATTCTATTCTAGAGAGGAGATTGAAGCGTCATAATTATCGATTGAAGTCATTCTGTGCGACTTTGCATTGATCATGCTGACCTTTAATCGTCCCGAACTCAAGAAGCCGAGCACGAAGCCGAGGCGCAGAGTGAGGCTAGAATATCCCGCAGTCCAGAGTACGAGGCATACAATGTGCCCTAGTACAGCGTTGAGACTAATGCTATGTGTTTGCATTACTCTTATTGGATAATGGCTAATGTGATATCTAAGGCGCGCATGGCAGCTTCTGCACGATATATATATTGTGGAGAAGACACGTTTAATTGGCAGTGGATTCATCATAGGATTTGCCCTGAAAAGGACCCGGGAATTGATGTGTACTTTGTGCTTGATTCAAGGTACTTCTGTACCCTGATTGAATAATGATCGTATTTTGGATTTTCCATAGATAATCTCCCTGATTCTACGGGATATTACTGATGTCTCTGCTTGTGTGTCCCGTACCCCGTCCCGAGCATCTCCATTCTCCATTGATCGGAATCAGTAAGTTCGATTATTCTTCAGTCTAGCAATTCCACTTCATATAAAGCGAGTAATAACCAATGTGTAGTGTCAGGTCACAAGTACCTGAATGTTTACCGCCGGAAACCCGCGTGAAGAAAAAAAAAAAAAAAAAAAAAAAAAAAAGACGTGGTCAGCTGAAACCCCGATCGAGGGTACCAATTTTACCCTACCATTGGCTCATGACTTCGATCGGTAACGGTGGCCGCCCCACAAGTTTAAACGCCCATTTCCCGAATCGGAATTAGGGCACGGCAGCTTAGATATCCGATTAACTCGGGGTGCGGAATATATGTCGTAAACCTTGTAAGGGAGAGATAAATCAATTGATTAAGTCAATATCAAATTCAAACATTTAGATACAATCAAGCGTTGATCCCGTAGGCGGCACATAGAATGCTACCAACATCCGATATCTGTGGAAGTGTGGATAAAATGCAATCTATGTAGTATCACTGCGGAATACCAGCCCCACTGCATCGGGTCCTTTTCAGCTGAGATTGTTCGTCAGAACTCGTCTCAGCGTCTTTCCCTCCTCCCCCACTAGGGGCAAAAAAAAAAAAAAAAAAAAAATTTAAATGTCCCGAGATGAGACGAGGCAAGATGCGATGCATTGCGATGCAAAGCGGGCTTCCTCGCGTCTTTTTCTGGTCAGCCGAGCAAATGTTGCAGGTGTGCCGCTTGAATTTCAGTGTCCCTGGTATGTATGGCCGGAAAGAGATACGTGATCGCTGATCCATGTAGATTTGTGTGCATAACTAAACTTGACTCCAGGTATCCGACAATGGTCATAGACAAAAACAATTAGACCATAAACCGAAATTGCAAAGGGCAAGGGGGAGGAAATAATACAAAAAAAGCACACAAAGCGGCCAGCACTCCTAGGTAACAAAAGCAAATAACAATAGAAACAATCAAAGAACAATCCCGAAACATTCTAGTGGCTCTCTTGTTCCTGTTTCTTTTTTTCGGACCCCGCCGTAGAAACGATAAAAACAGCAACAAGGAAAGTGGGAGGGGGTATCATCGTATGCAGTAATCATCTCATGAAGGGTGCGTCTGGATCCAGCGCAGAATTGTAGCCAAAGACGGATCATCGTCAAGCCAGTGACCTGCCCGCAGGTCGGCAGTCCGGAGGTCAGAAATGACGTATTGGTCTGTTATTTGTGCCAGTTCCTGTACACTTAGCATTAGCATTCGTTCATATAGATGGAGCATGGGAAACCAACCTGGCGAAATGAATTGCTCACGGCGGCCAATTGCGCCGCATGCTGAGCCGTTGGTTGTTGACCGTGCAAGATATTTGCGCGATGGAGAGCCCATCGCTTCGCAGCCGCAATGCGAAGATAGATTCGGTGTGCCTGAAAACGGCGGGCGCTGCCATCGAGTATCACCCTGTGTCGAATAGAGTCAGCCTTTTCCTCTCAGATTCAAGGAATTGTAGGATAAACATACCTCTGCAATTCGGCCCTCTCTGCTTCCTCGTTGCTGGCGTTGCTTGGTACAGCAGCGGGAGTGTAATTCGATCCCATCAAAGCCTGCGCGGCCGTATGGCACTCGCGCATAATGACATGGCCCTCTTCGAAGTACTCCTCTGGTGGTGACGGGATGGTCTCTTCGCAGATGTGTAGGAGCAGCGTCCTGTAGTCGTTGATGATCTCGGCCACTCGCAATGCTCGTGCTTGGTTGACTAGATGCAAAAATAGCTTATTAGTATATCGTGTGCGCATAGAATATACAAATGAAATGGAATGCTTACGTCCGTCAGCCATTGTTCCTTAACAAACACTCAGAGCGGTTCGAGGGTTAGACAAGTCCTAAGACGAATACAAAAGAAGGAAGATATTGAAACGAGACAATGGCTATTAGACAAGTAAATCTATCCCTGGGCCGAGCTAGTCAATCACAAACTGCTTGCTTGCTTGCTTGATTGTTTGCTTTGCTTTGCTCTGCTCTGCTTACTCCGATAAAACTCTCACAATCGAGGGCGAACTGCTTCCTTTTAAGCTTAATCCCCGAGGCCCATATTTAATTTATGATTATTTTATTTTTTAGTCTGCAGCTGGCTTGACTGTCAGCCGAATGGCGGAGACCCTGAATAGGAAGTCGATGAAAAAGGGGGCAAAAAAGATGAAAAAAGAAAAAAAGTAGAAATCAGCATTAGCCGCGCCGGACCGTGTACCAATTGGAGACCAATAAGACCCAGCTGGGAAGTATGACAATGATGGTGGGTCAGAGACACCGTTGGGTATATGCGGAATGTCCGAGCTGGAGTCTAAACACAGCTCGCTGGATCCTCCTGTCAGGGCAGAGTATGTATCCATATGGCTGTCTGAAAATATGCGCGTGTGTCTGTGCATATGTAGTATGCAGGCTTTTTGCTCCCCCCCACCCTTCCGTCTTGGCTCCATATCAATTTCCTATTGTTATTGTCGGGCTGTGGACTTTACTTCGCCTAGGAGATGCTCGGGCAACCCGAAGAGAAAGAGAGAGAGAGAGAGAGATCGATCTCGGATAACTATGAAGAGAATCATTAGCCACATCCACAATGTAGAAGATCAGCTATAACTATCCCCAATATCAATATAGCGCGAATGCAAGGTTTAGCGATGAACCCATAGCCCCGGGACCCCGGAGCCGTTCGGTGCCAGATCTCGGAGCGCGCTTATGCACCACCACATCCTTTTGAAGAGTCATACTCGCCACACTTGGTCCCTGCTCATTAATCAAAAATAAGAATATGCACCCGGAGAAAGCAACCGGAAGGGAAAGATATGTCACATTTCTTTTTTGAATCAGTTGTTGATGTGGAGGTGTCGGGGCTGATCATCCAATTGGGACGCTGCATTCAGGTCAAGCCACAAGCTGAGCCACACTCGCTCAACCATTTCGTGGTGATCATGAACAATGGCAGCTGAAACGGACACTGGCTCCATGCACGATACCTGCAGATTTTGCAGCACGATCCCTATTGCAGTCTTTCGCTTGAAACAACCAGTGACTGTCATGGCCCTATCGGTGGCGAAGTTCCCCGGTATCACAGCATCATCTTGGCCCAAATCGGCAAGCAGTAAGATAGTGCATTTGGATTTGTTGGGAAGCCCAGCACAGCTTGCGACGAACCTACCATGTCGCCACCCATGTAGCTGTCTAATTTTCTATATCCATACCATTTTGAATTTGTCGCCCGATGTGTATTTGCAAGGGACCGAGATCGTGCGAGAAGATGGACATTCATATACTATCATCGTCTTGGGTCTTAACAATCCATGAATAAAAGATAACCGGATGACAAAAAGAAAATTAAAATGACTCAATCCTTTTCGGCAATGGCCTGCAACCGCTCGTCAATCTCGTCCTCCGTCAAAGCCCTGAAACTAGAATCTATCCCTTCCTTGCCGTCCTTTCGTGGACCGCCCACGATGCCCAGCTCCAATTCATGCTTCTTGAAGTCCACGCTCAACACATTGCTGAGGGCTGTGATGGCCAGCTCAACGACTTCCTCCCAGTTACCATCGGCATAGTCCTTGTTCTTCAGCTTCTTCTCCAAGTGGTTGAACGCCTCCTGTTGCTTGGGCCCGGACGCAGTCGCCTTGTATCCGACATAGTATCCAGCGGGGTCGCACTTGTAGAGTTGGGATCCTTTCTCGACGTCCAAGGAGATCAGGGTCGTGGCGACACCTAGTGGACGCATGTACGCCTGAGAACAAATTGTTAGTCTACCGACTCTGTCCTCCGGCATATCACCTGAGATATAAAAGGAAGACCAACCCTCTGTGTGTAGACCTGGTTGATGTTGGCCAATCGCTTTGCCAGAACATCACAAGGCATCTCATAACCAAACTTGTATCGGAACTCAGCAGCCTCTCCACGGGCACGGTCGACAGAGGCTCGGGCATCGGCGATGGAACCGGTCATAACACAACCGACGGAAGGCGAAATCTTGAAGACGTGTGAAACGGAATCGGGGTCGATCAATTTATCCTAGGTCATCATCCTCCATCAGTTTCGGGCCGCAAAGTAGATGGTAGGTACGCAGGCGGGCAGGCTGTCTTACGGGAACTTTCTTCTGAGAGATGACCACAGCGCAGTTCTTTCCTCTGATTCCAAGGGAGGTGATGTTTGACGAGGTGATGGCCTTGAACGCATATTCTAAAACGCAGAAACGGTGTCAACAACAGAGCTCAGGTCGGAGGGGTTGAGTTCATCACGCCGATAACAATTCATTTATCATCGGCGAAGGAAGAGGCTGACGTACCGACTTGATACAGACGTCCCTGGTCCGAGAAAATCGTGATATGTCTATCGTATGCTGCTCGCAGAGACACGGTCAGTTGCTGATAATGAAGTCATGGGAACTTGTCCCCAAGTGTAGCGGACAAGCATACCGGACATGATGGGCGGTTTAGCTCAACAATCTATGTAAAGCAAAATGCTGATAAGAAGGGAATGTATCAAGAGAGAGCAAACCCCAGTCGTGGACAAGAGAAGATGGGGAAGAAGACGGCGATGGTGATGGTGCCAACAGACGCCGTGCCCGGGAGCTCTCCAGTAAGCTCTGCGCTGACCGCCTTCGTCTTCTGCCACCACTGCGTATCAGATACGGCCTTGTTTTCATCTCTCTCTCTCTCTTTCTCTCTCTTTCTCTCTCTTTCTCTCTCTCTTTTAATTTATTTTCTATAGAAATAGTCAAGTCTAATATGGATTGAATATTTCCATATATACGAGGAAATTCTATAGAAATAGCCCTGGTTGAGTAGGTAAACATGAATCGACGGGTATATCAAGCCTCAACTACGGAGTATACATCACTTCAACTCAACTCTCAAGAAACAAATGTACAAACGCCGTTCAAGAAACTTTTGTTGGAGAAAATTAAATGCCAATGTACCTGTTCTAGCAGATCAATGGAGACCAAACACCATCGTCCAACTAAGCTCGCGCTTAATCGGAATCACTCGAATTAGAGCTATCAGAATCACTGTCGCTGCTGGAAGACGAGTCTTCGTCGCGTCTCGTTGTGTTGGCCTTCTTCTTGCCGCTGTCGCTTTCGCTATCACTTTCGCTGTCACTGCTGCTCGAGATATCCACAACTGCAGTTCGGCTCTTCTTTTTCTTGGCGGGAGCTTCTGACTGCTTTTTACTTTGTTGCTTCTTAGCAGGCTTGCTTTTCTGCGGGGGCTTTTCGTCGTCGCTGTCACTGTCGCTATCACTCGAACTGTCGCTGTCGCTCTCACTGCTACTGGAGATATCAATGATAGCGGTACGGTTCTTCTTCTTCTTTTGCGCAGGAGCTTCAGCTTGTTGTTGCTCAGGCTTTCCCTTCTTCGAAGGCTTCGGTTTCTGGACGTAGACCAGCTTGCCGTTGATAGTGAACGTTATCACTTCCGCTCGTAATCTCTTCTCGAGTCTCTTGCGCATATCGCCGGTCACGTTTTGCTGTCCATCCAAGACGTCGACGCTATTCAAATCGCCATTGCCCAGCGATAACCCTTTCCGGAATGATTCGACGGTTTTGTAGTAATCGGCCATGGGCTCCTCCTCCTGAGGTGCTTCCCCTGCATTCTCCTTCGCAATTTGTTCCTCCATTTCAGCCTTGATGATTTCTTCGGCGGATTGGCTCAATCGTTGCCGGGCAGCCTCTCCCCTCAGTCCTTGAAGATATGAGAGAAGGGCAGCATTGTATTCCGTAGGTACGCGCTCCGGCTCGAGAATGTGCTTGAACAGCTGGGTTTCGCGGTTCTTCTGGAATTTCCATACGGCCCGGTTCTGGTGGTAGAGGTTCAGGTATTGGAGGGTGGGCGATTCGTGGATGTTGGACGGATCCGGGGGTGCTTGGGCTTGGGCTTCTTGCTGCTTCTTTTTATCCTTCTTTTCCTTCATTCTCTTTCGCTTTTCTTCCGCGCCGGGTTTCTCCTCCGTTTGCGCATCTTCATTGTCGCCATTGGACGCAGCATCTTCACTTTCCTTCTTGTCCTCCATACCCTCGTCATCACTACCATCCTCCTCCTTGGTCTCTGCGGAAAAAGAGACCTTCTTTTCCTTCTTCTGCTTCTTTTTCTTCTTCGAAGATTCCTCGTCGGCCGCAGCAGATTCTCCCTTTTCTTCGGTCTCTCCCAATCGCCTCTTATTTTTCTTCTCCTTTTTGTCTTCCTTCTCTGATTTTTTCACAGGCTCCTCTGCTGCTTCCACATTTTCATCATTTTGTTGCTCCGGAGCCTCTTTGGCGTATTTGAGCTTGAGACCCAGTTTCTTCCACGCGGGAACGTGCGTTTCGCTCGCCATTGGTCGTTCGTAAACAGTATCTGCGGTTCTTATAGTAAATTGAAAATGAAGTATGATGTTTCACTCAAATATCGCCGAAATTTCTGGCGCGTTGAACGGACGTGGTCGGGGAATGTTCCTTCGGGATAAATTTGATAGCTTTGAAAAATTTCCACGTGAGCTTATCAGCGGGTCTGATAACGATAACATACTCTGGAGTATTCAATTGGTTTTGAACATACAAGTATTTCACGTTTTCTATTCGCTAATTTTTTCTTATTCTACCATTGGGACTTGTTGTATGTACACGAGTCAGGTCTGCATAAACTCATGTCTGCATAGACTGATTGCACAGCATCCGAGAGGAACCTGCGCTCTATACTGCTTGCCCGGTACCTTTATAGACCCGCGTAATTGCGCCCTCTACAACACAGCGTAGGGCTGGACTATTGAAAAATTATGCGGTCCAATTTCTAGGCGATGGCGGTCAAGTGACAGGGTTACAAGTACGCCCCGAGTCGGCCTTGGTAACCTAGGATACGATGTTGTTGATCAAATGGAGCGGTGTCTGACGTTTGGCTTGTAGCTTGATACCCATATTCGTCTTCCGCAGTGCTCTACTCTGTACAGCTTACCCAGCGTGGTGAACCGACTCGCGATACCTATATAACGAGTCATTCTGATGCCCGATATCTGTGGTAATCCTGTGATCTGCCAATGAGAAGCTTGACCGTGGTCATGTGACGACTACACGTGACATCATCGCCAAAGAGGGGCCCTTCCTTTTTTGGAAGCCCCACGACTGAATGGCCGGCCCGGAAAAACACACGACTCCGCGACGGGCGCCCGAAACCCCCAGTTTGTTGACAAAGACGGACAGCCCATTGTTTTGGATCGGCCTGAAGAGGAATTCCTCAGACACCGTTCCTTCCACTCACGTCATTCCTACTTTCTTTTTTTCGCTCGTTCTTCTTCGCGCTTTAGAATTCTTCCCTCTTCTTCCCGCGACGTCACCGTTATTTTCTTCGCAGGAGCGGAAGTTTTGACCCCACGCTTCCCCTATCGGTGTTTGGTTTACTACCTCGCAGACGGCATTGGGCTGTTACAACGCTACCGCGTACGGAAGAAGAAGAAGAAGAAGAAGAAGAAGAAGCAGAGGATTGGCGCATTGCTGGCTTATAGAGAGGCTGCGACATATCTATTGTCCCCAGCATGAGTCGTTTATTGACGGATCGGCAAGCCGACGAGCTGTGCGTATATCTACGTGTTGTGAATTGACCGGACTGGGCTGACTTGCTTCTTAGACATAAATCGATCATAGCGTACCTCTCCGCAAATAATCTACCGAACACCGCCGCAGCGCTTAGAGAAGAATTAAATCTGCCGGAAGATGTGTTTGACGCAGTTACGGTGAAGAAATACGAAACATTGCTGGAGAAGAAATGGACAAGTATTGTTCGCTTACAGAAAAAGGCATGTTCACAGTATAGAGCTCTGTCCATTTATTTTCACTCCAGCGATGTCTAATCAGCGTTCCGTGCGCAGATCCTGGACCTCGAGTCTCAAAAAGCGGCCCTGCAATCCGAGATCGATAACGCGACACCTGCCTCCCTTGTTAAGCGCACTCAAGACCCGACGTCTTGGCTTCCTACACAATCCCCCCGATATTCGCTGGAATCGCACCGGAACACCATCAACTGCGTTGCTTTCCACCCGGTGTTTTCTTCTATCGCATCCGGCTCTGACGATTGCATGATCAAGATTTGGGACTGGGAACTTGGAGAATTGGAGCGGACACTCAAAGGTCACACAAGGGCGGTCCTAGATGTCGACTACGGCGGTCCGCGAGGCGGTGTTATTCTGGCATCTTGCAGTTCCGACCTGTCTATTAGGCTATGGGACCCGTCAAACGAGTATCAGAATATCCGAACATTGGAAGGCCACGACCACAGCGTTAGCGCCGTCCGTTTTATACCATCCACGAACTTGCTTGTCAGCGCAAGCAGAGACCACGACTTGAGGATATGGGACGTCTCCACTGGATACTGTGTGAAGACAATACAAGGCCACAATGGCTGGGTACGAGATGTCTGTCCGTCACCCGACGGGAATTTCCTTTTCTCAACTGGCGATGACATGACTGCTCGGCTATGGGATATTTCTGTTATGTCAAACCCGGAGAACAAGCTGGTCATGTTTGGCCACGAGCACGTCATTGAATGTTGTACATTGGCTCCTCATACCGCGTATCAATACCTTGCACCCCTGGCGGGAATGAAGGATCATTCGTCCTCGAAGAGTACCGCAGAATTCATGGCGACTGGATCGCGTGACAAGACGATCAAACTCTGGGACTCACGCGGGAATTGTATCAAGACCCTAGTAGGACATGACAACTGGGTACGGGCAATTGGATTCCATCCTGGCGGCAAATATCTCCTCTCTGTGTCAGACGACAGGTCACTGCGATGCTGGGACTTGAGCCAAGAAGGGCGGTGCGTGAAGACCCTTGCTGAGGCCCACGAACGCTTCATCACATGTCTGAGGTGGGCACCAGGCATCGTCAAGGATCCTGCTGCTGCCAACTCTGCGGCGAATGACAAGAACGCGAAGAACAAGACAAACTTTCCCGACGTGCAAGTCCGCTGCGTTATCGCTACGGGCGGCGTGGATTGGAAGTTGAAGATCTTTGCAAACTGAGCGATGCAGTAAATACGATTCTGGGCCACAAGCGAAAACAACAAAAAAGAAATATTTCGAAAAATGGACGCACACGCAGACGCGGCTACTCTTGTAGACCGTAGGGGACGTTATGCATGCAGCTGAATTACGATGTCACAATGGAACTAGCTACCATTGGCATGACTTTCACGGAACGAACTGTCATGGGCTCTGAACCTGAACTCTCATCCACCATCACGACTCACGTCACCATCTTCGATCAAGCGCTCCAACCGATTGCTATGGCAGGGGACCGCGCCAACCGTCATCCTGACCTCGACCGTTTCATTGCGAAGACACGCAGTCCTATGGCTTATACCAAGGGAATCAGGACAAATAATTGAGAAGGCCACCTTGGCCAGACAGGAATGGCAGTGATAGAGTGAGGAGATGGAAACGAGTGCAGGCAGGCCCTCCCCTCATGACTTATGAATTAATGGGTAGATACGCCTTTTCCTATGCTGTCTGTTGTCCTTTCAGCCAGGAGTTTGGGCTCGATTCATGGTTATCGAGGATTTGTTTTGTGTTGTATGCATTGCATTAGGGATGGTATTAGCATTTATTTTGTTAATTGAAGATGAATAATTATTATGCCATGTTATCCGCCATGAATAGATTCGTATAATCCATATTTATAAAGCTCATGAGTTTATGTACGTAACGTATCCTAAAACTATGCCTCCCCGCCAGCCGTACTAGCCCCAGCACTCCTACCACCATTTCCATTACCAGCAGCAGCAGCATTAGCAGCCGCCGCCTTGCGCCTCAACCTCTCCTTCTCCTTTTCTTTCTCCCTCGAACTCGACGCCGGAACACGTCTCCTCCTAACCGGTTCATAAACATCATTAAAGTTCATAACAACACCCAAAAACCGCATATCAACATCTGGCTGATACGCAAGATCACCAAGGAGAATATTCAGCCTTGAGCGGAACTCCGCGCTTAACTCTGTGAGTCTCGTGCGCAGAGACGGAAGCATATGGTCGTCCGACCCGGTGTCGAGGTTGTTATTGTCAGCTGTGGAGCGACGGGAAGAAAAGATCGAGTCATGTTCGGAAACGCCCCAGCGGCCCTGAGCAGTGCGGTTTTCGATTTTCGCATTGAGTTCCTGCCGACGGGTGAATTCCGCTACTGAGAAGGAGTACAGGCCGTCGACGACGTCTTTGTAGGCGAGCATGATTTTGAGGATTGAGTGGAGTTGCGTAAGGAAGCCTTCTTCTTTCCCTGTTGAGGGGTCCTTTTTGAGTGATGATGTTGAGCCTAGGAGGCCCTTGTGTGTGATTGAGTTGAGGTAATTGGTGTGTGCTTCGATGAGGTCGTCGAGTGTGCAGCCTGGTTTGGATATCGCGATCTGCAGCTGGTCCCAGCTTGCCTCGATGACTTCGAAGAGGATGTAGTATTGGAGCTGGTTGACGAAGTGGATCATTTCTGCCATTGCGCAGTGCGCGCGTTTCCAGTCGGCCCCGACTTTATCATCTACGGCGCCGAGGACCCCGCGTGCGCCGGTCATGCAGCGGCGCCAAATGCTCCCGAGTGCGAACTCGACGCGCTTCACGCGCCAGAGGAAGTTGAAGACTTTGAGGTATTGGGTTGAACCCCAGGGGGTGATGACGACGTCGACGGGGGCGTCGATTTTGTATTCGAGGGTGAAGCAGTCCCAGCCGATTTCGCCGTGGCTGAGCTCGAGCATGCGGGCGTCGAGGCGGCGGAGGACGTCGGGGGAGTCATATTGGGCGTTTGAGGCGCGAATGGCGTGTTCGAGTTGCGCGGTTAGGTTGTGGCGATACTGGGAGTTCGCGGGGCGGTCGAGGTTGGAGGCTAGGGATTCCATGAGGAGGGCGATGAAGTCGCCTTGGCCTAGGAGGAGGTATTTCTTAAGGGCGTGGAGGTGGTCGAAAAGTTTGAATTTCTCGTCCATGAGGCAGATTAGGCGGGCCATGGTTGTTTTGTAGGCTTCGTCGATGGAGGTCTCAAGGCTGGCTGTGTCGCCGTAACGCAGTTCTTTGGATTTTTCTTTTGAGTAGGCCTCGACCCAGCCTGAGTCGCCGCAGCCGTAGCGGATGAAGTTTAGGGATTTGCCGATTAGGAAGACCTTTTTGGCAAATTCCTGCGTGATGATAGATGGAACCATATTGTCGTCTAGTTTGTACTTATCTTCCCAGACGCTTGTTGCGATGCGCCTTGGATCCGTGCTTGGTCGGAACTCTGGCTCCACGACGAAGAACTCCTGGAATGGATCTGATAACTCGCCATCGTAGATCCAGTGTCGAAGCATCTCGTAGAATGGACGCGTGATGTGTGCCAGTAGCTTCTCCGCAAAGGCACAGACGAATGGGTCTCCATGTGACGTCGAGAAACCATGGATTAGAGATATCAATTGACCACCCTTTTTGCCTACAATATGTTAGCTCACTGCTGTACACACTAACGTAGAAGTAACGTACTCTGAGCTTCCTCGACAATCAAACTCATCAACCGCAGAGCCATTGTGGCATCCCTCGTCCAAACCACGCATCGTTTCAAAGTCACTCCTCCCTTGAGCACACTTCTAGACTCGTTGTCGTCGGTATCGCTAGGAATGGATAGTACCCGACGGATCTCGCCTTCCAAAGTTGCTACCAAGCCCAGATATGACCGAAGTTCCTGAGAAAGAGCAGCACGCAGACTCTGGCTCACCAAGCCCCCATCCGAGCTATCCACAAAGCTCGACAGACCTCTATACAACAAACATGGCTCCGCCAGAGAATTGAGCAGTGATACCATGGGAATCGGTAGTGTTGGGGGTAGCTTCAAGGTAGACGATGACGAGAACTCAAGATTCGAAGACGACAGTCCCTGCAAATTATACGGCAGGTCCTTCAACAGTCCCTGCTCCGGCGGTTTCACAAGTTTCTGCTGCTCTTCCGTCGACGGCTGCACGACAGGTCTTTGCTCCTCGATCGGGGGCTCTCTCGGCCCTGTATTCGCACGAGAACGCGCCGGCCGTGGCCGTGGCTGTGGCTGCGGCTGCGGCTGCGGCTCCCTCGCCCTCTCATACTCGTCCCCATCACGCTCATACTCCTGTCTCCGCAGAGAACTATGCCGCTCCAACCTCGTCGACGGCGCCGGCGGCCTTTGCGACGCAGACGAGCTGACCGCCGGGCCCTCCTCATCAGAATAATGTCTCCCCCTCTGCAACATACTCTGCAAATTCCCCTCCTCCATCAGAGGACTCCGATTCCCTTCCTCCTCCATCCCCAACATTTCCTCATCCACAGGCTCCTCGTCCCCAGACAACTGATACAGAAGAAACAGAATCGCCCATTTCTGCGACAACACAGGCTGCGTGAGCAGTCTCGAATACAAATTCGAAAACCTGACCGCCTTATCCGGACTTGCATTCTCCCGCAATAACTTCCGCTTAATCAAATCAGACGCGTTGTTGATGTTCTCCCCCGCAAGACTGCCTCGGCGGTGGATTCCATACCCCGCAGGACCGATGGGCGAGTTCGGGTCGTTGTTGGTGGGTGTTGTTGCATGCGCGTCGACGACGTGCCATGCTCGTTGGAGGTTTTCGTGGTGGCGCCGTTCTTCGGCGGCGGCGAGGAGGTCTTCCGGGTCTTGGGAGAAGGATGCTTCGGGGGAGAGGTCAGAAAGGGTGAGAGGGGGTGTTAGGGAATCGATCAGTTGGGAGAGGGCGTCGTCGATGCGCCGTGGGCGGGTTGGGTGTCGGGAGGACATTGTCGCTGGTTTCTTTTCGCTCGAATTGAACTCGTTGGTATAAGATTATAGCGAGGTCGCGACTTGTAAGCACGTGCACAGGTCGTGCAGATTGATCTCAGCGATCTAAGCAATTGAATCTGGAGTATCTCGAATAGGAATAGAGTGAGAGTAGGCGGAGAACGATGTTCACCCGGATCTCTTGCGTGAAAACAAAGCGCGAATTGGTCTATCGAAAGGGCACATCTCGTCCCACGCCCTTCACAGTCGTATTGGTGATCCCAAATACACAAGCCTTAATCGAGTCGTCAATGACCGCGTTCTGCAGGGACGTGTTGGTCGTCTGTGTGCGGAACGGGATGTTTGTCGTGTTTGTTTTGAAGTGCCAAGTCTTGAGGCTTATCGCTTATCGCCGAGGTCTGTCTATATAAAGACGCGTAGTATGAAGTAGAAAGTCAATTGAAGAATACTAGTAATGGTATTGGACAAGTCGATAATATAGAAAACAGACATTAAACCACCATTGTACGCCGCCCGGAAACACATAAAGTAAAAAAGAAGCACAAAACCAGTGCCCTGCGAATATTGAACAGACGAACGAAATTCCCAAAGCCAGGGGAAGCAAAGAAAAGAGAAAAGAGAAAGTACACAATACTACATCGCCCTGGTCTCGTGGGAGTCACGGCCAATGCCGCTCAAGGCCAAGGGCTCAAAGAAAAGAAGGCCAGAAGAAAAGAAAGAAAAAAAAAAAAAAAAAAAACACCACATAAAGCAAGAAAAAGCAACCTGAAGCTTGTACGCCGGATTTACACGCCATTCGGTGACTTGCATCCGTGTCACCTCAACTGATTTCAGCCCGTTCACTTTTTGAAAGTTCGTATACATCATTAACACCTGTCCATGCCAAATAGGTCCCGTGTAAGAAAAGCTCGCAGCCGAAAATAAAGAAGCCTGAGAAAAGAAGGCAAGGAATACCTAACCCCGGGGTAAGAAAGACAGCCGCCCTGTCGGCTGATGCGCGCTGAGAAGCAAGTAGCTGGATTCAGAAGAATGGGAAAAGAATTATCGAAAGCGGCCCAGGCATCATTCGACCGCTATCAAGCGCTGGTTAGATTCGTAGACTGATATTACCGTCGAATGCTTTGAGGCATCGGCGCGCCGGGTGGCATGCCCATGTTGTTGGGGATATTATATGGATGCGGTTCGTATCCAGATGACATGCCATTCATCATGAGAGGGCCAATGCCTTGTGCTTGTGAGACAGGGCAGTCCTTGTGAGCCAACAGGAGAGTCTTGAGGTTGACAATTTCCTCGCGCAGTTGGGTAACAGTGGCGGTAAGGGCATCATTCTCGGTGGTGAAAAGTTCAACCTTGTTCTGGAGGTTGGCCAACCATTGCTTCTTTCGCTGTCGGCACTTGAGAGCAGCGACTCTGAAAATGGCTAGTTAGCAAACTAAATCGCGATGGCAAGAGAATAACACCTGGAGCTTACCGGTTACGTTCAAGGAAGTTGCGTCGCTTCTCTTCATCAGTCATCTTTTTGGGATCCATTTGACCCTTGGGTTTCTCATCGTCTTCATCGGATTCATCCGACAGGGGCTCCATGCTAGCACTGGCCTTGGACTTCTTGTTGGGACCCCTGGCCGGCGAGTCTTCCGCCTTCCGCCGGTTGCCGGCTGCGTTCGAAGCTCGCGTGTTCGCACCCTTCTTACCCTTGCCTCTGGTAGCTGGCTTAGTCGGCTCACTCTGTAGATCAGATGCGTCACTCATCTCACGACCATTGTTCACGGCAGCACCATTCACATGCTGCGACGCTCGTCGGGTGTTCGGACCCGCGTCGCGTTGGTCGTTCTGCATGGTTTGTGGGGGTATTGAAGGCTGATTCGTAGGTTGAAACTGATTCTGCTGACCTCCTTTAGCCAGCATGAAGAGTCCGTTGGCCGCATCAGCCGCATCGTGGTGCGTGAATGGATCAACCACGGCAGGCTGAGAGTTCTCCTTGACATCCATGGCCGTTGTTTGGGTTTCTTGCTGGGGCTCCGTTGTTGGGTTGGAGGTAGGTGCGCTGATTCCGTTCTTCTTGGCGGCGTTGAGGGCAGTACGATGGAACTCAATGGTCGAGGGAGTAGCGCCACCACTCTGCAATTGCTGGAAAATGGCTTGAGAATTGGGACTCGGGGCGGGGAACATCGAGCCGCCACCACCGGGAGTCAGACCGGTACGCAGAGACGATTCGTTGGGCGTAGGAAAGCCTCTGCCAATGTTATCAAAGTAATCGTTCGAAGGAGTCGGACCCGCGAGCATGGCAGGACTCAAGGGACCGGAACGCAATGAATTAGTCCAATTGTAGCCGTTGGTTGAACTGGCGGTGGGCAGAGCTGGGGAGGTAAGAGCGGCGACGGGAGGAAGCAACGACTTGCCGGGGGTCTCATTGGACGCACTGGCACCTCCAGCACCGCCGTTATTACCGCCGAAGGATTGCTCGAACGGGTTGGGTTCGAGCGAGAAGGGGTTGTGAACCGAGTTGAAGTAGTCGGGAGTGTCTGTAGCCGACGGTCGAGGGGGAGGCGCCAATGAGTTTTGCGATTCTACATCTGGCTTCTGATCTTTGCTGTCTGATGATTGCGCCCTGGAGTCTGAAGGCCAGTCAGTAAGGATGCTACAAGGTAGTTGGTGAGGCAACAACAGTAGAGACGACGAGATAGTGGTTCAATCGCGTTGTTGTTTCGCGACATGGTGGGTAGAGGAGTACAAAACAGCAGTCAACCGTCGATGCCGTCAGATGTGAGGTCATCCCGAGGAGGATGAACACATGGTCCGACACCGTGGCGGACGACCAGCAGCAAGATATATAAGAAAGGGAGAATGTCTTGTCAAGTGGCAATGTAAGGTAAGATGATCGACTCGACTCACCTTCCGGCTTCAAAACGTCGTTCTTCGAGTCCATGGGGGAATTACTAGTGTCGGCTAAGCTGGTCGAAACTGTCGGGGCGACAGCAGCAGACATAATGCGCTATGACAAAGTCGCAATACCGTAGAGAGAAAAGTACGTTAGAATCGTAGAGATAGTCGAGGGCCGCAGGCGACCCCAACGAGTGGACAGGGTGGCAATGGAACAAGAAGTACCGCGCTGTAATAAAATAAAATATAAAATAAAACAAAAACAAAAAAAAGGGAAAATAAAAACCAGTCGAACCAAGCGCGTGTTTTGTTAGTATTGGAGTATGTTTAGTGGTGGTGGAGGATGATGATGGCAGATGATGATGCTAGAGGAGCCGGTGATGAAAGACGAGCGAAGATGATTTCACACAGAAAACGGGTAACAGAGCGAAAAAGTGTGAAGGAGGAGAGAAAGAAGAATTGGAAGTGACGTAGTCGGGTTGGACCAGGAGGACGTATTAAATTTAGGGGGGGCCTCCCGAAAGAGGAGGCGGTCAGAGGTCGTGAGCTAAGCAGGTTTGTCGTATTTTTGGTATTTTTGGTATTTTTGGTATTTCTGGTTTTTTCTGGTCATGCTGTAACCCTGGTTTTTTGTCTGAGGAACCATGCAAGTCTATTCATTCTCTCTTATGGTTCTGAAAATCTTTTTTTACTGTGACCATAGTACTTTTATCGGTCCTTTACTACTACTGACCACTATACGGAAAACTCCCGGCAAAATACATCCTCTTATGATCAGAAGGCAAAGAAAATTCCTTACACGCGAACCTGGAGACTGTGGGCCTCGGCAGTACCTAGCAGCCAATTATAGCTAGTCTGACATGGAACGATGGTGGGGACTAGCCCCGATTATCCAATCAGCAACCAATCGTTTTTTTCCTGGTCGAAATTCGTGATCCACGGTCGAACCACAGCCGTCTTCTGTAACATGGTCGAAAAAAAAAAGAAAGATAGCAGAATTTCTCTCTATTCTCTCTATAATCGAGACATGGTAACTATCTCTATACACAGACTCGATACTCGACTGATAACAAAGACAGAAATGCAAGAGGGGGAGCGGGATGAGGTCACGGTGACGACGGCAGGAATTTTGCCGGGTGTCGGACCAGCCGGGTGGCCATGGACCCACTCTGTCCAGCCACTAACAGGCCGGTATCCAACCCAACCACTTGAGGTGTCAGTGTACACTGCTACTATGGCCATTCACTGTGCTGTATTTTGGTCAATGCTTGAGACTATCCTCTGCCTATATAAGAGTTATCTCTAGAAAAATTCTCACCATCCACAGGCTTACTATGTACTGTGTGGTACAGTACATATTCTGCCATGGTAATACATACAACTTGCCCTGATTGGATGTAGGTGATGACGCAATTCCATGCTACCCGTGGATAGGTGTCACGTGCTGTACATATCTTCAGGATTTGGTTGGCTGGTCGCCACCTCTGCAAGTCTGGATTCCTAGGAGAATATTCGGATAACGGCTGGTGGAGGAACGGAATGCTGGATATCTGGAGAATGCATAACCGGAGTGCTGTGAATAAGTTGATATCTGGACACAATGAACGCGTATCAAGCTCTGACAATTCCTTGGATCTTTGCATGACTCGATGCAAGGAACACGGATCCATCGCTGGATCCTGGCGTTTGATACTGCTCAGAATGTAATAAATTGTAAACATGACCTATTCATGCGAGTTATATCAATCTCCAGGCTGTCGGGACAGGTACGATACTTTCAGCGAATACGTCAACCAGCACTGCGCAATTGATTAGACCATTGTCCAGAACAATTCGAATCACATATTGAGTATCGCAAAGTAAACAGTACCGCTGTTATTGTCGATACGTCATTCCACGGTATCTATCTACGACCCCCGATAAGTCGAATAGCTCCAAGGCCCCAACAACACCGGAACATGATAATGCCTCCATCCCCCCTCGCCCTCGATCCCCCGTCCCTTGACCACAAATTTCACCTCCACCTCCGGCCAGAAGCTCTCCACGCCCTGTGCCGCATACCAAGGCCCCGTCTCAAACCGCACAGACCAGCTGGTCTTGCTGTCATCGGCCGGCAGGGCGGCGAGGAACTCGGGGACGCTCGTCGATCCGGTGGACGATGCAGATGTCCAGTGCTTGACTCGTCCGTCCGCGTCGGTAGTTGCGTAATATGTGAGGATAGGTTTGTAGCTGTTGCTGCTGGTCGCGGAACTTGAGAGTAAGCTTAAGGTCACGGGGAGGTTGGCGGCGGGTGTGCCTGTCAAGGTGTTGAGGGCGTGACAGGTGATGGGATCGCGAGCCATTGTGCGTAGTCTGGGAGGTGGGTGTGTTGTCGGATGAGGTGTTGTCGGCTGCGGTGCTGTCGTTGTTGCTGGAGGTTGACCGTGGCTCAGTTGGTTCTGATAGAGCGTGAGACGCTCCGTGGTTCTATTCACTCGGTCACTGGGTGGAGGAGCTGGCTTGTTCAAGTCCATCAAGTAGGACGAAATGATAGAGAAAGATAAAGAACGGACAAGAGGAGAAAGAGCTAGATAAGGATTGTAAAGAGGGTGAAAAGATACGGTGGTCTGCAGAGGAATCTACCACCGACCACCTGTCATGCAGTCTGTCTCATCGGAGGACACCGACATCCATACGGCGGTATCCTCTGGCGGGGTACTTCTGCATCTTGGCTGTAGTGTTTCGTTCTTCTGGATCAGTAAAAGCCTATAATAGAGCATGTTACAGGGGTAAAGCTATCCAGTACAGAGTACTTTGTATATTATCGGGCATGCTACGTGGATCATTAAAGTGATATCTGAGTGATCATGGCTGCCGATTATCTGGCAGCCTCAGGCATAAGTATCCGCACGTGCACCCGTCAGTTTGTGCTGTCATCCACCGTCAGGCGTTTAATTGCTTTGTCCTAAAAGTGCTCTAGAACATTTTGCTGCTTGGACAATCGCACCCTGTCTTTTCTTGGTGTAGCCTAGCGTGTTGCCTACACTTCCGGAATCTTCGACTACCGCAGATCAAAAGAAAAAGTTGCCTGCGGGGAACTATTGCCTACACCAAAGCAGCTACGTGGTAAACCACTTGACACATACAACAGACACAACCTACTACCATTCCCTCCAGAATAATTTGAATTTTGAAAGACGAATCCCACAAGCCGATCACAATGTCCTCCGCTGTCGTGCAAAACGACGACCTCAACATGGAGCCCACCCTCCAGCCGCTCCTCGACCAGAAAACCCTCCGCTGGATATTCGTCGGTGGTAAAGGTGGCGTCGGAAAGACGACAACTTCTTGCTCTCTCGCGATCCAGCTCGCCAAAGCCCGCAAGTCCGTTCTGCTCATCTCGACCGATCCCGCGCACAACCTGAGTGATGCCTTTGGACAAAAGTTTGGCAAGGAGGCCCGGCTTGTCGATGGATTCGACAACCTCAGTGCTATGGAGATTGACCCCAATGGGAGTCTGCAGGATCTGTTGGCCAATGGGGAGCAGCAGGGTGATGACCCCATGGCTGGTTTGGGTGTTGGGAATATGATGCAGGATTTGGCTTTCAGTGTATATTTCGCTGCCTCTGGAGGTACTGTGTGTGCGTTGCTAACTGATTGTAGATCCCCGGTGTCGATGAAGCCATGTCATTCGCAGAAGTCCTGAAGCAGGTCAAGTCCCTCTCTTATGAAGTTATCGTCTTCGATACCGCCCCGACCGGTCACACCCTTCGATTCCTGCAATTCCCCACCGTGCTCGAAAAGGCTCTGGGCAAGCTCTCGCAGCTGTCGTCGCAGTTTGGTCCGATGTTGAACTCGATTATCGGGGCCCGTGGTGGCCTCCCCGGTGGACAGAACATGGACGAACTTATGGGCAAGATGGAATCTCTGCGGGAAACAATTGGCGAGGTCAACACCCAGTTCAAGAACCCCGACCTGACCACCTTTGTTTGCGTCTGCATTGCAGAATTCCTGTCTCTCTATGAAACCGAGCGTATGATCCAAGAATTGACGAGCTACGGCATCGACACGCATTCCATTGTTGTCAACCAGTTGCTGTTCCCCAAGAAAGGGAACGACTGCGAGCAATGTAATGCTCGGAGGAAGATGCAGCAGAAGTACCTCGAGCAGATCGAGGACCTGTACGAGGACTTCAACGTCGTTCGCATGCCATTGTTAGTCGAGGAAGTTCGAGGAAAGGAGAAGTTGGAAAAGTAAGTTTTCCTCGTGGTTCGACTTGATTGTGTTGACTAACTGTTCCACAGATTCAGCGAATTGCTCACGCACCCGTACGTTCCTCCGCAGTAAGCGATATCTTTCGGAATAACTGCGATCTAAGACGTTGAATATACTACTATTTTGGGATGAGTTATGAAAAGAAGAGAATATAATACATGAAGCGTTGCTGATACCTAATGCTCTTATTTTGGTTCTTTTTCATTAACACTGATATCTGCCATCATATCACCATGTAGAAATAATATCATTGGCATTTTGCTTTACTTTCTTACCATTGTCAGGTCTGCATGCCAGAGGTTTACTCTCGACGCCGCATGGTTACGTTCTTGGACGTCTTTCGCAGGAACCGAAGACACGGCAGGCCGTCCCCGGCCGCTCCGGTGTCATACTGAAGATGATTTGCCTTGACATATCCTTGTATGGAATATTATTCGGTGCTGAACTGCGTACTATATCGCTCTCCAGCACAGACCTGCAAATTCAACGTCTGAATATTGACAATTGTTTCTCTGATAGACACGGCGTCATTACGGCTATTGGCTTCATCCCACATCACCATACCCACATCAACCGCTTCTCCTCGCTCTACTCATTCCCTCCAAAGTAGCAGAATGTGTTGAATTATGGTATACTCTTTATATTTCTCAACATTAATATGTTCGAACTCCGTCTACAATATCAGATCTGGATGCTTGTTCGGAACCGAAACACACTTGGCACCCCCGGAACCGAACATACACGAGAACATCCGGCGGAAGTGACAACCATACAACACCGGCAAACTGCGCCAATTTCCCCGAAGCTTTGGCCGAATCATCTCATTCCCCGGATTTTGAAAGCATGAATCGCTGATCCAATCACAGCCAGCAAAACAGAGCCCCCTGGGCCGTGTGTATGCCGAGGAGGACAAGTTCCCTACCGCAGATGCCGATACTTACCCCAGATGATGCCGAATTGTTGTCAGACCAGGTCAAAAATGCCTCTCCGGTTGTCACCCCAGACTGCGCTAGTATAAATTTGAAAATATGGGGTTAGGCCGGGCTGATTCCGGTCTGGTGTCAGTTTTTTGGTTTTGGTCTCTGGTTCCGAAGTATATTTATCAGGGGCGGTTCCGTTGTTTTTGTTATGGGGTTAGAAAAAGTTTCCTCAAGTTGCCATTGAAGACATACTACTCGTTTCAAATCCCTCATAGTCATGGCCGGGAGTTACACGCTGAGCCAGCCATACTTTGGCTTGAAGGGAGGATGGTTGACGTTCTGGGTTACCGTTGCATGTGCAACGGATATGATGCTTTTTGGTTATGACCAGGGTGTTTTCGGTATGCTATCTCATGCACATCTTGGCTTGCTAGATGGTGATTCATTGTACTGACTTTTTGCCTTTCTATCCAGCCGGTGTCATCGTCACCAAGGACTTCTTGAACGTACACGGCCTCAACAATAACGAAAGCCTCATCGGAACCGTCACTGCACTATATGATGTTGGTTGCTTCTTCGGGGCAATCGGTGCCATGTGGCTCGGTGAAAGACTAGGCCGGAAGAAGTCTATCCTCACAGGAACCTCGATCATGACCGTCGGCGCGATCCTGCAAATTGCCTCATACAGCGTCCCTCAGATGATTGTTGGTCGGGTCGTTGCTGGAATCGGGAACGGTATCAACACCTCCACTGCACCTGTCTGGCAGGGCGAGACCTCCCAGATCAAGTGGCGAGGAAAGTTGGTGATCATTGAACTGGTCATGAACGTTGCTGGCTATTCGTTATCCAACTGGATGACGTTTGCCTTTTCATTTGTTCCTGGGCCAGTATCCTGGAGGTTCCCTCTTGCGTTCCAGATTGTTTTCATTATCGTCCTCTATGCGACCGTCCCGTGGCTCCCCGAGTCGCCTCGATGGCTGATCAGCTGTGACCGTGACCAAGCAAACGAAGCCCAACAGATCATCGCCGACCTGGAAGGCAAGGACATCAACGACCCCTACATTATCACAGCCTACTCCGAGATTATTGGCACTGTCGAGTTTGAAAGAGCACACGACGTCTCCTGGGGCCAGCTGCTGCGCGGCAAGACAGGTGAGAACAACGGTGATACCCAACCACTCCGCCGTATGATCCTGGGTGCTGGCGCCCAGGCCATGCAACAGTTAGCCGGTATCAATGTAACCTCCTATTACCTCCCCACTGTCCTGATGCAATCCGTCGGACTATCTGAGATGCTCGCCCGTCTGCTGGCAGCATGTAATTCGGTTTCCTATCTCCTGGCAAGTATGGTGGCCATCCCCAAGATTGAGCACTGGGGTCGACGCTCGATACTCATGTTTGCCGCCTTGGGCCAGGGGACGTGCTACCTGCTCATTACTGTTCTCCTGCGGTTCAATGAAAAAGAAGGCTACCCACACCACAAGGAGGTGGCGTCTGCTGCAGTGGCTTTCTTCTTCGCTTACTATGTGTTCTTCGGCTGCAGTTATCAGGGTATCGGATGGTTGCTTCCCGTCGAACTGAACTCCCTAAGCATGCGTACAAAAGGCGCGGCCCTGGGTACCGCAACAAACTGGGCAACTAATTTCATGGTTGTCGAAGTCACCCCCGTCGGCATCAAGAGTCTTGGATGGAAATTCTACATCATCTGGACTGTTTTCAACTTTGCTTTCATCCCCACGGTGTATTTCTTTTATCCCGAGACGGCTAATCGATCTCTGGAGGACATTGACCGGTTCTTCCATGAGAATCCGAGCCTCTTTGTCAACGGTAACCCCGAGGCTGTTAACATTAAGCGGCCGGCCCGCTATGTTGAGATTGAGAAGGAGTTGGTCAGCCAGAGTGCTATTGTTGCTAGTGCTAAGCAAGAGACGAGCGGTTTGGAGGGTCAGACTGGGCATGTTGAAGTTGTTTAACCGTATCATTTGTTTGACGATATAGTTATGTGTACACGATAGATATATCACTACTTAGAACACCCTATACTCTCAGCACCTGATGATGTATATATACTTATGATATCAATTGAAATCTCCCATCAACAGAACCACAATCTCTCCCACGTAACCACCCCTGGTAAACTAAACGAGCCATGGTTAAAACAACCTGCAATCAGGAACTCCGCATGTTCCCTGACTAATCACTCTCCACACTGTGGAGAACGCGGGGAAAGAAGCCGACTGTCTCGTAGAATTTATCCATCGACAAGTCTCCTGCAACTCAAAACAATGGCTACAGCCATGGCGCTGGACCAAGAGCAAGACCTCATTGAGGTGCAAGAGCAGACCAATGGTCATGCGATACCGGAACAGAGTCCTGAAGCTTCATCGGTGAAGAGGAGGCGGGTTAGTCGCTCGGTGTTGCCTACTCGGGTTAGCAGCGCATGCGAAAGATGTCGGCATCATAAGTCGAGGGTAAGAAATCGCCAGATAGGGCTTTTGGGTGATGTGCTAAAGGTGAAGGTGATATAGTGCGATCCATTCCGGCCTTGTTCGTTATGTGTCCGCGCGAATGTGGATTGTCGACCGATTTCGGCGCCGGCACGGAAGGAGAATTCGCGGTGAGCTATTGCGCATGGCCCATATTGTAGGCGCGCATGCTAATGCTTGATAATGTGGTAGTAACGAGAAACCTAAACGACGTCGCCCCAATCCCTCGCGAACGACTCCTACTGAAGAAACCTGGAATATCGACAATGCTCCTCGAAGTGACACGGAGCCTCGAGCAACCACCGCACCCGCACTCGCACCCATGCCAACCGGAGATAGTGACGGCGCCGCTTCAACAGACATGAGCCCACAATCATCACTCGACTGCGGCGAAGCGGAATCAGCAATAGGAATTGCGCGCAAAATCTGCGAATTGGGCAGCCAGCACATCGACGAACGGACTACCTCCGCTATACCGGGTTATCGAGCCAGCACCAGTGCACCTGTTACATACTCTGCGACGATTGGGCAACGGCTACCGATATCTTCTATTCTGGGTCAGCTGCTGCCTCCAATGGAGCTTGTGTATGGGCTGTTGGAGGATTACTTCGATTCCGTACATTGGTTCTCGCTGGTGATTTATGAAGCGAAGTTTCGGAGGAAGCTGGCTTCGATCGCGGATGGGTTTGCGTATCCATCGCAGAGGCCTTTCCTTATACTGTTGACCGTGATGCTTGGGGTGGCGGCGTGGTATAGGTCTCAGAGGAGTGGTACGGAGCTGGTCGACAATGGTCCCGACTGGAAAAAATGGAGCGCGGACCTGGTCAAGCTTGTCGAGGGTGACTTGGTGGAATTAATGGATCAGCCGTCCATCACCGCTGCGCAGACGTGTATTCTGCTTGGGTCGTATCATGTTTATCATGGCCGTCCTAACCTCTCTTTTTCGTTGCTGGGTGCGACTATCAAGATGTCGCAGGCTTTGGGGATGCATCGAGAGCCTTTGAGAGGAAATTTTGAAGATATTGAGGAGAGGAAGAGGGTTTGGTGGACAATTTACACATGGGACCGATTCGCTTCAATTACCTATGGAAGACCATTGGGAATCAACGATAAAGACTGCAACATCAACATGCCAGCAGACGTTTGGGAGAACCCATCGTTTGTCTCTCCAAGGCAAGATCAGAGCTCCATATGCTACTCTCCCTACCAACGGGAGCTGAACCGTCTCTACCTGATTGCATCGCCAGCCCTGGAGATTATATTTGGTTCACGTACCTCGAGGACGTCTGACCAATTGGCCGGAGACACATACGCCGCGCTGGTCAAGGAAGCCACGCAGAACCTCCAAAAATGGCGAAATAGTCTACCAAATCACCTTGTTTTGGATCTTCAGCGGGATTTCCGCTCTGACGGCGGTTCAGATGCGAAAGCATATGCCTTGCAGTCGTTATCGTTGCACCTGACATATGACAACGTCCTCATCGTCATGCACCGACCATTACTAGCGCGACAAGTTGACCATCTCTCTACGACTACAAACGGTCCTTCACCAGGAACTTGTGAGGTAGACCCCATGACCGCCGCATCCCCCAAACCGAACCTCTCCCAAACAGCCAGCTCAGAACTCTGGATGAACGCCGCAGTACGCACATCACGAGTAACAGAACTACCAGTTCTTGCTCAGTTAGCTACAGATAGCCACCTCGTCGCCTTCCTCGCAATCAACCTCTTCAACGCCGCCATCGTCCTAGCTGTAATGGCTCTTTCAGAACCTCTCTCCAACACCGCGCAGGACGTTAAGCGCACTATTACCCGCATTCTTCGCCTACAGGACTTACTTGGCAAGCGATCTGCACTATCGAAACAAAGTACTACAGTGCTTAAGAACGTTGTTACGATGCTTCTCCGTCGCGAATCAGCAGCCATGCTGGCTCCGATTACGGGGGCGAATCAGTCAACGGGGCATCAGAGGGATAAGGATAAACAGAATCTGGGGGATCCTTGCTGTATGTCTGTCGAGGATACGCTGCGGTTACCGCTTGATGCGTCGCTGGAGTTGTCGGATCCGCTTGCGGGCAGTCAGGGGTGGTTGGATGTTAGTAGGGCGCATCGGTTAAATGAGAGTTTGACGTCTGTTCAGTGTGGTATGTTCCTTCCCTTGTGCTTAGGTCATATCAGGTTGCTAATGTAGTTAGTTATGGCTCCGGGTGATATCAATGTGCCTGTTCAAAGTGAGCAGCAGTACGTATCGTCGGAACAATTGCAGCCACAAGGTGTTTGGCAGATGCCGGCCGAATATGAATGGAATGGGACTAGTGCCTCTCCCAGGGGTGTAGAAGACAGCTACCGGGATGTTGAAAGTGGATTGTACTGGTTATGGGACATGGCATGGAATGGAACAGGTGGGTAATTATATTTTTCTTTTATCTATCCCCTTCAAATGTCTAACTGTCTATAGAACAATAATCTAGGCTGCTTTTTTCGCCATATTCTCATCAACCTCCGGACCATAAATCACAGTCTTGATACCAGCACGCCCAAGGACGTTCTTGAACGCATCCTCGACCTGCGAGAACGGATATTCATGCGTGACGATACCATCCAGGTTGATCCGCCTCGAGTTCAACAACCCAACGGCCAACTTAAAGTCCCCAGGCCCATACCGGAAGCAACCCTTGAACACAACCTCCTTGTCACAGATCTGACCAACAGGAATGGAAAGATTCGACTTCCCAAGTCCCACCTGCACAAACGTCCCCCCAGGCGCAACCGCATGCACACCAGTGTTCACGCACGGCTCCGCACCCGTAGCCTCAAGAACCACATTTGCACCATGCTCCAACCCAGCACTCTTCAAAAGCGCCTCCACATTCTCCTCCGGCGAACCCGCGCCCATCTGATACGTATGCGTAGCCCCATACTTCAGCGCACTCTCCAACCGACTCGTCACAATATCAACCACAACAACTGTACTCGCCCCAAACGCCCTCGCAACAGCAACACACAACAACCCCACCGGCCCCGCCCCAAACACGACAACCGCCTTATCCTGCATATCCCCACCAAGCCGACACCCATGCACCGCAACACCAAGCGGTTCGACCAACGCACCGTCCCGCAGCGAGATATGCGGAGGCAACTTGTAGCAGCATTCAGCGGGCACGCGGTAGTACATGCACAGGGTGCCGTCGATGGGAGGGGTCGCGGCGAAGACCATGTTGTGGCACAGGTTGTATCGACCAGCACGGCAGGGTGGGCATGTGTTACAGGCGACACCGGGTTCGAGGGCGACGCGGTCGCCGACTGTGAGGCCCTCAGCTTCTGCCTTGGGACCGAGGGAGGCGATTATGCCGGAGGATTCGTGGCCAAGGAGGAGGGGGTCTGTGACGACGTAGCGGCCGAGTTGGCCGTTGTGCCAGTAGTGGACCTACACGTTATCAACATGAGTTCTTCTTTTCTTCATATTTTTGCTGGGTTTTGGGAAACGTACGTCAGAACCACAGAGACCGGTTGCAACGACTCGAACGATCACATCGCGGTCTGACTTGAGTGTTGGGATATCACGGGTTTCATAGCGGAATGTACTCTGGGGAACGAGCACGCAGGATTGGTTGGTAGTCTGCACTCGTTAGCAACAATTCCATCAAAACCATCAAGAACATAGAGAACTAACGTGTTTAATACCCGACATCTTGTCTTCTTCCTTGTGTCAAGTGTAGTATGTAAACAGAGAGTTGACAAAACCAAGAAAATCCACGGGGACCACAGCTATTTCAACCCCCCGCTCACAACCCCCAATCCCACATTTATTTTTAGCGCCGCCATTTGTGCACTCCGTATTTGTCGGTCGGTTTTTTTCGGTTTATTCAGCCTGAATTGTTTCCACTGTCCGGTTCCGTTGGTTGTGATGTTATGCATGGTTTTTCGGTTCCGGAGGGGTGCCAGGTCGTGGCTGATCCGGTTCCGCGGGGAGATAAGATAAGGTGAGGGTCCCGTGGTTGTGGTTAAATGGGTGCCGGGTAATTGTGCGGGTAAATTGGTGTCACTACGGCGTCATGGGCTGAGAGGGTTCGGTAAATTGTTATTGTTTATGTTGGGGTTGTTTGGAAGGGATTGTACTATATAGAGCTAGTTTAGACCTGACGCCAAGGAAAATAACATGCACAGCAACACTGTATATCCGCGAGTACGGGACCAGTTACCTGACAGACGCCAGTATCAACGACTGCATCATGGTAGATCATATCTTCTTGATCTCCAGAAGTTTACAAGTCAAATAGGAATCAGTTTTTGATAGATTAGGGCTTCAATGTGAGATGGTTCTTGAATCTAGAACGGGATAAGGGAAACATGTATATCTAATCGACAGCCCGCCAGTTTTCACATCTCTATAGGTATAGACATTCGTAACAGCATACATCAATCACTTGTCTCATGTCACTGTTTACCTCTGCCCAAATAAGGACAGAGGAAGACTCTGCTCTCCTTCCTGCTTGTTTCTTTAACGGTGCGTATTGCTTTTGATATTCCCCCAGCATCAGATTCAATAAACCTCCCGGGAAAGGAAGGCCAACTAAAAAACGTATCTGAAAAATGAAATAAACAAAAATAGAACAAAAGAAACATAAAAAGGCGAACCACCTGAACGCCAGCCTGATGCCACTCTGCTTGGTTCCCATCATTCAAGAAACCCGCGCAGTATGGCGGGCAATACTAACATGAAAGAGAAAAAGACGTTCCCGTTACGGAGGGGTCGCAGCACATGGGTATTTATTTTGCGACGGCCGCACTGGAGGCTCATTAGTAATGTTGACCAATCAATAAGCAGGGGGAGAACGAACCTCAGGACTTGTGTCCGGAAGAATGCACCCTTGGTCTTCTCAATAACCTGCTGGTACACTGACTGAGGAGGGTGGTTCATGATGACAGTACCCTCCTGGTAGTCGATTTTGGCATCGACACGAGTGTTGCGGATCAGGTTGACAATCCACTTCTCACCCTCATCCTGGTTCAGACCAAGGCGGGTCGACAGATCCCTGTATACCGTTAGTTCTGATTGCAAACATATTTATAAAAGCGGAACGCACTTGATGTCAATCCGTTGGTGGATCTTGCAGTAACTCTCCGAGATCAAGTGACGAGCAGCCTCAATGAAAGCATCGGCAGCCGAAACGAGGAAGAAGTCGCCCCGGAGCACATTTTCAGCCTCAACCAGCTTCTTCTGGGCCTCCTCGAAGTCAAAGTCGACATAGAGCGCCTTGACAAAGTCGGTGATAGGGTCGCTGTATTCGTAGTCCTCCTGACGCACGACACGGATGAGGTCCTTCAGTTGCCTGTGGTACAAGCTGCTGTTGCGGTGGGCACGGTTGCGGTTGGTGATTACGGCGGCGGCCAGGTAGCGCAGAACCCAGGGGCAGTGAGTCTGGATGGTGTTGATGTAGGCGGGAGAGAAGAAGAGGTCGGTCAGGACATCGCGGGCGGGGTCGTGGTTGAAGAAGGGGAAGAGGGACCAGTGGATCAACCAGGAACGGTTCTGGAGCTGGCCCAGAGGGTTGTTGAATAACCGGGTCTCGATCGAGTCCTTGGCCTTCTGGACTTCCTCCATCGCACCCTCCCAGCTGGTGGTCAGGATCTCCGATGCCAACTTACCCCATGTGGCCGAGGCAACCTTGTCATTGTCGGTGGACAAAACACGGAACTGGTAGAGCAATTCGGCGGCATTCCCGTAGCTTCCGCAACTGTACTGGAATCGTCCGTAGTCGTAGAGGCTGTTGACCATCTCGTTGGTGACACCGTGCTCCTCCTCGAGGAACTTCAAGTTGGCAACCTTGTCGCTCCGCAAGTTGCCCACGACGCCCTCATCCTGCAGCAATTCGGTGATCTTGGCGCTCTCATCCTGGTACTGCTGCATCTTGGCCAGAACCTCCTCACGCTTCTTCGCGAACTCGTCGGGGATGGAGTCCGAGTCGTTGATGTCCTGCCAGAGGTTGGCCACATAGTCGGTCATGTTCGTGTGCTTGAGGAGCTCATATTTCGCACGGGTGAGTTCCTTCTCGTCCTCCTGCCCCGAGCCGAATTCGAGCAGAGGGAACACCAGATGGCGGTCGAGGAAGGGGATCAACTTGGGCAGCAGGTCATACTGGTTGGCGATCTCTTCAGCGGTATTGGGTGGGTGAGCGGCGGCACCACTGAGCAGCGTCTCCGCGGTGGGGGGAGCGTTGGCTGCCATGGCAGCTATATGAATAAGATATAGAGGGAAGATAAAGGGAAAAGGAAGAAAGAGACAGCGTGGACGGCGACGGGGTCTGGTGGTCGAAGTCACTGTGCGGGCGTCGTCTTTGTCGCTGGTGAAAAATGTGGGTGGGAGGGCTGGCGGTGACACTAGTCCCGAAATGGTTTAGTGTAATGAGCTTCGGCGCGGCGCAAAGAAAATCGCGAGAGAAAAGAGAAACCGGATCCCCGACTGGACTGCTTTATTGTGACTTGCAGACTTATCCCGGAGCCTCAACGGTGGCAGAGCTCTTCAAGTTTGCGATTTGATACCTGGGCTGCTCTATCGCGTTGATTGATTCCACTTATACCATTGAGAAACTCTACCACAAAAATGTCCTCCTTCCTCCACCTCCCGGTCTCATCGGCTGTTCGCAAGCAGTCCACCACAATGCCTCTGCGTCTTAACGCCTCCTCCTCCATTGCCTCCCCAAAGACAAACACTTTTTCAACATTATGTTCCTCGTCCTCTAGACTCCCCAAGTGCCGTAAGTCACCTCCCGCGTTGCCAGTTCCATCACATTGCCCATCACACCATCCCACCACGGACCAAGGGCATACATAAAATCACCTCACATACTGACCCCAATCCCAGAACCCCCCCTCCAACGCTCCAATTCCACACCAGCCCTCCCAACCCAACAAACCCGCTCCTTCCTGGCCCAAATCCGCCGCCAAACGCAAGCCCAAACCCACAAAGAGCACACCACCACAACCACCATCCCCCCGCCCTCTGCCGCCAACTTGCAACTTACCAACCTCCCTTACTTCATCCGTCGCACCCCTTCGAATCAATACCCTGTATACCTTGTTACAAAAGCCGGCGGTACCAAGCGGCAGACGAAGGTTCAGAAGACCGAGGGGGATTTGGACGCATTAAGGAGTGATCTTGCGCGGTATTTGGGGTTTGAGTCGGGTGATCTGCGTGCGCCGAAGAGTGCAGATGTTGCGGTTAACCGAGTTACTGGGCATATAATTGTTAAGGTATTTGGGTTCCGGTTACTTTCAGTGTGGTATAAGAAATGGTGCTAACTCATTACAGGGCTGGAGGAAACCTGAGATCCTCAAGTTCCTATCGGAACGCAACTTCTAATCTAAAAAGTACCCTCGAATTGATTTATTTACATCTTATCCGCCGCGTACTCTGTACAACCTCAGCTCTTTATCCATCTTATTCATACCACTCAGAATGAACGGGCGAAACGCACACCTCGCCCTCAAAAAAGTAAAGAATTGTTGGGAGATGTTGGACATGACGAGAAAAGAAACAAAAAAAAAAGAAACTTTAAACCTCGAAAACAAGGACAGCAGAATGACACGAGATCAAGACCGTTTTTCTTTATTATCCCTGTATTATTCTTCGTTTTTGTTGGCGTTCTGCTATTTTCCGTCTCGCGTGTTTCTCTGCACCATCTACTGCTGCTCTCCTTGTACTTGTCAATGTCTGTCTATGAACTATGACTCTTACTCATTCTCATCTCTTCTCGTTTTATGGTTGGCATTGTGTCTTTTCCTCGCTTTCTAGTTTTCTTTAATGGAGATGGCGCAAAAGTAGTCATTTGTTTTTGTCTGGGTATTTATCATCTATGTTTACTGCTTTGATCTACTTTTGACCTAGTATTCAAACGAAATGAAATGAATTGATGCTAAGCAAATCATGATTATTCTATTTATCCACAATTGAATCTGCCTTTTATTTGCTTCAATGACAATAAACAAAACCAACATACTCATACCATTCAACAAGACCCAGACAAGACCAAACTAGAGAGTAAGAACTCAAATGAAAATTTACCGTAGACAACATCATGCATGAAATGAATAATGTAAAAATGATCTCCTCTTCGCCCCGAGGGGGGTTTTGAGCATTGTACAGTGATAAACAGATACACTTGTATGGTCATGCCCCGACAATAATCATCCCAATCCCACCGGACCGGCGCCAAACGACATCAAATGAAACAAAAGAAGAGAAATGAGGCTTTAAGTACTTGGCTTTATATGGTGAAAAAGAGGACAAGAAAGAAACGAGGGAAGGAGGGAGGTTTAAGTATGGAAGGAAGAAAGGACACGAGAGAAACGAAAAGAGGCGATAAATAGTACCAGTTAGTAGGTTCCTTCCGCTTAAAAAAAGACATGAAATAGCAGAGATCACGAAACACACACGACGCCCTCTTGAAAATAGAAAAATGAACACTTGGGTCAATCCGCCAGTCGCGCATAAGTTAACAGTTGCCGAATAACGCCTGGGTCCACTTGGGGCATCAGCAATGCCCCGAGTAAACTTTCTTTCTTCGGGACGATCCCGGATGGGAATCGTAACCCGGAAGTGTCATCCACTTGCTTCGACTTTTCTGCAAGCCGGCGCAGGATCGCCAAGCCTCGGTTGATGATCGAGCTATATGCATATGCTTCCTCTGCTTGTGCTCTCGCAACCTGACTCTGGCGAGCGTGTGGATTGAATGGTGGTGGGACGCGTTCCGTGCTCATTAAGCAGGAAAGCCGGAGAAGGTGGACTGCGAATCCATCAGTCGATTCAAGCCAGGATTTGGCCAGAGGCGCATCGGCATATCCAGCGAGAACATCAGCCGCAAGTAACCCTTGAAGTAGAAAGACCTTGCGAGCATCCGCAAAGGCGAGCGGTTTCCGCGGTTGGTCAGGGATAGCGCAAATGGCCAGGCCAAATGCACGTGTGAGTAATTCCGGTTGCGGTGTCGAAGATGCATCTCCCAAGAAAATGGCACGGAAGTTTGACCGATTCGGATCATCCCGCGCCAGCAGCTTGGCTAGAGCATCCGTCGCTGCGGGTGTGTATTTGTGAATGGCGGCATTATATGGTGTGAACATGATGCTCCCTTCGGAAGAGAGAGTAGGTAGCGGGAACGGAGCAAACGATAGGATGAAATGTAAGAGACAGTGGGCCTCGTCTTTTCCGGATAACTGAATGAAGTGACCAAGGTTACCCAGAAAGATGACAGCGTCCTTCATAAAGTCCAATGTGTTTTGATGCGTTCGCAAGAGCATGTTTCGGGTTCCTAGATAGCGGATAATCGTGGCGATGAGGTTGACGACCGTAGGATTGGCCAATACGCCAAAGTTCGACTCAGTGAACGAGAAATTTCGCAGAATCGTGGTGATACAAATCAGACGATCTACCGCCCGGTCTAGCTCGTAGTCCAGGCTTCCAAACTCCGGAACATCGGCCAGGGATGTCCATTCAGTCTGGCACCCGCGGATGATCTCTTCATACGAAGAGAGGAGCATGACATCTGACACTTCGGCCGCATGCTCTGCCAGCAGCTCAACCTGGTCTTCAGCGCACTCGACTAGACTGTCGACCAGATCGTCGCAGTGTTCCAGCGATATGGGGACGTTCGGCTCGCTGGCAAGCAATGTCAAAGTATCCAATGCCATGCGCATTTCTGCATGGATCCCTGACTTGACGCTCATAGTAAGAGCGTGAATGTCAATCACGCCAAGCTCCCCAAATGCCGGCACGTTGGGCTTCAGCCTTGAGATGTCCTCACCGAGCTGGGCGAATTCATCCACTTGGATAGGGCCATGAAGTTGGCTCTCGGGAAGAACCGTCGGCTTGAACGTCTCCTCAATTGGATGCTGTAATGGCTGATCAGACGACGTGTCAATGGGTTCAGATGGTTTCCCTGGTTGCGCCCCAGCAGTCTTTCCAGGCTGCGCGGCCGGCTGACCTGGTGATTGACTAGTTGGATCTTGTGGTGTCCCCGGGGTTTGGGAAATGCTAAGGCGATGTTGTGGTGGCTTATTCGAAATCTTGGCTTGGGAGGGTGCCGCAAATCCATTCGACGCACTGTGCCCGATGTTATTCGATACCGACGCCGCGCTGCCGGCTGAGGGTTGTGCGAGTGGCTGCGATGCGTCGAAACCCGGGCCCGCCTTATTCGTAGGGGATTGGAATTGCATCGCAGAAGGATCGCTCACGGTTCGGGGCAACGAATTTTGCGGCTGTTGTGGTTGTTGTGGTGGTGGTGGTGGTTGCTGCTGCATTTGATCCCCCGATTGCTTCTGCTGAGTGCTGAGGAAAGCTTGCTCATACGCCGCAAGATTTCGCGCATAGTGTTCTCGAAGTTCTTGGACAGCTATCTGAAATTGCATTGGTGGAAAGTGTAGTTGCTGCGCAATCACAGGCCACATGTTGGCCGCTGAGACCTTTTTCGAACCACCCAGCTTCATGACCGCCGCATATAGCTGGACTAGGTTAATTGGACGACCGCAAACAATGGGCTGAAGATCCAAATGTAGATTTCGCGACATCATGAACTTTTGTAGCGATCTCATGAAACCCTCCGGGCTTGAGGGCTTCTGCTGCATTCGAAGAGCTGCCACCTGCTGGGGTGCCATGGGATTCATTCCGGGCGCCATGGGTCTACCCATCATGGCCGGGTTCATATTCATAGGCCGTGCGGGGTTCTGCATCTGCATGGCTTGCAGTCGCTGCTGCTGAAGTGCCATGGCCTGCTGATACCCCTGGGGCACCGCGCCAAACGGAGCCTGCATGGGTGGTTGAACACCAGCTGAGGTCATGGTCGGTGGTGTCGGTGTGAACTGAGGTGCGACAGCCTGCGCGAAGGGTTGACTGGGTGGCATAAACGTGCTACTTTGCGGCGTGTTCACGCGGCTTGGATGATCCGACTGCGAGGGGGACATCTGCGAACCAACATGGGGGCCGGCGGGCGAGAACGGACTTGGGGAGGCGGTTCCCATTCGCTGGACACTGTTCTGGTCGAAATCTTGCATGACTGGAGACTGTGTGATGCTGGGAGAGGCGCCGCGCTGGAGGTGCTGATACGGAGTAGGATGGGCGGGAAACTGCGGTGTGCCATTTACTGGCGGTTGATACCCCGGGAAAGACACTTGGTGCGGTGTTTGCGAGCGCGACGCGGTTATACCCCCAGGTGCAGGTCGCGGGGACATGGCGACCCCATCCTCGGGGCGCGGTCGTTTGGAGGGGATCACTTGGTTCGGGTTCTGGAAACCGGGAGAGACATTTCGCGACAGGCCGTTGAACATGCGCTGTTGGAATTGATTGGGGTCCGGGGTAGGAGAGGGATTGAGGAAGGCAGCGGAAGGATCAATGGTTGTCGGATTAAAAGTACCATTGTCATGGCTTGGGAGGTTCGGGGCGTCGGCTAGCCAGGCATTCATGTCGTGTGATTTTGCCAACCCATCTGTAGAGCAATAACCCCAAAGGACATGGTTAGCGACTGTTCCAGCAAGAAGGAATGATCCACCGCGTGGCAAAGCGACAATGACAGCACCCCCAATTCGGCATTACCAGCATTCCTGGCCAGCATAACAACCCAAAATCGGGTGCAACTAGACCAATGATAGATTGGGGAACGGACAGACCAGTCTAGACGCGTCGAATTTCTGGGAAGGGTGTATATGTATGTATGTGTGTGTAATGGGGAATAGTGGTTGGTGAGAATATGGTGGTTGAGTCGCGCTTTGTTCTGCGACACGAGGCGAACGAGCAAGCGCAACACCGTCACCAGCGGGTAGTGCGAGTGTGGCCTCTCCCAGAGAAAACGCGATCAAAAACAGACAGGAATAGAATACATACCGACAAAGGCTGGACAACTCTAAACGCCGACTTGCAAGCGGGGGAAAAGAAGCCGGATTCCGAGAGGAGGAGCAGCAGCCAACACAAGCAAAGTAAGCAGGAGAGGGAGGGAAAGTGAGCAAGAAGAACGAGCGAGAGGCTGAGAACGGCCGGGCACGTGACACGCTCAGAATGAGAGGCTTGGCTGGTCACGGGACCACGACGGAAGAGAGGAGGTCTGCAATTGAGCAGGGTTAGTATGGACAGAAAATGGAATATTTTTCGAGAAGAACAATCATAATTAGGGCCAGCATCCCTAGATCCTCCATCCAAGCCCCAGCTAATCCTCTGCAACGTGCTTGGGTGCAGTGCCGGTGGCCGAGAAAAGTGCGTGGTCCCAGTGTGGAACGGACGTGGTCACAAGACAAGCTGTGACAACAAGCAGACCACAGAAGAGGGTGTGTCCGCTTAGGGTAAAGATGGTGTATGTATGGGATACGTACCAAGAAACGTAGATTACCGTCTTTGATTACTTTAAAATAAGAAAAAATAACCTCATACAGTCCGGGGAAAGTGACCAAGATCGTAGAGACTGTCAGAGAACGAACCGAACCTAGGGAAATGCCAGTCCTAGTGGAGGCAACCGGGGAAAACAGACAGGGCCGTGGAGAAAAAAAAAAAAGATAACTAATTCCAAGACCCGGTAATTATGATAATGCCGAGGAACAAACCGTCTTAATCAATAATAATAATGAACGGACTGGAATGACTGCTGGATGGACGAGAGGAACAACGTATGGCAAAAGGAGCAGAAAGTCGGTCCTGCGATTTTGCCGCCGCTGCCGGTGTGCATAGTGCAGCTGCATAAAGATGACTAATTATGCATTTATTCTCTACATAGTACAATTAGACCACTCCAACGAATAACACTCTGCACCACCATGCTACCTATTCCAGTACCAGAGAAATAAAAGGACCGCAGAAATGTCAGATGACTCGGCAAGAATAATAATAATAGTTACCATAAAGTCTATTGGGTTGCAGTCAGCTTTGCCCTAATGACCAATAGCTAATCTATAAAATTCCCCGAACGAAAATGAAGTATACGACAACAGTCTAGCTCTGCTATCACGTTGGATTGCCTTGCTTTGTTTGAAATCAAGTACAACTTCACTCATAATGAATTTCGATGAATCTCGTTGGCAATCATGGATATAGCCAGGGCTATCAAAATCAGTTCGCGTATTTAGCAGGCGAGGGACCAACGCTCTGCACATCTAGAAACGCATCGTCAAGAGCTCGGTTTGAAGTTCTTTTATCTACAAATAATGCAGGTAACCCGAGAAACAGTATTTTAGGGCTTAGCTGGTCCCACGGCTCAGTTGTCTCCCTACAATACCATTATCATACCATACCAGCAACTCAGATATATTTCACACCATAGATCGCAGAAGCCAGCCACCACGAGCCGCAAAGGCAGTATTCGATCGTCAAAAATACATTAGGCGTCTCGCTGAAATCTTCAACTCGGTTTTCTACGTGGATTTTCCGTTCCTAGATCCTTCCGACTATGACAAGTTCTCCATTAGATGCCATCCGTTGATCATAAAGGACGACGGCAGCTACCCTATAAAGCCACAGCCATGCTTCTTCGCCCCTCTTTCGCGAGAGATGTTTGACCGGTATCCAGTCGACCTCGATTACGATGGAGACGAATTTACCTATAATGATACCCGTGGCGAGTTCAAAGACAATGATAAAATGTCCAAAGAGCTAGTGAATGGAAACAACCCCTTGAGAAGCGCGGGATTCTGAAATATCATATGAGCTGGGAGTTTAATGAGTGTCCCAGAAAGGGGCTCCCAGATGGACATACCCTAGACTCGCTCACGGATTGGTATTTCATGATAAGTGGAAAATATCTGAGATATATAACCATCGTACTAATCCTATTCAGTGAATGCAATCTGACATGGGGACCTACGAAAGGGCGCAAGCTCGCATTAGGCCATGGCCTCCCGTATACGATGTTCATGTTAGAGAGCGCAATCCAGGGGGAAGAGAAGTTGCTTCGCGGGGAGGTCCTTGCTATTGTTGTGGCCATACGAACAAGGTGCGCTGCCTGGCCTGTGTGAGCATAAGACTTTCCCTGTGAGTGTCCATCTAAATAGACGACAGCAGTATCTTTACCTGCTAATGGACCCTCAGGTTCTTGTATTTTCTTCTATGGCACCTCTACATGGCAGAATCCTGCAGGCTGTCTACGATGGAATCACGATCAATATATGGAAGACGGGAATATTTGACTTTAGGACCCCAGAAAGAGAGCAGAACTTTCAGATATTTCTGCAACATCTGACAAATGAGCCAATTGGAAATACCAAAGACCTGCCCGTGGTGGAATCCTTGGAGCATCTTTCGCGCCAAAGATAGTCAAAGTCAGTCGTTGAGCTGGATCAGCCAGATAATAAACGATTTATGCCGCTGTGCTTTTCATGTAATTGCGTTTTTTCGTGAGTGATAATGAAACCTCCAGATAATTATTTGGGGTTCATGTTATTGTAGCGTCGAAAGGAAGCGCAAGTGGTGGAATTTATTGTACCCGAGCTCTGGATCACGTGACGCGATGGCAAGCTACGTGACTGAGCCGGGCATCATCAAGCAAAAGCTCCATCGGACGACGAACCTCTACCTCTCGCATACGACTGTATACGTGTTTTCTGTGCTCCTTCTCCTCATATCCTCTCTCTACCGACCCTCTTTTTACTCCTACTGAGAAAAACTCACCATCATGGCCGACGTCGCCGTGGAGAATCCGGCGAACAACGTCACGCTTCACAACAAGCCAACTCCGTTGGATACCATCCCCAACATCAACTCCTTGGAGGGCACAGGGTCTGACGGAGGTGACGAATATGCCACCCTGAAGAGATTGCAGAGACACTTAGAGTATGTCCTTCTGGGTTTCGTGTCAAGTGGTTTAGTGTGGTGGCTTGTACTAACCACTTTGATTGCAGGTACATTCAACTCCAAGAGGAATACATCAAGGATGAACAGAGGTAAATGTCTATCTTTTCGCGTGAACCTTGCAATCATTTTATAGAGAAGACATGAAACTGATTGGCGACTTGACTACAGGAGCTTGAAGCGGGAGCTCGTTCGTGCGCAGGAGGAGATTAAGCGGATACAAAGTGTGCCTTTGGTGATCGGACAATTCATGGAAGCGATTGACCAGAAGTATGGACACATCACCGACATTTCATAAAGTGGCTGCTGACAGTTGTAGCACCGGTATCGTACAGTCCTCGACTGGCTCGAATTATGTCGTCCGCATTCTGTCCACCCTCGACCGCGAAAAGCTCAAGCCGTCCTCCTCGGTCGCTCTCCACCGTCACTCCAATGCTCTCGTTGACATCCTGCCTCCCGAGGCCGACTCGTCTATTGCGATGCTGGGCGAAGATGAGAAGCCCGATGTGACATACGCTGATGTTGGTGGTATGGACATGCAGAAGCAGGAGATTAGGGAGGCTGTTGAACTTCCCTTGACACACTTCGACCTTTACCGGCAGATTGGTGCGTTTTATTGAATTGGGGAGATGATAAATGATAGTGAGGCGTGTTACTGACTGGTGGATCAGGTATCGATCCTCCTCGTGGTGTCCTGCTCTACGGTCCCCCGGGTACCGGAAAGACCATGTTGGTCAAGGCTGTGGCCAACAGTACAACCGCCAGTTTTATTCGAGTAAACGGTTCGGAGTTCGTTCAGAAATACCTGGGTGAGGGTCCCCGTATGGTCCGTGACGTCTTCCGGATGGCCCGTGAGAACTCGCCTGCGATTATTTTCATCGACGAAATCGATGCTATTGCCACGAAGCGTTTCGACGCCCAGACCGGTGCAGACCGTGAAGTGCAGCGTATTCTGCTGGAACTTCTCAATCAGATGGATGGTTTCGAGCAGACAAGCAACGTTAAGGTCATCATGGCCACCAACCGAGCGGATACCCTGGACCCTGCGTTGTTGCGTCCCGGTCGTCTGGACCGGAAAATCGAATTCCCTTCGCTACGTGACCGACGGGAGCGTCGTCTGATCTTCACTACGATCGCCTCCCGGATGTCGCTCTCGCCTGAGGTGGATCTGGACTCGCTGATCGTCCGCAACGAGCCTTTGTCGGGTGCCGTTATTGCGGCCGTCATGCAGGAGGCTGGTTTGCGGGCAGTGCGGAAGAACCGTTACCAAATCATCCAGTCGGACCTTGATGATGCTTACGCCGCGCAAGTGAAGACAGGCCAGGAATCAGACCGGTACGTTTCTTATCCTGGAGATGTGTTGTCCCCCGTTACTAATCTGACATACTTTCTAGACCCGAGTTCTACCGCTAATCAGGCTACTGCTTTCTTCCTTTTACTTTCTTGTGTTATGGGCTGGACTAGGTTGAGCATGGCGCATCATATCTACGCTAGGTAGGCGGTCATATGTAGTACAATAAATAACTCGTCAAGGTGACTTGATACCGACACTGTCCGTACCCCGTAGATAACAACCACGATAATGTCAGGTACTTTAAACGGCCAACAGTATCGGTGTAAGCCCAGGTGCCAAGAGTGACTAGCCGGAATCGGCCCGGTTGCATCATCGTCCAGCTCAGCGATACGATACGAAACATAAAATACGTGGGTATTATTTGCTATAGCAGTGAAGCATAAAATAACAGACATACTCAGGAAGACCTACATAGTCTAGTTTACAGTACAATACAACCCCGTGATCAACACCCCCAAGTGACGCAGTTGAGACCCGCTGATCTGATTGGCCGGCCCGTGGCCTACAGTCGCTCCGCAACCAGATCGGAGTCACGCTCACCCGCATCACCTCCTCTCCGTCTCCAACCTCCATCCTTCTTCTACCTCTCTCTCCCCTTCTTGTTCTTTATCCCATCTCCATCCATCCCTTATTGTTTGTTTCCATCGCAGATACTCACATTCTTTCATCGCAACTGGTTCATTTTTTCACTCTTTTGAGTCTTATCGCCAATATGAAGGCACCCTTTATCGCTGCCGCTGCCCTGCTCGCGGGTGGTGCGTCCGCCGAGGTTCACAAGTTGAAGCTCAACAAGGTCCCCTTGGAGGAGCAGCTGGTGAGTTTGACATATTTTTCATCTCCTGGAAGCCTTAGGTTTCATGAGAAGTAAATACATCGTCAAAGGTGCGGCTCAGATAGCTAATCTAAGCTCCCATTTCTATAGTACACCCACAACATCGATGCTCATGTCCGCTCTCTTTCCCAGAAGTACATGGGCATCCGCCCTTCTGTTCACGAGGAACTGCTCCAGGACCAGTCCATTAAGGAGCAGGGTCGCCACAACGTTTTGGTTGACAACTTCTTGAATGCCCAATGTATGTTTGACCCTTGCAAACGTCCACCAATAGCGCTTATGCTAACTCGTATTGATTCTCCCTAGACTTCAGCGAGATCGAGATTGGTACTCCTCCCCAGAAGTTCAAGGTTGTTCTCGACACCGGTAGCTCGAACTTGTGGGTGCCCTCGTCCGAGTGTGGTTCCATCGCCTGCTACCTTCACAACAAATACGACTCCTCTGCGTCGTCCACAAGCAAGAAGAACGGCTCCGAGTTTTCCATTCAGTATGGATCCGGAAGTCTGAGTGGCTTCGTGTCCAAAGACACCGTGAAGATTGGAGACCTCAAGATTGAGGATCAGCTGTTTGCCGAGGCTACCAGCGAGCCGGGCCTTGCCTTCGCCTTTGGCCGTTTCGACGGTATCTTGGGATTGGGCTATGACACCATCTCGGTCAACAAGATTGTCCCTCCCTTCTACAGCCTGGTCAACCAGAAGAAGGTTGATGATCCCGTCTTTGCTTTCTACCTGGGCGATGCCAACAAGGACGGTGACACTTCGGAGGTCACCTTCGGTGGTGTTGACAAGGACCACTACACCGGTGAACTGACCAAGATTCCCCTTCGCCGTCAGGCCTACTGGGAGGTCGATTTCAACTCCATTGCCCTCGGTGACAACGTTGCCGAGCTTGACAACACTGGTGTCATTCTGGACACTGGCACTTCGCTCATCGCGCTGCCTTCTACTCTTGCTGAGCTTCTGTGAGTCTCCTATACACTGATGCACAGGAATTGAGCTAACCTTTGTGAATAGTAACAAAGAGATTGGTGCTACCAAGAACTTCATGGGCCAGTACAACGTTGACTGTGAGAAGCGCTCATCTCTTCCTGACCTCACTCTTCAACTGGGCGGCCACAACTTCACCATCACTCCCTACGACTACACCTTGGAGGTCCAGGGCAGCTGCATGAGCTCCTTCATGGGCATGGACTTTCCTGAGCCCGTTGGTCCCTTGGCCATCCTGGGAGATTCGTTCTTGCGCAAGTGGTACAGCGTGTATGACCTTGGTAACGGCGAGGTCGGTCTTGCCAAGGCCAAATAAATGATCAGCTCCCACGCCTTTTCACGAGCACAAGGTGATTGAAGGAGGATGATTTATCTCATGGTTTTATGCGTAAATAGGTATATCGCAGGTTGCTTTGATTTTTATACGATCGCTTGGAGACGAGGACGATTCCCGCAGATGGTTGCAAGCACATGCTTGCAACTTGCTTTTTGATGAGCTATTAATGGAATTCTTTGAGTTTAATTGATATCACAGGCTTGTCTAGTATCCAGACAGCCTAGAATTGCTACAAGTACATAATGGTAGAATGGCTTTCAATTAATGCCGAGTGTTTCTTTCAATTGCACTTATTTTTAACCTCATGGCTGTAGTCTGACTTTATACAGCATGATTACCATAGATATTCTTTATAGAAGCAGAATGGCGAGGGATAAAGAACCGTGGTTCCAGTCCTGGTTTTTTGACATTAAACGGTTGACGGTCCCCGCACAAGCCTCAGGCATGAACACCTCTACCGCTGCCTCGCTGCCTTAATGTCATCTCTCTTCCTCGTCTTTCTCTTCCTCTCTCGCTCGTCTTCTTTTCTCCCAACTCAGCTATAAAGCTCTACTTTTCATCACAAATACAGATATTACAACTCCTATATCTATTCTAAATTTGCGATAGCTATTGCGCACGAAGCTACCAATCCTTCTGGCCAAACCGCTTCGCGTCATCTCGTGGCGATTGCTTGCAGCGACAACACCGCCGTCATCATCTCCGCAAGACAAAGCAGCTAGCTTGACCCGAGTGATCAAGTTTTATCGCGTCGCCTACTTCCACGCTTCCGCTCAAGTTCTTCGACTTCGCTGCCTCGTCAAACTTATAGCTAGCTTCGCAGACCCCAAAGTCCGCCTCGGCCGTTGTCGTGTGCCGCCGGTTGTTTTCATTCGATTCGGGCGCATTGTTCGGTCTGACATGGCTCCATAGCCCTTACAACTTCGAGATTCTTTGAAAATATCGCAATCGCCTGCCCAGTCTCTGAATGTACGGTTCTAGTCAAAGGCTGGGGTCTTAGGAGACGGAATTGATAACAAAAAGAGAAGATCAGAGAAAGAGAAGGACCAATTGGAATAGAGAATATGCTTCTCCGTCTACCGTACGGCCTCCATTACCCGATCACCGTGACATCGCTGCTGAAGCAGCCGGGGGATTCGGTCGAGCGGGATGAGGCACTGTTCTGGTATGTCTACCAAACGACCGTCACCGAGGGTGATGGCTTGGGCAATAAGATTGAGGTGCAGCGCAAGTTTCCGACCAAGTTCGAGTCGACAGTTGATGGGGAGCTTGTGCAGTGGAAGATTAAGAAGGGTGATGTGATTGAGTTTCCGTAAGTTTCGTCCCCGTGTGATTCAAGGAAAGCCCAGGAACTAACCTGTTGGTCTACAGGATTGATGTTGTTGAGATCGATGAACCATGTGCTCACGAGGTTCAGTTTGGGGGACTTTGCGCGGAGTGTGGGAAGGATATGACTGAGTGAGTTTTGGAGTTTTGCACTATGGAGGTTGTTGTACATGAATGGGACTGACTTCTCTTCCTCTACGCAGAGCGACCTATAACACCGAAACGATGGATTCGATGCGCGCCCCCATCCAAATGGTACACGATAACACTGCCCTTACCGTGAGCGCGAAGGAGGCTACGCGTGTTGAAGAGGATGCAAAGCGCCGTTTGCTGGCAGGCAGAAAATTGTCTCTGGTGGTGGATCTTGATCAGACAATCATCCATGCTACGGTCGATCCTACGGTTGGAGAGTGGATGCAGGACAAGGACAACCCGAACTTCAAGGCTCTGAGTGATGTCCGGCCGTTTCAATTGATGGAAGACGGGCCGGGCATGCGTGGTTGTTGGTACTACGTTAAGTTACGACCAGGTTTGGAGTCGTTTTTGCATAACGTATCACAACTTTTCGAATTGCATATCTACACTATGGGCACTAGATCCTACGCGCAACAGATTGCCAAGATCGTTGATCCGGATAAGACACTCTTCGGGGATCGCATTCTCAGTCGTGACGAGAGTGGAAACTTGACGGCCAAGAACCTCCATCGCCTGTTCCCGGTTGACACGAAGATGGTGGTTATCATCGACGACCGTGGAGACGTGTGGCGCTGGAACCCCAACCTTATCAAAGTATCTCCCTATGATTTCTTTGTTGGCATTGGTGATATCAACTCGAGCTTCTTGCCTCAAAAGCAGGAGCTAGCGGCCTCAGCAACGCCAGAAGCCAACAAGCCAGAAGATAAGTCCAAGGAGGTAAAGGAGAAAGCACCACCCGCACCACCAGCACCCCAACCAAATGGCACAACTGGGAAAGCAGAGCCTGGAACAGCAGATGTGTCGGCCTTGGAACAACTAGTGACCATGGGTGGCGGAGACAATCCCAGATTATTGCAAGAACAGAGTACCGCGCAACAAGAAACGATCATGCACCAGGTGGAGGATCGCCCATTACTGCAGAAGCAAAAGGAATTGGAAGCGGAAGATGACGGCGATGTGAGCAGCGAGTCTTCAACAAGTGTGGATGAATCGGCACAAGATCTTAGCAAGCAGCGACACCATTTGCTCGAGGATAACGACCAGGAACTCCTTCAGCTGGAGGATCGGTTGGATCGCGTACATCGACACTTCTTTGACGAATATGATAAGAGGCGATCACGGGCACTTGGCGGACGGGTAGCAGCTCTACGGGGTGAGAGAACGCCGATGAAGGAGAAGGATGTCGATTTGAAACTCGTTCCGGATGTACAGGATATCATGCCCCTGATCAAACGGCAAGTCCTTGGCGGAGTAGTTGTGGTATTCTCCGGAGTTCTGCCTCTTGGAACGGATACACAGAATGCCGACATCTCGTTATGGGCGAAGAGTTTTGGCGTTATCGTCTCGAACAAGATCAACATCCGTACAACACATCTGGTAGCCGGACGTAACCGCACGGCCAAAGTACGCGAGGCGACTCGGTATCCAAACGTCAAGATCGTCACGACGCAGTGGCTGTTAGATTCGTTGACTCAATGGAGCCACCTGGACGAGGACCCATATCTCCTTCCCGTGCACCCCGATGACCGCGGAGAGCCGATCTCGCCAAACTCGAGGGAAGCAGCGGAGAGTGGTTGGTTGTCGTCTTCGGACGAAGCAACAGGAACAGATGACGATGCGATGGACGATATCTTCAAATCGGCGGGACTCACGGAGATGGCGCGAATCGGTTACGATAAGGACGAAGAGGATGCCATTCATGATGAATTGAAGGAATTCCTGGGTAGCGATGACGAGAGTGAGAGTGACGTCGAAAGTGAGCAGGATGTATCACAGTTGGCGGATGAAACCGGCGCAAGTAAGAAACGGAAGCGCGACGGGGAAGGCGACGACAGTGACGGTGGATCCAGCGCCAACAGCAGTGACAACGAGACAGATGGGGAAAGCGAGAAGGGGTCACGGCTGGCACAGCGGATCAAGCGTTCGCACGCACGAAGCACGGGTCTTAAAGAGGTTGCCACGGCAAGCAGCACGAGCGTGGCGGAAGCGACAAGAACAAGCCTGCCAACTGAGCAGACTGGCGCGATCGCAGACGACGAAAACGCCGAAGAACCCGCGGCCAAGGGCCAAGACGTGAGCTATCCGGAAGATCCAGCGGATGATGAGGACGAACTGGAGCGAGAGATGTTGGCTGCGTTTGAGGACGGGGATTATGATGAGAAAGCGGAAGGGGCCATCGCGGAGGAGAATGGTTGAGTGTTTCTTCTTTTTTTGTATCTTTGTTGGAGTTGATACGGATTTTTCTATTTGCTTATCTGTTCGAGTTCTGGTTGTTGCGATGCAGTGGCATAGCGACGGCGTTGGTGTGAGTACTGATACTGATATGTTAAGTCAGAGTAACTGTTCATATACCAGAGAAATCAATCTTTTTTCATAAACATTAGCCGTATAATCATACATCAAACACATCAGTCATGGACACAGGAAAAAAAAATCAAGCAACATCGCGATGCACTCGCCACGACATAATAATCATCCACAAAAAGAAAATCACCCCAATCAACTCGAACGCAAACGCCGTTTTCCAACAATTGCCTGTCATTAGCCAGTTAGCCATACCATTCTCATGAAGCCATAATTGAAGAGGGAGGGGGCATACAAATAGTAATCTGCGTCAACCACGCCAATGCCTCAATACTGTCCCCATGAATCCCATTCCCCTCAACCCAATACTTACAACTATCATTCACACTCCCCACAACGCCGTACAACTGCAACGCTGTCTCGATGAGACCGGTTAACCAGAGTACAAATAGCACGAAACTCCCCACGATGATGATCCCGGGGAGCAGGAAACGCTGCATGGCCAGGATTAAGATTAGGGCTATGAAGAAGACGCCCAGCGCGCCGGAGACGACCATGAAGGGGAAGAGCCTGCGCTTGTTAGTACTTGTATCCAGATAGATATGTGGAAGGGAAGGTAGAAGAGGGGGAAGGGGAGGTACCATGGAGTCCCGAGCTTAAGCTGCGATTGCACAGCCATTAACCAAGCGAAAATACCGAGATTGATACATGAGGCGGCGAGGACGATGAAGAGCCAACAGTTGAGTTGGAGTTCGGGCCAGTGGTACCGGCGGTAGACTCTTCGGACGGCCATTTCGTGTCTTTGTCTAACTTGCTTAGGACGTTTGGTGGTTTGACGTTGTGCCAGGTACCGGGATATATAATTATGTGTATGCGGGGCGTGTCAAAGTGAAGCTGACGAGGGATCAATATTAAAAGTGACAGTGACAGGGACCGGCAGAGTGACAGCGCATCACCGCTGTAGCTGTAGGTATTCCTGGTTTCCGATTGATCAATTGATCAAGAGCTGTATTGGGCGCTTGTAAGGTAAAGGTACGTAGTGCAGGGAAAGTGATGGGGACGATGTGTTGGCGATGGAGATGAGATGTGGAGCGATCCAGACCAGACCAGACTCAATTGAATACTTGCGAAAAGACTCTGGCTGGAATGAAAATTTGATAAAGTGACAGGGTGGAATTGTGAGGATGCAAGCCTGTTCTGTAGTCTGGGTGTATAGAAATTCTGGTGGCAGGGAGAAATAGCGGTGGCAGGGGAGCTGATGCTGATACAGAGTACATACAGCTACAACGAGTCTGGGTCTTGGAAAATAGTTTATTCTTGTCTTTGATTCGTTGTGCCTGTGCCTTTTTATATTTAATTTAATCTAATTTTTTCTTTTTTAAATTCTGTTGAAAACAGCATCTCGACACACTTGAATATCACCTGACTTCACCTAATTCGACACAATTTCAACACCATCATACTGACTGCAACTCACAGAGATAAATATATCTGACCAGACAAGATTCTATATTTGATAAAAATCCGAGCTAGATATTGATGAAACTGTTGATATCTAGTCTTCAACCGTATCACCCAGGTTCAATCCCGCACTAACTGACCACCTCTGAAAACATCTTGAACTCCACAAGTCTCACCCTCTGCTCCCTCTTTGGCACAAAGACCATCCTAATACTCTCGGTCGTAACTTCATCCCAAGATGCTAGGGTAATACCGTTCGCGACCGGCTCCGCATAATGCGCACCGCTTACCTCAACCCACTCACCATTATCGAGAACCTCAACCTGATAACTCTCCGGAGCATCAAATCCCTGCGTATCATTCGCAAAGAAAGAAATCTCAGCACTTGCAGTGTCAATACTGTCCCCAAACTCAATCTGGTACCACAGTTCGCTCCCATTCCCGACGGGTGTATCCCATCCATTAGCGATATCGCTCTCTGGGAAGAACCAAACCCGTCCGTCGATGGCGGCATGGACACTATCCGGATCAGCATCCGCGACTGAGACGCTTCCCTGTGGCCACTCGGAGTCAGACTGGAGTTGGATTGATTTGGCTATTGGGCGTTGAATCGCAGGTGGTCCGTTGCGAGTGATGTTCACCGTTAGACGGGTTAAGTCTGGCGCGCTGGCTGCCGTTTCGCCGTCGATTTCGACGATCAGTCCGGCGGCACCGTATTGCTCCCCTGATGCGTCCCATTGTACGGCTATATCGTGGCCGTGGTAGAGGATGTTCTCCGCGCGGAAGAACGAGACGGAATCTCCATCAGCGAGTGGGTTGACCTCGAGCACATCATCTGCACGAGGTCGGATTCCGACGAAGCCTGACAGAATCAGGTCAATGAATCCCGAGTGAAAGTAATGCGGAGATCGCGCGAGTCCCACGATGGGCCGTCCCGTATCAGCGTCATAATCCTCTTCCAGATCGAGCACACTACCGCGGTCAGGGTTATAATGCAGCTGGGCGTATTGAACGAGTAAATCCGTGTAGTCCTTGCGGGTGACTACCCCCGTACCAGACGAAGCCGGATAATGATCAAGAAGATTCGCCAGACCCGTCAGCACTTGGGTAATCTGGTACGGCCAGGCAGGGCCATTCCATTGACATTCACGTTGCGAGCCTTCATATCGATACTGGCGCATGAAATACTCATAACTCGGTTCATTGGTGCGCAAGCCGTGTGAACCAGCAAACTTCTCAGAATCAAGAAGATGAGTCCACGCCTGCGCGAACGTCTCATTATCATCAGGCAAGTCGTGAGTCCAGGGCACATAGCCCACCAATTCTCGTCCACGGATAAAGTCCCAATACGTGACGTTCTCGTTGTCAACCTGGAACCGATCGATAAAGTGCTCAAACGTGCTGTTCCACAGTGACTCCTGCACATTCACTTTGATCGCATCCGCTCGATCCCTATACTCCTCCTCGAGTGCATGGTCACCCTTCAACCCCGCAAGCCTTGCAATAGCCAACGCATTCGCAAATTGATAACTGTTAACACTCGGCCGGAACGCATCCCCCCCGGTAAACCCATCATCCCCACCACTCGCATCAACACTCGCAATCGTATACTCCGTCGCATCCGTCAACGGCTGAATCCAAAACAACCCCTTCTCCCCATCAAGCCCCCCAGTCCCAGCCTCGGTCATATTCCCCTCCCACCCCTCAAACACATCTGCCAACCTATCCAACTTTGCAATAATAGAATTAACATCCCTATCCACCAAAAACCCTGCCCAAACGGAATCCGCAACCCACTCCGAAAACTGATACATATTCCCCCTGTCACCATCAAGCATAAACCCGACATAATCCTCATTAAACCTCCGATCCCGACACCAGCGCCCCTCACGGAGATGAAAACCCGTTGCGTCGATGAGAGACGCGTAGGGCTGTGTTTGCCAGCTTACGTCGTTGAGGAATTCGGTGGTGATGTAGCCGTCCGGGCCGAGATCGCGCTGGTGCGCGCGGTAGAGGGTCCAGCGGTAGTAGTAGACTTCGGTGAAGGTAGGGAGGGAGGTGGTGAAGAGGGGGATGCGAGGGGTGTACCAGGGGGTGTCGTTGTGGAAATGGGTTGTTAGGATGGAGGTGGTGGTTGTGTTTAAGCTTAGGATGCCCTGGATGAGGGCTAGTATTATGAGGGATGATTTCATTGTTTTGGGCTGGGATGGGGGGATGGGATGGGGACTGCTTGGAGCGTCTATTCTTATTTTATAGCCCTGTCATAGCAATCTGATTCAGGATCATACAACTACAGAGTACATGCATCTAGCGGGGAACTTGGTTGGCGGTTAAAGCCGTATATTCAACTATTAACCGAAATGCAAGTTTCCAAAGGGTAATTGAGATGCGGAGAACCTGTGCAAGAGTTCAGTGTATTTACGAACTATGGCTAATTTCGGACCAGGGATTGATCACATATTATGCCTCACTGGCATCAGTCTAATGCATATTCATCGTGTCTATAAAAATGAAAAGAACAAGATCACAGCAGGGTATCACCCAGAGCACTCCTGACCAACGAACATCCAGCCCGAATAGTCTCAGTAGCCCCCTTCTCCTCCAAGCTCGGGTTCACCTCGACCAGATCCATGGCCACCAGGTTACCCGTCTCGTGCACGCATTCGCAGATAAAATCACCCTCACGCAGGGTCAGTCCGCCTCGTACGGGAGTACCAGTGCTAGGGGCCCATTGAGGGTCCAAGCCATCGACGTCGAAAGAGAGATGGATCGGGGTGTCATTACCAATGTGGGCGAGGGCCATTTCGACCACGCGGCCAATGCCGTGCCTAGATATCTAGTTAGCATTGCCATAGCAAAGTAGGTTAAGTGAAATATACCGGTCAATGTCGTGCATGCTGAACGCCTTGATATTGTTTTCGCGCAGCAACTTCTTCTCCCCCCGATCCACATCCCGCAATCCAATGTACACCAACTTCCTTGTGCTGATAACATGCTCATCCTTCAACCACCCAAAAATATCCTCACGCTCCTCCCTCGCCAACCTCGTCAAAAACGCCATCGGCATACCATGAATATTCCCACTCTCACTCGTTTCCGGAATGTTAATATCCGCGTGCGCATCCACCCAGATAACCGCCATCTCCCGTCCAAGCCTCTCGCGAATCGCCCGCGCCGTCCCCGAGATACTCCCCACAGCAATCGAGTGATCACCGCCAAGGGTGAGCACGAACTTGCCCTCGCGCGCGTGCTCGTAGACCTGGCTGCTAAGCTTCTGAGTGACCGCACTCACGGCGCGAGGCTTCTTCATGCCGCGGTGGTCGGGGTCTGCGTCTGCGGCGGGAGTGACATCTTCGTAGTAGTGAACCTTGCTGTCATGGTGGACTTCGTAGTCGAGGTCATCGCGGAGTTGGTCGAGGAGGCCGGCTTCGACGAGGGCCATGGGGGCAGCTTCGACACCTGTTTTGCACTGTTTTGGCTTATCAGTATTTACCCAAGACTTGGCTATGAGGTCAGGGTATGTACCTGGCCGCCGTTGAAACCGACCGCAACCACACCCAGTTGACCAGGGTTGCTGAGGAAGCGTTGAGTAATGGTAGATGGAGAGGTCATTGTGTTTGTTAAGATAGAGAAGAGGGAAGGTTGAAGTGGTTAAAAAAAGGCGAAGATAAAGTGATGAAAACGGAAGGACGAAGAGATCAGCGAGATAAGATCTGGCGGAGATGCGATCCGAATACGTCAGTCAGATCACAGCAACTCTTATTCTAGCCCTAGGAAATGAACTGGATGTAAAAAGAATAGGGAAGGAAGATAATTGAAGAATACAACAAAAAGAGAAGTCTGAACCACGGATACCACTCCTTTAAATATGCTAAAATCACCGACCCCAACCGATCGCTAAAAACTGCTTTTAGGGATCATGTGTCTCCGCCGGCGATTTCTACTTCCCCTAAGTACAGGTCGAGGAGAGCTGCCCCTTAAGGCCCGTTCCCCCACTGCAAGGCATGAAATAATATGTTTTATGACTAGCGCGATTGACTCGCTGTAATTCTAGAGGTCAATGTCTTGGATTTGCGTGGGATGTGTACTTTGCGACTGCGTAGGATGAAGGTTTTGTATAGAAGTCACGTGGGAGATGTACGACTGATGTTTCGCAATCGCCTCATTTTGGTTGATCAGCTGGTCCCGGTTACCTCGAGCATGTTACATTGACTATCGAAGTATCTCGAATCTAGAGTCTTGTAACATTACAACACTAAGAATAGAGTACTCAGCCTTACCATCACGTGACCATATCGATAGACGACAGAATGAACGGGGAGTGATTGTTAACTTTGTTTGGTGACTTGAAGTTTCTTCCTATATTGATATAGCTGAAGGATGTGGATTGGATGTTTAACGCCGACGATAGGTATTTAAGCCTACTGACAAGCCAATGTCTAAGATGCAGTAGAGGGGTCCGGTACGGAGCTTTGAGAGGGACGTCTTGGACAATCGTGTGCTTCCAGTCTCTTGTGACTTAAGTTGGCATCGAGATACAATGTTTTAGGAATGGCAATGACGGTCATTGAAGAGCAGCACCTGTTTTGCATACTTGTAGTAGGTCGATATAGTTATACAGATGACACTTTCATATCTTGCAACATCAGTCACCATATTATTGCTGGCTATTCCCCATTATCAACTCTTTCAAGATCTCATTCGCCTTAGGCGCTTCCACCCGCCCCTTCTCCCCCATTCGCATCACCTGCCCCAAAAACCACCCAATCTTACCCACCTGGTTCTTCGTGCGAATCTGCTCAACCATCTGCGGATTCAGGGCGATAGCTGCCTGTGCCAGCTCAATGTATTCCTCTCCGGATAGCGGGCGGAAGACCAGATTTTCTTCCTCGATGAGTTGTGCGATGGGTCGTCGGTCACCGTTGAATACCATGGAGAGCACCTCCTTGGCGGTTGCACCGGTGATACGTTTTCGGTTTTGCTGGTCGATGATTTCTGCTAGGGATTGGGCGGGGACGAGGTCTGAGTCCCAGGATAGGTTTGACTTGGTGAGCTGTCCGCCTAGTTCGTGGAGGACCCAGTTGCCAGCGGCGCGTTTGAGGTCCTTGAGGGATTTGTTTTGTTGGTTTGCTTGCAGTTCGCAGAGGATGTCGACCACATCGTGGTAGTATTCCAGTCGCGCACCGTCGTCCAGCTCGATCAACGGCTTTGCATCGTCGACTGAAAGGCTATATTCGGAGCCAACCAGTGTCTGTAGCACCTCATCCGGGGACAAGGGCAGCTTCTCGCGAAGTCCACTAATAAGGTCCTCGCCTATGAACAATGGTGGGAGATCCGGGTCTGGCATGTAACGATAATCCACCGCCCCCTCTTTACCTCGCAGCCGCCGAGTCTCGGTACTACCGATAGTCCAACCACGGGTTTCTCCTTCAATTGCACCTCCACTTTCCAAGACTGTGATCTGTCGGTTCTTTTCCGCGATGATGGCTTCCTCCACGGCCTTGAAGCTGCTGAGGTTCTTAATTTCTGTCCGCTGGCCTAACCCGCTGACTCCATCGTATTCATGAGTACCCGGCGCTTCATCTCGTCGACGGACGGACACGTTGACGTCAGCACGGAGACCTCCTAGTTCCATTCCCGTGGTGACTGCGCTGCAGGATTGAAGGATAGCTTGAATCTTTCGGACACATGCGGCGGCCGTGGCGGGGTTATGGATCTGAGGCATGGTGATAACCTCAATGAGCGGGTGCGAAACGCGGTTGAAGTCGAGTAATTGGGTCGACGGTGGGTAGTCCTGCGATTTCGCCGTATCCTGTTCCAACTGGATTTGTTTGATTGCAACTCGTACGTGTTTGCCGTCCTCCGGTGCGATACCGTCGTAGTCGTATAGGTCGACGTAGCCATTTTTGGCAAAGGGTTCTGTCCATGTATTAGAGACAAGTATATCATGGGCGACAATCGCATTTACCGTAATACTGGGTGATCTGATATCCGGCCGGTTGGTCCTGGTAAAAGTAGTGTTTTCGGTCGAATCGACTGGCGGATTGGATATCGCAATTGAAGGCAATAGCAGCGCGGAGAGCGGGCAGGAGTGTCGCGGCTTGAAATTCCTATCCCAGCTATCAGTATATTTCCAAAAAAGAAAAGCATATCGTATGTGAGACTAACCGGCTGACTTCCGGGAAACGCCAGGTCAAAAAGAGCGACATTGGAATTTGGAATCTCGCTCAATACCGTCGACGCCCCTGTCCACGATTAGACCATATTCCATCTGTCATAGGATAGATAATCGACCCACGAGAAAACAATTTGGCCTCCGTATCCAATTGCGCATGAATCTCGACCCCCACGGTCAACTCCCATTGTTGCCGCGATGCTTCTTCCTTCTCTCTGGTTTCTCTCTGGCGGGCCTTGACAGATTTCGCATCGTTCTTCAGCTGTTTCCGGAGAGGAACGTGATCCGCATCGGTGGTTGTAGAGGTTTGGGTAGTGTTTCGAGCTGGTCGGGTGGAGGAGAAGAATCGGGTCGCGGCGATGGGATTAGGATGGGATGGTGCGGGGAGAGTGCGGTGGTAGAGCTGGTAGCATTGCGAGCAGAGAGAACTGGCTGCTCCCCGGCTCTGGCGTAGGCATGGACGGAGCATTTCTGAGTCGAGATGCGCCTCAATGAGGCGTGTTCTGTTATGTTTATGAGGAAGAGTGTCGGCGAAGATAAAGTGGGAGTTGGTGATGTTATTTTACGGTACTGTAATTACGATATAGTCTTTGGATATCAACAACAACGACAACAAGAAGCAAATATACTACTGATAGTATGTACTAGTGCTACTATAGTGCTATTCTATATCTACAATCCCAGTCGTATGCTATGGCGCATAACTGAAGCCCAATTGCCGCGCACTGGAGCCGCTGCAGCTAATCTGATGCGCATCACCGACTCTCCGCATCTCATCTACCGCTAGTCCGATCTCTATTCTGATCTCTCTCTTGGGAGTATAACTCTATCTCTGTCTTTAAATTCTATACACTGAGACAGCGTGATCGCTGCCACTTCCCGTCTGTATAACTCAACTAGCCCCCGCGCAACAACGCCCCAGCCTCCTCCGTCTGAGCCTCTCGCTGACTCCCGCCAGCTTCTATTGATATCACAACATTCCTCTTGTTTGAAGTTGGAATCCCGTCACAATTCTCTAACCCTTACGTGTCGTTGCAATTCAGCGGTTAGCTCGACTATAGCGGGGGTTATCTATTGGAAGTGTTTTGCGATCGAGCGCTTCATGTCCCCTCCATCTATCGGCTCTTCCTCCTCTCATGGCCCGCTTGATTAACAAGAACAGATAGCACATTGCGCAAAGTCTCATTTATAAACCAACATAATGCTATTCGGCTATCCCGGCTCCGGTCGCCCAAACAAGACCAGACAATCCTCAGCTTCGGTTGCACCTCATTCTTCCCATTCCAATTCGGCCACTGAAAGGCCGTATAAATCGCATCCTAGAAGCCACTCGCGCGGACCGAGCACACAATCGGCTGGAAAGTCCTCCGGGGCTGCAACAGCATCTACAGACAAATTGGTAGCGGCGGAAAGGAAAATACCTGGTGTCTTTGACTTTCTCGAAGAGGAAGAATCCGAGGAGAGCACTTCGTCGGAGTCAGACGACGATGATGTCCGTGGTCCATCCAATGTGTCCAGAGCGCAACCAAAGTCAACAACTAGTCCCGCGACTGTCGGGTTGCAGCTAGCCAGGAATCCCACGGTCAGCCGGAGGTCTACGATACATGATTCTCATAATGAAACAGGGTCTTCGGCAGCGCGCTCCGGAAATTCTCAAGACAAGAAGGGTACAAACTATCACACGACACCAGAAGCATACTACCCTACTGTGCGAAAACCTGCTTTGCCACCATCACCCCCAAAGAGTCCAGAGGAACAGAAAACTTCCAGAAGTAAATCAAGGCCGCGCACGAATACCAAGTCATCCGATGTATCATCCGGGTATGGGCTTATTGCTTCCCGACTCAGTACTCCTTATCCCGATGAAGCGCAGCATCGGCTCCCTCCACTGTACCGGCGATTTGAACATTTGAACCACCGCGTGTTGCTTCATTTACAAGACGAGATTGTGCAGATGGAAGAAGAACTTCACGTACTCGACGAATACGAAGAAATGCACCGTTCTGTTACCGCAGATCAAGAAGGGAAAAACAAACCAACGCCTGCCTCAAGACGCATGGATGCGCAAGCCGAAACATATTCCAATTTACACCGCCGACGAAATGAACTAATGGGGTCTGTAATCAGCAAAACTGAGCAATACAGTATGTACACGACTTGCTTCCTAACAGGGCCCTAAACTAACCCAAGAAAATCAAGACAATGCCCTCTGCGCCTACAGCAAAGTCCTCGAAACTCTCCCCCGCGCCTCTGAACAAGACGTCGAATCCTACCGGGCCTGGATGAAAAAGCATAATCCCGTCACCGTAACCGAAAGCCGTTTCCTGGACCATGATCAAGACCTCGTCTCCGTCACTCCTCGCCCTCTATATTCGACTGGCACTGGAATTGCTGCTTCTGCGAATGGCAACTCTCCCTTCCCTGCTGTTGTGATCGCGTCCACTGTCATTCTCCTCCCGCTGCTGGCATTCAGCCTGATCTCTGAGTTCTCTGGTCGTCTTCTCGTGGCCACGATTGTTGCCGGTGCGGTGTCAGCTTTCGCAAGTAATTCCTCGACCGGGATTGAGCGTTTGATTGATGCGAAGGATGGATGGAAATGCGCTGGAGGGTACGTTTTCTGTTCCCGCTTTCTTTGGTATAGTGACAAGACAGCTGACAATGAGCAGATATTTCGGATTCATGACGGTGGCTGCTATGTTTATTCCTTAGCGTGCGAGTATTGAGCGTTTCTCTTTCTTCATTTTGAGACAGCAATTGTTTGTCACGCTATCATGAACTTACGAAAACCACACCGTTTTGGGTTGTATTGATGTCTTGGGTTCTTCTATCCTATTAAAATCTTGTTTTCTAGCGAGAGAAGGCAATGGGATATGATACATCTAGAACAATCACCCTATGAATTCAATGAATTAAATATGATGTGTTTGATGCTTACCATTCACTCTAGGCTACATAAAGTGTATATAGATAAAGTAACTATGCCCATATAGCGTAGTGGTTAGCACTAGTACTATCTAGATAGCAGGCGCCTGTTTGAAACACCTCCATAGTTAGCATGAGCCATCTTTTTAAGTCCCCTTGTTTTTCTTCTAAGTCAACTACGGAGTAAATGATCGATTAGGGTAGAGCGAAAAGCAGGAAAAATGAATTTCTATCAAAACGAATTTGGGCAAGTCTCGAGCCACAATAAAGGTGAGTCGAGATTCTATCTAACAGCCATGCCGTGCATGTAGGTACACTGCCTCCTTTATTTCTGACCCTGTACCATCTCTTCATAGTCTGGAAGAGTCCATTCTCCTACATCCTCACGGAGGATCCACTTGCCAAAAACATTCAACCTCAGGAAGGCGACCACTCCAAGGAGAAAGTTGAGGATCGCAATACCTAACGGTGTCGATGGGATCCAATCCCAAACAGTTGAACCCTTTGCCAGCCCCTTCTGGACTTGGTCCATAAAGGGTCGGAATTTCTGGTCGTAAGCCTTTAGCGCGGTGGAAAGGCCGTCCTTGGTACCATGGCCTTCATCAGCAGGGCGTCCACAATGCTTGGAAATCTCTCCAGCTAGTATATAGGCACCGACAAGGCTGGAGGTGGTTCCCATTCCGGTGGTCGCTGACGGGCAATACGCAGCGTCTCCAAGAAGTACCACGCGGCCGTGAGACCAAGATTCGAGTTTGACGAGGCCCAGGCGCTCACAGTAAAAGTTGTTCGTGTCCTCCAGCGACTGTAGAATGCGTTCTGTCTGCCATCCCGCGCCCTGGAAAATCTCTGCCATGGCCTCCTTTTCTTCCTTGACATTGCCCTTCTGCGCATTATTTAGTCGCTCTGAGCCGGTTGTGCAGACGAGGTATATCTGGATCTCGTGGGGATTATGCCTTCGGATGAACATGAGCCGTCCTCCAGGAGCGATATAGCTCGTGAACGTGAATTCCTCTCCTGGTGATATCTCCCGAGGAATGGTGAAGTATCCTATATAAACTCCCAAGGAATGAAAAGTGTCCATGGTGTCGGGTCCGAATGCCATCTTGCGCGTTCGTGATCCTTGGCCATCGGCGCCGACCAAAAGATCAAATTGATCACTCTTGCCATCCGAAAACCGCACTTGAACGGAGCTCTCATCCTCCTCAAAGCTCTCGATATACGTCCCAAATACATACCGCACCCGGCCCTTGGCAGTGTCGTATATGAGCCGACATAAATCTCCCCTCATGATCTCGAAGTCGGTGGAGAAGCTCTGCAGCCCTTTACCAGACTTGTTCGCCGGGAAGTAGGCCTTCTGTCTGCCAGAGTTATCGACGGCCTCAAAGCCTTGCTCTTCGATGGCTTTGGCGCGAAATCCTGGCTCGAGACCCATGCGCCTCATGACCTCGATACCGTGTCCTCGCAGGTCTACCTGCAGCCCCGTGGCACGCAGGCTGGGGAAACGTTCGATGACCGTAATGTCGTGACCCAGCTTTGAGAGCCAGAAGGCTAGGGCATTCCCAGCAATGCCTCCGCCGCAGATCAGGACTTTCAGTTGTGCCATGACCTAGATATCTGACGCTGTGAACGCTGAGTTTGGAGGGCAAAAAAAAAAAAAAAAAAGAGACAAACCAAATCAAGAATGGTTGGGCTTCTAAACTGAGGAATGGCCAGCGTTCAGAGGCCTTGTTTAAATACCATGTTGTGCCCAGGCGTCTTTTCGCTGTTTCTAAAAAGCCGCTATCTCCGGGAATTTCCCGCTGCGCGAGCATTAGCCATGGATTGACGGAATTGGCCGAGTTGACCGATGCAGTGTAATTATTATTATTACAATTATTTGCGAGCCAATCCCTGTTACCGAACCGAAGCATTATGAGCTAGCATCCTACTACTTGAGTGTTGCGTCGAGTTTAGGCGGCGAAAGTGAGGCTTTTGACTGACTTGCATAGACCTAATTTCGCTGTTCAAGATTCTATTCATCATGCTAGCTACTCCAGCATAATTGATTCCAGGTAGAACGGCTAGATTTATTCAGGGTAGAGGTGCAATGTATTTAGCAGGCCACTAATGGGAAATAGTAAATCCTTCGAACTGTATACTCGGATTATATAAAGCTATGCTGGTACTAGGGGAATAGAGAGTGGAGTGTAAGAAAATCAAAAAGTAGCCTCTGAGTATTATCATTTTTAGATGTTCAGAAAGATCATCAACGCTTCAATTGAAACCAAATAGATCTTCCATATTCCAGACACCAAAAATATCCGCCTCAACGTCTTCCATCAAAACCTCAAAATTCTCATTTATCTGGCAAACATTAATCAGCTCCTTTCTTGGTATATATATATCTTCTCAAATACTAACCTGGAATCCATTGGTCGGTCCTTGTTGCGGTAACACGCTCGGTGCATCTCCTTCCGTATTGCAATATGGCATGGTGACCCTCTGCGGCATCTGGAAGAATTAGGACCGGGTCAGGCTGGGGCAGGCAGGCCACCGTGGGCCAGTCACTCACTCACATCTCGGCGTAGGGATCTCTCAGCCTCAGCCTCCATCTTCCAAGTATGCACTCGGTGGGCGACCCTCAGAACCTCTCCCACGGCCTTTGACCGATTGGCCTCTGCCGACGCCGGCTAGAGCCTCGTTTTCACCAGCGACACGACCATCGCCAAGAGATAATATTCTGGCAATTTCTTGCCAAGCGTATATACATGTGCTTCAAGAGCGCTTAACGTTGTCTCGGCAAGGGACATCAAAGATTCAGGAATATTGGGAACTGCCCTTAGGATGAGCGATGAGCCTATTTATGATTAAACGAATTAGTCGAGATCGTCCTTCTCAAGCGGGATTTGTGAATTAACATACCATAGCCAGCATCGTTCGAATACAACTCGTGGCATAATACCAACGCAGCTTGAAAGGCATAGTTTAGCACGAGACAGGGTGTCAAGTTGTTGGCCCTGGGCTCCATGATATCCTGAAACTGGCAGAGAATAGTCATCGCGGCTTCGAAACGTACACGTCTTGAATGTGCGTACTTGGGAATCTGTTGCGCCAATGATGCGAAGGGAGTGTGGAATATGATTAGATATTGGCGCAATGTCAGTTCGATGGCCACTCGTATACGAGACATTTGCTGGTTGCTTGCACCATCTGCAACAGAGAGACTCCACACTGGGATGCTATTTAGGTGTCCTGATAGTTCCTCATCCATGTTTAGGGCATCTTCGTAATTCAGTTCAATGTTTGTGCTGTTGGCCCATGCACAGATTCTCAACCGCAGCAGAAGGGACTTGGACAAGAAAGCCTGGAACGCCGAATCTGTAAACACTTCAGAAGGTTCTGCTGTCGGTAAGTCTGAATGGGGTTCGACAATGGCATAATCACTGATATTCATGGGCGCGATGGTATTAAAATCTCCCTCTCGTACAGAAGGAGGCATCCCACGATCGACAGATGCCTGGAGGTCAAGTTCGACTATGGTTGCCCATATTCGCCTCCGCATTTCAATATAGAATGGAGATACCTTGGCACTACTGTTGGGCTCCCTGTGGTAGCCAGCAGACATGGCCAGTCTGACCAGGTTGCCTGTGGCGATCCACGCTTGGTTCGCCGAGAGCCCGTTAACTCTTCGGGCCACCATCGACAGGCAGTATGTTTGAAATACCCTCAGATCCGGGCGTTTTGTGTGTCTCTGTAAGAACGATTCTGCAGCTTCCACCCACTCAAGTGCGGTCTCCTGGGTCACAGGGTTTCCACCTGAAAGTTCGGCCGTGCTGTGGTTGCGCAATACTAGCACGCTTGCCATCATTAACAGCAGCTGCGCTACGAATCCGGGAGCCACGGTCTGTGGGCTCCCCCAGTATCTGGCATACTCTCCTCGGAAGGAGGGTACATGAAGGATACGGTGGGTTCGCTCAAAGCAATCGAGGTAAACGGCAACAAGTTCGTCGATCACTTGGCGAGGGGGAAGTAGACCATCCAAGGAGCAGTCTTCGATGACACTTTTCCCCTTGCAATTACGTTTCGACGCATCAATGTCCGCGCGGAGTTTGTTGATTGCAGGATTTTCGGACTTGACTTCCTGAATATAGGCACGAAGCTCTCCAAACTGTTACTGTGAGTAGAGTCTTTTGACTGTATGAGGACTTTGATGGGGAAGGTACCTGGGAGTACATGTTCATGGGGGTTGTCTGACCAAAGAATCTTGTCTGGGAGTCTCTTCCCTTGAGGTACATGGATCCACTCGTATGCGACGAAATCCGTGCATTCCGTATGGATTGTCTGGTAGCTTGTGTTGAAATCCCTCCCGCAACGGCTGCAGAAGCATTGGGTTGCTTCCCCAAAAGACTGTCTTCTGCAGCCGAAACCGCCTGCTTATGACTCTCCGTCGTTACTGGATCAATGATTCCTTGCCTTGGCCTGTAAACAGCAGGAGTTCCAGAGTATCGTTTCGGTGAGTTCGAGCGGTTACTCCGGCTCCGTTTGGCGCCTCGACAAGGGTCATTCTTGTCTACACGCGAGTAGATATCGTCACTATAGACACAGGCATGGGCCTGGCCGCTTTGGTCGCAGCGATCGCACAGGGGAAACTTACGATCGCATTTGATCTTACGCTTGCGACATTGCTTGCATGACAGGGCTGGTCTTCGGCGCCTGTGGGGGGGAATGCTTGGGTTTGGGTCTTGGTCTTGTTCTGGACTTCTTGATGTGATATGGTCGACATTCACTGCTGACATTATTGCGACCCGTTGCGCTACTTCGCTATTGTTGTTGAGGTGACCGGATATTTGGGAAATAAGGTGCGTTGTCACGAAGCCGGGTCGCAATGCAAACTGTCCGCGGTGGTCCGGGTTATTAGCTCGGAGGGGAACTCGGAGCCTGGACGCTTGACCGGTATTTAGGCCACAGGTCACCTTCAACAAAAAGCCGACGGGCTTTTGCGGATAACTATCGGGGTCAATATTCCCTGGACATTTCTCAATGCATATCTCCGAAGAACCAGCATTATGTATTCGGTCTCGGACTGTCTAGTTGTGATAATTTCCCGAATTGCCCGAGCTCTACAAGTCGACTGCTCCTTATTGGATGGCAGTTAAGTTAAATGCAGTGATTATCATTTTTATAGCCCTTTATAGCTTCTTCTCCAGGGCAACAAGCCTAAAGTAGCGGCGCTTAACTATATCGCCCCCGGCGTTTCGGCCCAACATCACATTCCACAGGATAGATATTGAGCTCAGACTGCTACGCCACTTTTTTTTCTACAAACCGGCGTTCAACTGGAAAGCCCACGTTTACGGCAGACCAGGATCTCGATGCCGGGCAGGTGAGCAATTCCAGCCTGAAAGTATAGTTATTGAGTGCAAAAAGGCATGGCTTGCAGGCACCACATTCCAGTCAGTGGTCAGACATTGCTATGGATCGTGCTCTATGGATTCTATTTGTGCTCATATGGTGTTTGCTCTACTACCTATACAGCCAGATATAAAACCCACTTTGTAGAAAAGAAAAGAAAAGCAAGGATAGCAGAGCAACAATAATTCTTCATCTAATGAAACAAGCATCGAAATTGACTCGACAACTGTATAAAATAAGACACTATTCCCATCTACCACCAGACCAAAACTATCTATCTAGCCTTGATCATTTGCGCCAAACGCTGAGTACATAAAAAAATAAGACAGAGAAGAAGACAAGGTAAAGAAGACATGAACCGTTCCTGTAATGTTGACAATGTGAACAATAGTGAAACAATAGTAGCAGTGCACCATAGCACTGCTCTGGTCTAATAATTGTGATTCTGTAAGGGAAAGGACGGAGGAATTGAATCAATTATAATAGAACAAGCATCAAAGGAAAGGCAAGAAAAGGAAGCCACATCTCAAAGATTGCCAACCCATAAACATATCCATACATATTTCATGACGGTACCGGAGTTCCATTCGGTTTGCTTCCTGGTGTCATACTCCGATCCTGCGAACCAGAAGCAGAAGCAGCACCCGGCGTCGTAGACGGCTGGCTCTGCTGCTGAGCTAGCTGTGCCTTGTTGCGGTCCATCAACGCTGCTTGCTCAGCAGCACTTCGTGCATATGTAACAGCAGCCGCGGAGTTGGAGTAGCCGCTGGATTGTGGCGTACTAGCGTATTGCTGTTGCTGCTGGGGTACATACCGCTGCTGCTGTTGTTGCTGCGGAGCCACGTATGGGATTCGCGGTTGAGGAGTGTTATACTGTGCCGGCTTCTGAGGGGATGTAGTTCGACTTGAGACGTACGGGGCGTTGTGGGCTCCTGGCTGTGCAGCGCGAGGGGTGTAGGGTTGTGGGGAGGCTTGAGCAGCTGCTTGCTGCGCTGTAATAGGATATCCGTTTGATCCTTGTCGCGGAATCTGTGGAGCAGTCTGCGGAGTTCCTGCCTGGGAATATTGCGGGAGGTAACCAGGCCGTTGCGATGGAGTACCCGGTGCGCGGCTTCCTGCGTATGGTGCTGGTGCGTATCCTCCCGGCGTGGAAGGTTGTCTGGCACCGTAATAGGCTTGTGGCGTGTTGTATCCTGGGGCAGTAGGAGCGACTACACGGTTATATCCTTGCATGGTCCTGGGACGTCCAACAGGCGCTGCAGTCGGCGTCGAGGTCCGGTTTGTGCTGCCAACGTTCGATGCTAGTGCGGCGAGGCGCTCCTGTTGGAGGCTGTAGTCGTCCTTTTGCATTGTGCCGTGGTAATCCTGGTTCTCGACCAAGACCTTTTGGCTGATGTTCAGTTCCGCCAATTGGTCGCCATCTAATTTAGCAACTGCATACGGCGGCAAATTCGAAACAAGCGCGGCTAAGCTCGATTTCAAAGTCTCGTAGACGGTTCTCTCTGGGTCAGATGGTGTATTTGGATCGCCCTGTTCTGATGATGTATCTTGACCGTGAGCCGATGCGTCCAGATTGCGAACCTTTTGATACGAACTGAGTGTTTCGAGTAACTCGGAAACATCACGTAGCAATGCGTTCATCTCTTTTGTTTCTTCGTTCTCCTTCTTTTCCTCTTCTGACGAAGATGTGACATTGTCGGCAAAGTCCTCGGGGTTGAACGACTTGACCATCTCGTCCAGAGTCTGTTCGTCGAGTTCGCCAATATTCCCAGGCTGCTCTGTGGACGTTGCCTCAGTCTCTTGTTCCTCGTAAGGAATCGAAAGCAAGGTCTCCAGTCGTTTTGTCCCTCGCTTGCCCCACCACACTAGATCCTTAGAGTCTGCCTGCACAACAGCCCCAGAGCTATCAAAAGAGGGGGCAAATGACGAATATACGCCCTGCAGCAGAGAGGGCGATTCTTCACTTGCCAGCGAAGACTCCTCATAGGGTCTGGGAACGGCATACCCTTCATCTTGTTGTTTTTGCTTGCGATTCCAATACGAAGGAGAGGATGTAACGCCACCGTACTGCAGCCATTGACCAGAGGGCAAAGGTGCAAGGCAGTAATTATTCCGCTCCCCGGGGAACGACTTGTAGTTGGTCATAGCGTCGAAGGTGTCGATCCACGTGCTGCGGGATGATGATCGAGCTCTGCGCGGAGGCTCCAGCTGGGGCAACCCCGAACGGGGAGCAAAAACTTCACGAAAGGTCCTCTTGGGCTGTTTGGATTCGGCCTCGAGATTAGTTGACGTCACCTTGGTAGTGGTGATACCATTGGGCAAGGCGACATCACGCAGCGGCGCCTGCACCTCCACGTATTGTGCCGTTTCGGGACTGTCGGAAGATAATGGAACCTCGACAGACTTTTGCAAGCTCGAAAAGAGTTGCTTTGGATTCGACGGGTTACCAAAGAGCGTCAAGACTGCACTATCCGTGCGAGCTTCCGCGTTCGACGGCGTCGACTTGGCTGGTGACTGCCGATCACTTTCGGACGCTTCCGTCTTGATGTTGTTCTGGCTCACATGCGCCTGACGGACAAGGCTGTTTAAGACTTTTTTGAATGCCGCGATCCGATTGACCGTCTCCGTCAGTGGCGACCCATCGGCCTGATCAGTACTTGCCCGAGTTTTACTCTGTTCAATAACCGCGGAAGACGCCTTTTCAATATCACTCAAGAACTCTTGGACTGTGGTATAGCGACCCGTCGCGACCCGTTCATGTATGCTAGCACTTTCCTCCTTGTCGGTCGAAACTTTTGCGCGTTTCGATCGCGGTTTTGTGGGCGATAACGTTAAGGGACAGGAAAGAAGTTGGAGCTCAGTGTCGTTTCTAAACTTCCTCGTTAGCTATCATGAGTACCAAAGGTCACATAATACCACCATCACTATCCAGGATCCTGTTGGGAAGCACGCACTTGCTCAAAATTTCCACAAGATTTTGTAGATTTTCTTGCAGCTCTTCCTTATCTTGCAACTCCGTCGTAGAGGAACTGCCCTCTTGGGATTTCTCCTCTGCCGATCCGCGCTTTCGTTTGCCAGGCGTCGCCAGCGCATGATAGTCGGAAGTGCTGGGATGGAGGTCGCCGTTCGTGGCAGACATCTTAGATGCCTCTGCGCCTTCATCTGCGCTCATAGTGTGGGTAGTCGCGCTTTGCGGTCGTATTTATCCCGTTCAACGCGAGTATCCAGAATCTTGTCTTCCGAGCAAACACACGGTCGGTGGGCGCACAGTGAATTATGGCGAAAAAAGTGACGGCGCAGACTGGGGTGAATTCTTTGAAAAGAAAAGATCAAAATAAGAAAAGACAAAAAGGTACGAGTTCAATTCTCAGAGGAAGGTGTTGAGCCCTTTACCTCCGACGCCGACGATGCGCCAATAAATGCGAGATTCGATTCGCAAAGGGATCCCACTACGACGGTATAATCCAGCGCCACAACTGAAGAGGGAAGAATCCAATAAGTAGTATCAGATCCTCAAATAAAGGGATAGTAGATGCATAAAAATTGCAGGACGCAAATACCGTGGAGGATGCAGCAGGAACGAGAAGGGAAATGGCAGAAAGAGAAGGAGATCTCGCTGCTGCTCCATTGCGCGCCGCGCCAAGACCCGTGACGATCTATCACGTGACTGACATTTTTGGCCGCGAAGTTTTGACGGAAGAGAATATGAAGGTAGTCAAATCACCTCGATGCCCTGGATACTCCGGCCTCACTGCAGCCTCTGTCTATGAAGCTATTCATGGATGTCATCGGTTTTGAATTATTCCTCAAGCCGCTCGGGAGTGTCCTCTCTGAGAGCGGCGCAATTGCTCAGTTGGTCCAAGGTATGTATATGCCCCCGGAAGTTGCAATATGCTTTCACTAGTAGTACAGTACGGCTAATGACAAACCCACGCAACAGGAGAATCGTCGACATAAATCTTCTACCGCTATATACCAGACAACAGCCGCGAGATTCCGCAATGCGCCTTTACATCCTCGATCCGGGCGCCGCGGCCTGACTTCTGCCCACAGCACGACTTCTCCGGTACCCGAATCCCGAAATGAGAAACGAGGCGGGAGTGAAAATACTCGACGAGAGTTGTTGAACGATTGGTGGGACAAGTTGCGGCACCAATCCCAGTTGAATCAGTTTTATTCACCCTCGAATTCAAACAGAGAGAGGGGCAGTGGACGAGGACAATGTACAGAAAACAAACAGAGTGAATTGCAGCGAAGGCGTCGAACATCGGTCCAACGAAGGAGGCACAAACAGTCTATCGATCCAACTCCGTCAGATTACTTGACGGCTGTTTTGCAAAACCCGCATCTTCTCTCCCAGCAACCGAGTGATGTACTCAAGAAACCAGGTCGACTCTCCTTCCAAACCATTCTAGCTGGGTATCTCAGACTAGTTGATCCGATTCTGGACCGAACGAGAGATATCCATACAGAACACGAGTTGGACAGCGCGCTGAAGGAGGTTTTCTGCGAAAGACATCTTGAGTATCTAGCGGCCCGGCAATATGGTATTGCAGATGTGATGGCCTGGGCATGGATACTGAAGAGCAATACGGTCTATGATGCTATCCTTCGGATTTTTGCCTTGGAAGGAGAACAAGGAAATCTGCACCATGGTGCTGTCCGAAAAGTCCCCACGTTCATCCCGCTGATGCTACTGCGAAGGTCAAGGTTTGATACGAGAACTTTTCGTTTGATCCTCATCTATTTTTTACATCTCATGGGTGGTGAACCAATCCCAACGCTCCGTTCCGCCCTGAGGTCGATAGAGATGAAGACGGGGAGTATGATGGAGCTTCAATCGGGAAAACGCGACTCCCCAATTGATGCCAGCACGTGCATGTTATCAGTCATTCGCTTACTCCGCCATGCTCGACAAGTTTGGCCACAAACGCAACTGACCATTGCTCGTGCACTTGCCGATTTTCTGTTACATTCAAAAGCCCAGGAAAATTGTTCAGAAGTTTCCGCGGGGCGTATGAATCGGTATCGGGCTGAGAAATTCAACCTATGTCTTTGGTTACTTTCATTGCCTTCCAAACCAGGTCCTTTTGTGTCCGCTTCGATACAGCAGCAAGCCCAGTTTGAACTACTCAAGGCCATGGCGAGCCATAAACCGGTCCTCCCAGTAACACGACGAGGCTATCAAGGTGTAATCGCAGTTCAACTGGCACATAAAAAAACACTAGCTGAGCGACAGGCGGCTGAGCTCAAAGCCCCGTCCTGGCCGCCATGGAAGGAAGAGAAACTCGGAATAGACTCCCACCGGGGGATTGAGGGAATGACGAGTCGGGCAATGCAAGTAATGACTCAGATGAAAGAGGCCGGCTATTCCCATACACGTTGGGAAGAAGTTTCGTCCATCTTTGCTGGCTGGGACACGGATCGAAGCCCAACAATTCAAACTCGGACGCTGATGCGTCGACCACAGTCGTTACCCGAGCCTCGTGGGAGCACACAAGACGACCAGGCCATCTGGGTTGCTCGCATCCGTGCTACGCGTACAGTGCGAGAGGCTTGGGCGTGCTTTCTCTCATATCAAGGCCAGGGCCTTTCTCCTCGTTTGAGCATCTATACGGCGATGGCGGAGAAGCTTATATTCCGTCGAAAAGCAGTTGAAGCCCATTTCGACGAGACCAGTGGCGCCTTGCCGGGTGATGGGCCAGAGATATTCCCAGAACCAGCATCTGCTCGAGATCTGATGTATGTGCACACAGAGCCACCAACCCTGGACGAACTACTGAGGCGGATGCTCTCTGATGGAATTAGGCCATCCGGGAAGCTCTTGGAATTACTTCTTTGGGCTACACCCAGCTTCAGATCTGGCCTGGATTACCTCCGTTCCAGCAACCTATCTAACGATCAAATCCAGGCATTGTGCACCGTGCGAGGCTATGGGGATCATAGCTTCCAACAGCAGAAGACCTTGACCGGATTGTCTAACAGCCTATTCTCGTCCTTTGTCGGATTTCTCTGTAAATATTCGAATTTCAATCCACTCTACCTGGCTCGGGCCGATATTCGTACGGCAGATCTCTTCCCAGTTGTGATGGGCCACTATCGAGCGAGGAGACATGCGGGGACTTCAACAACGCTGTTTGAAAGTTCAGAGACCGGTGAGGATCTCCAACCACCCATGACGCTATTACACGCGGTCCAGCTCATCAAACTGCGAAATTCGCAACATCCCTTGCCGTGGATTCGACTTCTCTCAACACTTGGCGCAGACCGCATCACCGTACCTTACCGCAAGATGAGCCGGACAACTCAGCGTGTCCTTGCCTGGCATGAAGTCCTGGAAGTCGCGAAATTGATGCAAGAACGGAAAATAGAGATGGGACTTCAAGGCTTCCAGATCCTTTGCAACACCTACGCAGGAGCGGTGTCTTCAGGGAAGCGGCATCCAATGGCGGCTGAAGATGGTTTAGAGCTCATCATCCATGCCAAACGGAACGGAAGTCTGCCTCACCTTGGTTGGGTTTGTGATACATTCGAGGACATGACGGATGCTGGACCTCCCATCTTGAAACTATATTTCGACCGACTTGTTCTGCCAGACCCAGCTACTTCTCCTTTCCATGAGGACTTTATGCTCTCTGAAGAGACCACTACAGATCCTCAAGAGACTGTTCCTTCCATGCTCCACGTCCCTTCACCCGCCGTTCTCCACGCCTTTGTTAGGGCTCTCGGGATAGCTGGGGATAACACCGGCCTTCTCAATCTTCTTCAGTGGATGAGCAACCACGCGTCTACGTTGAAGGAAGCTGCTGATGAATATCTGAATGGTGAACGGATGATGCGGCGTACCCTGGTTGCCGCCCGGGTATTCATCGAAGGTCCTCCTTGGGGCCAACCATCTCTACGTGATTCGAATGACCCCGAGAAGCTGGTTTTTCCGGATGTTTTGGTGGAAGAGGCGTATGATATAATTACAGAGACGCCTCTGTGGGATGGGTGGCCGAGTGACGAGGAGGTTCGGGACTATGTAAATAGAGACACACGATTATAGATTTCTTGTGTACGATATTGTATAAAATTATATGTCTTATGTTCAATTATGTTTATCTACTTTGGATACAGGCATAATTCAGAACGATGCTGAGTGCGCGTAATGCAATGCGTCAGGCAGCTATTCACTCGGAGGCGACAACAATACTTCTGGATCATTCTAATATCCTATTCTTTTTTTTGCCCTTTTTCATCACGCTGCCTTCCACTGCTTATCTACTTTATATCTTATATCCCTATCTGGTACTTGACCTTTGACACGCCAGACAGTTGTTAAGGAACAGAATTCATCAAGATGTTCCCATACCGACAGGCTTATTGTTCATGTTCACTCTGTGGATTTAGTACTGGTTTGTCTGGTTGGACGACAACAGTGCGGGCGTGTACATTATACATAGCCCCCTCCCCTCTCGAACCCGACATAGTTCCATCCTAACCTGACACATCCAATTCATACAGTACACAAGGTATCCGATGAATATCACATAACCGCCGGCGGCACATATGAGTCGGAAAGAGATGGGAGCAAGGTGAAGCTTCTAGCTGACGAGAATGAGCTCGACCCCCAGCTCTTGACGTTTGATATGATTCTGAGTAACGATGCTTTGACAACGTTCATTATTCACGAAGCTTGTTGGAAGATCCTGAAGGGTTATTTCTATAACGCGCCTGTGCCTCTGAACCAACTGGGGGATCTTCTTCAATGGTGGCCGGAAAAAAGCTTCAGGATGTACTATGTACATTCAGGAGAAAAGGCCCCGGGTATCTCACTGAGCGAAAAAGAAGACCCTAGTGCACCGATAAACATCTTCACCAACAATTTAGGACCACTAGATGATCTACCACAGCCCAGTAACGCCGTGGCTCAACAGCGAAAGGAGAAGTTAAGAACAATTGGAAACGGAGACAGTTTCGCGAGATTGCCTCTGGAAATGCGCGAGGTGATAGCAGCGTACATGCCGATACTGGACTTCTACCGCTTACGGCTTGTCTCGCGCTCTATGGGGGAGTTGTTTTTCAGCAAGAAGGGATTTTGGAAGGCAAGGTTCGAGATTGACAGTGAGCGGGATTTTATGGCTGTTCTTAAGACGCTTATTCATGCGAAGAAGCGCTCGCGGAGGGATTGGAGACTTATTTATCACATCACTAACGTGCACCATATTCCGCTTGATTGGACTTCAAGGAGGAATCTCTGGGGACGATGTCGCTGGATTCGCGATTTTATCATGAAGAGCAGTCTATCGAACACGTTGGGTGTTGGTCGTGAGGATTTGAATGTTTCTGATTGGAACTGGAAAGGAGTACAGGCGCGGAATTTGGAATATGATGAGAAATTTGTGGAACAAACTGCTTTCATACCATCATCACTGAGTTCAATTTCCATATCCTTCACCAAGGAGATAATGGGCAAGAATACTAATGATTGTTCACCTCCAACAAGACAGAACAAATCCGCCAGGGGCGATGAGTATGTCACAGGGATAGAGCTGATTTCAGACACAGACGACCAGCCGCCAATCCGTTTGGGACACATGATCCCTGGAAATCGAGTCACATATCAGGTCAAATCATTCAAAGCATTTGAAGTTGCCATGAATGATAAGGGAATCCATGCCCTCAGGATAATTTTTGATGCTGATGAGCCTGCTACATTGTGGATCGGGAATTCCTCTGCAGCCAGCATAACGAATCGTCTCATACTGAAGGAAAATGTTGCTGCTCTTGAAGCTTGTTTCACTGCAAGTTGCACTTACATCCCCTGACATCTGGAGCATGGGATATCAGACTTACCTGTACAGAAACATAGAATGGTCAGTTTATCGCTTGGAGCTAAGCACCCAGTCTCCCCAGCAGAAAAGGAACAACGCAAATACCATGGACGGACCATCTCATGCAGAATGCATTGTGGTTCCCAGAAAAACCCCCAGAAGGCCTCCATTTCAGCGACCTTTCAAGCTATGGAATCGATCCTCTGGATACTAGTTATCGGCCCTTCATGTGAACCCTTTTCGACAACAAGGATGGAAGTCGCCTTCCTTCTCTGACAGGGATTGATGTTGGCACTACCTGGGCTAATACGTGTTACGCTCTTTTCTTTTACTACAACAACGAATCCAAGTCCAATTCAAGCCTTGATTTGGGGAGTCGATTGTATGATAAGGAACACTTCGAGATCGATGGACCAGGAGGAGAAAGAATTCAGTCTGTGAAGGTGGTGGTTGAAGATGCCAACCCCAATATTCCCGTATGGTACAGGATTTCTACCAATCGTGAAGACTGTGTATGGACCGGGAATAAGGGTGGTAATAATCTACCATATGATTACTCTCTGAAAGACCTGGATATCGCACCGGGGACTACACCTGTTGGATTTTATGCAACCAAGGTGAATCATAACCCTGAGAACCCTGGGGGAAATAACACCGGTACAGTCGTTCTTGAGGTTATATCGGCAGCTGTTAAATAGCGAGACATGTACTTGCTTTGGTATAGCTGTTAGCAGAATACAACTCTTTCTTGCCATAGCTATTCGTGTGTACATACTGTAGTAGATAGTCGGTTATGCACGGGTTCCTTCTCCCCGCAAAAAGCTTTCCCCACGCCGCCTTGCGGATTTCGGAGCTCTGTTCCTCGGGACGACAATTCTCAACCACCTCTCTTCTTTAAACCATCCGCTCCCTCACTGGCTATTATATTCAATAAATTCATTAGGTACCCGTACCACAACAAAATGGCACCTCGATTAATCCACCTCTCCTCTCCCCTCCTCCGAACCACCTCCGTACAGTCCTTCCGCATCACCCTCACAAGACACTCCTACAGCACCAGCTCCGACAATGACGTGATCAAAACTCAGCAAATCCCAGCTCCTGGCTCGGGAAATATCCGTGTCCTGCTTCTGAACAGACCCAATGCTCGGAACGCGCTCTCGAAAAGCCTGCTGGATAGTTTGACGAAGCAAGTGCAGTCGATATCGGCCGAGGGGGGCACGGGCCCGACGAGGGCACTGATTCTTGCCAGTAGCTCGGATGAGGCCTTTTGCGCGGGCGCGGACTTGAAGGAGCGTGCTGGAATGAGCAAGGCTGAGTACGTTTGTTTTCTGATCTAGGTTATCACGATGTCACCGCAAAGCTAACCGCCCGATAAAGAGTGGGTGAATTCCTCGCCAAACTCCGAGGCACATTCCGCGACATCTCTGCACTCCCAATTCCCACCATCTCCTCGATCTCCTCCGTCGCTCTGGGTGGCGGTCTCGAACTCGGCCTCACAACCCACTTCCGTGTCTTCAGCTCCTCGACCATCGTCGGTCTCCCAGAAACCCGTCTAGCCATCATCCCCGGCGCAGGAGGTACCTACCGTCTACCCGCGCTCATCGGAGTAAACCGCGCACGGGACATGATCCTCACAGGCCGTCGCGTGTCGGGTCCCGAATCCTACTTCATCGGACTGTGCGATCGTCTGGTCGAGGTGTTGCCGGAAGAAGAGCAACAGGAAGGTGTGGCGCGGGAGAAGGTGTTGAAGGAGAGTATCAAGTTGGCTATGGATATCTGTGAGGGAGGTCCTGTGGCTATTAAGGAAGCGTTGAGCGCTGTGCAGGGGTATCAGCGCGGGGAGGCAGCGGAGAATGAAGCTTATGATGGAGTTATGGAGACGGACGATCGAATTGAGGCTCTTCGGGCGTTTATTGAGAAGAGGAAGCCTGCGTTCCGTGGTCGGTGAGATGTTGTGATTAGGCCAAGGCTTGCTTGTTTGTGGTCTGTATTGGCCGCTACTTGAATTGTATATTCTTATTGTCTAAGTGTCCAGTCTGTGCGCAGGATTAGTTTTTTTGCTCACTAACTAGTTATATGACTTGCTGATCTATCTGTGCTCATATTCTCGCTATTTTACCATCGAGTGTTTCAGCATAAACCACGTGCTCTCGCCATGATGATAGCATAAGGACAGCATTAGTAAAGCAGATATTTCGGAAGTCGGCAGTCAGTAAGCAAGCACTCGTAGACTTTGCGATATATGGCGTCCAATAGGAGCATTTTAGTATTAGTAACAGCCATGTCATAACTAACTACATACTTGTACAGATGTACTCGTGGCTTATGCAGACGCCCGTTTGTCGTCTGCCATGTACGCGTAAGGCTGAGACTGGTACAGAGCACAATCGAACTTCTGAGCTCTAACATGAAGCCCGAGTTTCTCGGTGGTCAATCTTCTATAGATTACTGATATGAAAGTACACTCTGCCGATGCCAACCGCAGAGGAATTAATTCCGCGGTTAAGCTGTTCTCTGCACTCCACACCAACCCTATTCCGACCTAATGCCGGGGCCTCCATTGGCCATCGGCACCCCCCCGCCCGCAGTGGGACCGACCCGGAACACATTGTTTCGCCGATCCGAATAGAGATGCCGGTCTTCCGACTCGGCCCCAGAAGACTCCAATAAAAGAAAAAAAAAAAAAAAAAAAAAAAAAAAAAAAAAAAAAAAAAAAAATCCAGGCGTTAAAGTCGGAGGGAGATGCCAGCGTTTCTGTTTTCGTGGCCTTGACAAGTTTTCTAATCGGGTTTGTATAAGGCGAGTACGGAGTGACCGGAGCAGCAGATTCAGATATCAAAAATGAGCGAGAAAGAACCGGATCACACGCCCGAGACCGGCAGCACGTTTTCTGCCGCCGCGGACCAATTTGAAGGCCTCAGGCACCGGTATGGTGCGAACGTGGCCCCGGAAGATACCCAGGACGAAGTAGCCCTGGAGCGCATCAACACCTATCGGTTGCAGCAGCAGGAGACTGTTGGGTCGAGTACACACCGGGTTCGGACGCCGCGGGAACAATGGCTGCCTATGGGTGCTGGGAAGCCGTTCCCTCCTAGCATGCCTGATGCGGAGGAGTATGTGGTTGAGTTTGAGGGATCGGATGATCCGATGCATCCTCAGAACTGGCCGTTCAAGAGGAGGTATGTCTTTCTATCCGTTACTATGATGAGAATTGAAGCTGACTAGTGCAGAGTACTGCTGGGATCGCTGCTCACCTTTTGCGCGCTGATGACCTCTTTCGAGAGTGCTGCATTCCCCGTTACGGTGTCGTTCGTTGGCAAGGAATTTGGATTCGGTCAGGAAGTAGGTGCCCTGGGTACCACGCTGTACGTGCTGGGTTTCTCCGCAGGGCCTGTGTTCTGGGCTCCTACCTCGGAGCTGTATGGCCGTCGATGGCTTCTAGTTGTTGGGTTCTTTGGATTCAGTCTTTTCACAATTGCCTGCGCAACGTCGAAAGACACTCAGACCCTGATGCTGTGCCGTTTCTTCGCTGGTTTGTTCGCTGCTAGTCCAGTGACGCTCGTTCCAGCGAGTTTGTCGGACTTGTTTAATAACACACACCGTGGAATTGCCATTGCCATGTACACCCTGGCGATGTTCATGGGACCGTACACCGCGCCGTTTGTCACGGGTTACATCTCGTACAGTTACCTGGGCTGGCGATTTGTGTTTTACATCCCGGCCTTTGTCGGCTTCTTCAACGTGCTCCTGCTTATTATCTTCGCACAAGAGACCTACGCGCCCGTCGTTCTCGTGCACAAAGCCGGACTTCTCCGTCGCCAGACACAGAACTGGGCTATCCACGCCCGACAGGAGAAAATCGAAATCACCATCAAGGAACTCATCACCAAGAACCTGGCTCGTCCTTTCCGTATCCTCTTCACCGAACCGATTGCCTTCCTGGTCACCGTGTACATGTCGTTCATCTACGGCCTGGCTTATGCCCTACTCGAGGCCTACCCGGTTGTCTTCTCAGGCGTGTACGGCATGAGCGGCGGTAATGCGGGCCTACCGTTCATCGGCCTGACTGTTGGACAAATTTTCGCTTGCGCGTTCGTGCTGTCGTTCCAGAGACCTTATATCCGGAAACTGGCAGCGAACAACAACGTTCCTATTCCGGAATGGCGCTTGCCCCCGTGTATCGTCGGTGGTATCGCTTTCTCTGCTGGATTGTTCTGGTTCGGCTGGACAGGCTGGACCACCTCGATTCACTGGATGGTGCCTATCGTCGCGGGTGGAATGGTTGGTTTCGGTATCATCACGATCTTCATGCAATGCTTCAACTACCTCCTTGACACTTATCTTCAATTGTAAGCCTTTTCCTCCCTTCCTTCCCATCTCTTTTGACTCTAATCTAACAATGTGTACAGCGCCGCCTCCGCCTTCGCCGCAAACACCATGATGCGATCCTGCGTCGGGGCCGTCTTCCCCCTCTTCGCAACGCAAATGTTCGAGAACCTAGGCATCCAATGGGCAGGCACTCTACTGGGATGTATCGCCGCTATCCTCGTGCCCATCCCGTTGGCGTTCTTGGCTTGGGGTCGACTTCTCCGCAGAAAGAGTCGGTTGGCTCCTACTGATGATGGACCTGGAGATGGAAGCTCCCCAGCTTAAATATATACCCCCAAAGAAGCGACTTTTGCTTCGCAATCTTCGTGGCTTTATTTATAATATGCGAACGATATACCCCTGGTACAATACTTAATAATGTGGCAGTTGGATTGGTTATCTGGTTGGCTGGCTTGAAAAGTTATTAATGTTTATTATGGATTAGATTAGATTAGGTTAGATTAGATTTGTACGGCGAATGTCTCAGATGCTAGAACGAATTAGAGATAGATGCATGAAATATGAATCGGCGGACTGAAAGCAACACTGGATTGACGTTCTCGAATTCAACCCGTCACATAGGTGTGCTTCGTACGCACCATGTAGCTCGACTCAAGAACTGATAGGCGAAAACAAAAGCCTTTCCCCTTCTTATTTGACAGCGGTTTTGGTAACGACGTCTGGGGTCTTTGAACTTCAATATCCCTTTTTTGCACCGGCAATCTGTATCCTTATGAACCTTCACTAGCAAAACTGTCCTAGCTCTCTTAGCCAGCAGGGCGGTCTAACATCCGCGGTGGGATTTCCGGTCATTCAGATGCCGACAAACAGTGCTGTGGCCCACTTATCAAGCTCCTCCTCCGTGAATTTGATGTCCTTCTCGTGAGGTGGGTTCGAATCTCGACCAACAACTTTCTCAAGGATCAGAATGAGAGGCGCGCCAGTTATGACTGAAAGATAAGTATTCTGGTCTGTCTCGACAGGTGCAGTTCTGATGGGCCTGTTCCGGACAAAATCGAGCCTGGCTCGATAGGAGATCCCATTCCTCAAGAAGTACCTATCAATAGCTTTCTCTTGTTAAGATTTATGCGGATGATAATCACGACGTCAACCTCCCGCTTTAGGTGCCGGGTCCATCATATCAGACCTAACAAAGAGTCTGATATGCCTGCCTCAACTACTAAGAGAGACCAGGCATTCTTGGCTGGTCTCGGAAATTGGTTAACGTATTCCTAAGGCTTCCTCCTTGAACCTTTCCTTCTTGACCGCATTATGATGCATAAACTCATTGCAACCCACCTTTATGGAAGGAATGCTCTGGCTCCAATTCTCGTTTCCAGGTTTCTGTGTTCTTTTCGTGCGCAACTGAAAAGGTACTGACTGACAACGTCTCGATGGCATCAAGATAAGCACGTGAATGGTGCCATGGAGGGATCACTCCTCGCATCGATTTGTTTCTCTGAAAGTCTCGAGGCTGATCTTTGCTGAAAGGTACGGGCCTATTTCAAATGTTCCACCTCTACAGACGATGCCGTAAAATTGTCCCAAGCGTCGAGTTCACACGGTGAAGAACTCTCAAGTCAGACTTGCTTGGAGGAGAAAAAAGGAGGAAATATAACGCGTGACAAGATGCCCGAGCTGGCTCTTCTGGGTTTTCCGTCTTTTTTTTTTCCGGATCCAGTCATACATAGGTGGATACTAGTTGGTACTTGGCGTTTGAAAAGAGACGCCTAGGTCTGGTTTTCTAAAGCTGTGATTTGGACTTTTCATTTTGGAGCTCAATCAAAATTTGTGAGACACGAAGAAGAGATGCCAGTGATCTTATGGACGCGATATTCTTTCAAAGTGGTGCAAATTTCCATGGGCGATTATATGTTCGATAGTAGCTAGCCCAAAACTTCTCTGAATTGGTATTCAAACCTTTCAGCATAGATTATGCCGTACCCGATGCTCTCTTCTCGTTCAGAGCTGGAAGGACGGCTGCGAACAGCTGTAATGAGCGATGGGTTTATTGTCCAAGAAGACCCATTTTCCCCGCAGATGAACAGGACGATTATCAGCCATTGCATTCCAAACGAAGAGACAAGTAGTGAGGCGTGCTAGCCGTGAATGCATTATAACCCCGGTGATACGGCAATGCATGTCTTTCCATTTTCTTATTCGTATTAGGCATGTCCTTGCATCCATGTTAATGGTGTTCATGTCACGTAGATTCGGTCTCAGTTGTGTCCGTTGTCAACACACTGGGCTTTTGTCAGACCACTCATCTTAAGTGGCTACTGTAAATCCACTTGTTTCTGTTTTGAGCACTTTCAATTACTCGAGTATCCTGTACCTTCGTCCCGATATATCAACACGCGGTGTCATTTTCGGGTGAAGTATATCATTTCACGAAACTTTTCAACACAAGGAAGACTGTTCCAGAATCTCATAGCAGGGCTGGTCTTGCTGCAAAAGCTTTTAAGGTGCTGTGAGCTAGTTTCCACAGAATGTGTCAGGGACAAGTTGGACAGGAAGGGTTCCAGTCAAAGCTTGCTCAGAGAATGGCGGTATTGAAAGCATATCATCATTGATTAGGGAAACTTTTCATTTTCGACGGGCAGGAATAAATATGAATAGAGGTGAGGTTGAGGAGAGGGACAAAAAGGAAAACGGAGAAAGACGATGGGGAGCACTCCTTTATTCACTGTTTGGGTTTGGGGATAAAGTGGCCTCTATTATTGATACGAAATACTTACCCAGTTGGGGGCTAGGTCGCCCAAAGATGGTGCTATGCTGGGCTATGTCGTTGCTGAACTATTCTGGAAGGCATTGACTGTTTAATACAACCACAATGTTTGTCTCAAAAATAGATTTGTCGCCGAATGAAATTGATATATAGGGCTAGCTAAGAAGAACAAGCCTGCAAAACTAATAAAAACGAGCGGAAACAACATAGCCCCATGCCGACAGTCAATACCATCACCAAACCAAAGTCTCTTCTTTCGGAGCTCGGCAGCAGAGATCCCCACAAAGTGCCTCATCCTTCTCAGTCACCTGCGTGTCGCAGGGTACCTGCGGCCTCGCCGGCCAGATCTCCTGTTCCTCGGCTTTCTCGTGGTTATAATGCTCCGTGATGACCTCGCGGATTGTGCTCTGGAAGAAGAGGGGCGCTTTCTCGTACTTGGGGTGCAGTTGGCCATTGGTAAAGATTCCTCGGTCGAGGTTCTTCTGTGCGTTGTCGCATAGGACTTTGTCTTCTCTCATGACCCGTTCGTACATGTCGCTGATCAGTTTGAAGTCGGTTTCAGAGGAGTTCCGATTTCGGTAGATTTCGTAGGCCATCATGGAAGTGCTCGGGCCCTTAGGGAGGAACTTTTGGATCATCATGAAATGCGGCCTGCGTGCGTTAGAGCTTTCTGCTTGGGAATTTATTGTGGAAGAGCACTTACGAGACAACCATGGCAGACGTGGGGAAGTAGTAGGTACTGGCAGTGTACAAACCTCTCGCTAGCTGCTCTGGTGTAGAAACGCAATGGTGTTGGATATGTCCGTCTTTGGTGTCGCTGTCGAAAGAGTCAAGGTTGAGAAATTCGGGAATATCCGCGTGCGTCGTAGGGCAATGGTAGCATTCATTGAAGTTGTCAGACAGGATTTTCCAGTTGTAGTGGCCCTCTAACTCATAGGTATGGCTGAGATCGTAGTCGTCAAAGTTGTAAGCTTTGTACCGCTCTTGCTTGTCAACGTCCTTGAAGTGCTCTTCCCACGAGACTTTGGGTGTTTCCTTCGCGTCCAGATTGACCCAGATAAAGCCATTGACGTCGACCTTGACGTGGATGTGGAAGAGACTGTTCTGCTCCTTGTTGAATCCATCCAGCTCTTGGTATCCGGGAGCCTTGGCCAGTTTGCCATTGAGTCCGTAGGACCAGCCGTGATATCGGCAAGCGATGATCTTGGCGTTTCCTTGACCCTGCTTCTCGATTACTGGATACGCGCGGTGTCGGCATACATTGTGGAAAGCGTTGATGTTGTTCTGGCGGTCACGGATAATGATGAAGTCGAAACCCGCAAGTTCGTAGCGGAGCCAGTCGCCGGCCTCCTTGATCCGAGAGCTATGGGTCATAAAAAGCCATCTTTTAGAGAATATGGCACGGCGCTCCAACTCGTACATCTCCTGCGAGGTGTACCATGACGCGGGCAAAGCACGCACAGGAGTGTTTTTGGCTGGCGGTGCTTCTTCCTTGGAGGAGGCGTTGTTGCCGAAGCGAAGGTAGTGCAGCATTGAGGCCATGATAGTCTTTAGAAAAAAGTCACAGTAGAGTATAAGTGTGATTGCGTCTGAAGATCTGGTAGAGAAATTTCGAAAGTCGTAGTGACCATGCATCTTTAAATACATATATTCTGCTGTGGTCCATCGGATCCATTAGTCCCAATCGGGAATATAAACCCCTAGATGTTATCGGCATCATTCAGAGCGTATCTCCTGATTGTTGCCGCTACTCCGCATGCAAGCAATGTATTCCCCGGATCCTTACACAGCCAATAAGACCAAACAGAATGTGTCTGTCTTGAAGAGCTCCGTGAGTGATAGCAATTGATACGGTCCCGAGACATGCATCGGTATAGGTTATCATGATGACGGCTGCGAGAAACACGTTAGCTTCTCTTTGGACCGAGTGCTATCGTTACAATGCCGTTCGCTTTGACATGCATCGGATGAGCTATCCGAGATGGTGGTTTAGCCTTCGGTACACACCCGATCCCTGCTCTCATTGCCTTTTCCTTTTTCGGACTAGTGACATGGGGTGGAAGAACTCACCATGAATGCCCTGAACAACTGATTCCCCCTTCTTGGGCTACATCGGTATCTAATGGAGCTTCCCTATATTCAGATAAACCCCGCACATGCTCAACAAAACAAAATTGTCAGAGAGCCCCGGTCCTCTCGCCCTCCTTTTACGTATAGTATCGGATATAGGGAAGCGAGCGGACATGGGGCTTAGCAGTGTACCTACGTATGGATACCAGAAATTCGCGAAGGCGTGATTTGTACTGAAAGAAATCCTATGGTAAAAACTGGCTAAGAAGACAGCGAGTGCTCACACACATTGCAATTTACAAACCAACGAACAGAGTCCTGGCCCATTCATTCAACACCCGCTCATCGAACTCGATATCCTTTCCTTGTGGACGATTCGCAGAACGACAAAACACTTTCTCGAACTCGAGAACCAATGGAGCACCGGTAATGACAGCCGGGATGGTGCTTTAATCGATGCTGATTTCCGCTGAACGCAATACGTTGAAGCGCAAGCTGGTGGACTGGGTACCAGAGATCCATTCCTCGATGGGAACCCTCTTGTTTGCGGGTTCAATTCAGATGAGAAGGACGATATTAATCTGTCCCTGAGAGTGCTCGAGCAACCACCTAGCATCCGCTTGCAAACATGCCAGACACTCACCCTCATAGCCGGCACCAGAGCAAGATGCACCAGCTTGAATAACAAGGCCAGGCCAATCCGCCGCACCAGATCTGACATTCAAATTAGTCCATCCAGGGTCTCCTTCTTTAGATGAGGAGCCCTGTCCGATAGTCGTCGAAGCTCCAATCGGCATGAACTCGTCATAGTCCATTCCCATGTTGGAAATGGCTTTGACGGAAATTCCGGTTCCGAAGCTTCTGTGCGCTTTCTCGGATGCTGTGATGGTGAGTTTTATGACTAAGTAAGGTCTGAATATCTGGGAAGTGTATCTGGAGTGATTCTCTCTGCTCTCTTCGATTTTATGGAAATCTTCGGGGCTGACATTGCAGAAAGAGAGATACTGGTCTTCTTCATATTGATCCAATCTGATGACTTTCTGCGAGACGAGGCGCTTCAGCTCTTTGATGGATTTGAACAAGTGGCGAGAATTCTTTGGCCAAAGCTAGCTCGAAGACGGCGATATTAGAGGCATGTTGGTAGTTGATGAGGTGTCACGGGTTTTGACTTCACTTTCATTCTTATATATGCTGAAGAATAGGCAGAAAAGGTGGCGTCAAGTAGGCTTTCATTGTTAGGGCATAGTAATGTGTTTGCCTTGGGGGCTTCCCAAAGTTTCCGATTTGAAATGCTTATATCAGGAGCAACGATATGGGATGGTTGATGCCACCTTGACGGAAGCGATGGCCCGAGTCCATTATAAATGGCGCAAGGCATCAGAATCCGCTTCAAAGTCAGTCAACCTCGACTAACAATAGACAAATGCTAATTATACGTGAGAAAACTATACAAGTCTATCAGTTTCAAGATCTCACACTCACCGGGTTCTATATTTAAGCACACTCCGCAGCTTGCAACAACACTTCAGCCTCCCTCGCCGGATACGAATTCCAAGCAAATGAAAACATATTCTCCGGAACCTCCGCATCAGGCACATACTTCTTCAACTCATCTGCCATCTCACCCCGCCGCCCGTCGTCCATCCTGGACAGGATCATCACCGTCAGCGAACGTGTATAGCGGACTTGGTTGTACATTTCGAGTCGTTGGTGGAGCTGCTCTGTCGTTGTGTTTGCTGGGAGGACGGCGGCTAGTGCTGCTCCATCTTCGAAAGATTGGGCGCCGCCTTGGCCTTGGTCTGGTTCGGTTAACGATTAGAAACAGTGTGAAGTAGATAGCGATAGAGGAGTGACTCACGAGGGAGGGTAGGATGCGCTGCATCACCAATTAGGACCAGCTTGTCCTTGAAGAAGATGTGAGGGGGCTTTCGAGACCCCAAACTCCACAGCTTAATATCCTCAGCCATTCTGCACATCTCCAGCAACTCCGGCCCAAATCCTTCAAAGACCTTCAGCAACTGGTCCAAACTTCCCCCATCCAACCACGACGATTGTCTTACCCTAGTAGTACCCTGAGAACCTGACGGATGGATAGCAGCCACATTGAGTAGAGTTCCACCACGGCAGGGGTAAACCGCGAGCTTGCGGTCATACGACGTGAATGCATGCATTCCGTCAAGTCTGATCCGCTCTATAAAAGATGCGGTAATGGGATTCGCCATCATTTTGGATACAGGGACTAAGAATCGGAAGCAGTCCTGGCCGGTGGATTCTTGTTGGTCTTCGCTGGTTATTGCGCGTACAGTTCGGGACTAGCATTGTCAGCGAGCAGGCCTGCATGGTGTTAAATGCAGAGACTTACGTGAATACCATCCGCACCGATAATCAAGTCGCCAGTATACTTAGTTCCATCCTCACACAGGACCACTCCAGCCTCCGCATCCTGTAGGTTTTAGTGTGAGCGTCTTTTTTATAGCATTTTGCGGAAAAGAGTTTACTCACCACGGATGCCACGCGCGATGACAACCGGATAAGAGGCTTCTTTCCATTGACTTCCTTCGCAGCAGCAGCCCTCAGCGTATTATGCAAATCCACACGATGTGTAAGAAGCCATTCATCGGAGATATTCAGGGCTTCTTGGAGCTCTTTCGTCACCTGTCACCACACCGGTCAATTAATCTACTGTCAAAGCATGTAATTACTTGGTACAGTAAAAACAAGACATACCAATTCAAATCGAATTTGGCTCCCCGCTTCATTCCACACTTGAAGTTGGTTGCATGGAGCTGGCTGTAAGCTGTCGAAATCGCATTCCCAGTCCTTCAAGATGCGGGTCGCATTCGGCGCCAAATGAATCGCTGCGCCTACTTCACTGAGGAAGCCGGATTGTTCAATGGCCTATTATATCTGTTAGACAATCTACTACCGCAGAATAGAAGACATACGGGATACCTCAACATCATGCCCCTGTCGATTCAGGGCGATGGCAACGCCCAGACCGGCCAGACCGGCGCCAACGATGACAATTTTTAATGGCATATTGGAGAGTCGAGTGATATACAGAAGCTGAAGTCTATAATTAATGTATAAGCTTTTCGCGGTCGTCTATTCCTCTTTATATGAATGTCGCGGGATGCCGCCCGGACTCGGAGCTCGAAAATGCCGAAGTCTTTTTGGGGTCGGAGATAAAGATCTTCTCGGGATATTTTCCAAAAATGGTAACTAGGGCTTCACGCGAAGTATTCTGTGGTAAATGCGGTTTTATGGAGACCGGAAAAGATAATGGAGAGAAGATTTAGAAATTGTACAAATTGCCTGGCACTACGGGGCTACCAATCAGTCCAGCCCCAACTGGTAGCTTTGTTCCAAGACCAGAACCAACACCCATTATTCGAGTGCGCGTTCGCTATGATCTCGTGAACAGACTCGCGAGGATCATTAGGATTATAGGCAGGACTAGACTCGTTTATGGGGTGGTTCTCGGCCTGAAATGGCGGCAGATCATTCCTTCTCCTTCCTTTGCTTCTCCGGTCGGATTTCAAAAGGCACAATGTGCGCTGACCCTTACGCCGGCCTTTTTTTCGAACAAATCAATAGCGCCTGTCCCAGATCGTCATACTTCCTCACCATCACGGGGAGCTCAAAATCGGTTCCAGGTGGTGGGTGAACGTCATAACGTCGACGCATTTTGAACACTTGGTCTTGTTTCTTGTAGTTCTCCCGAACGGCTTTCTCCCCAGGGAGAAAGTGCATGTCAAGCCGGAACATCGGTCTATCATCCTTTTGCGACTTAAGTTCCTGGAGTAAGCCGCTCATATCCGTGTTCTCCGGAGTGGCTATGGCATGCGTGAAATAGATGAAAAAGGCAAAAAGCGGTGGTAGTGGAACGGTCTTAAGATTTGAAAAGACCATATAGGCAGTCTTCCCCGTGTGGTCTATGAATGGGAGTTTGTGAACCTTGAACTTCCCCTGAACGTGAGGAGCATAATAAGCCTGGCTATCCTCGCAACCATCCCAGAAAAAGCATGAACAAAGAGCCCGTCAGATACGAGCCAAAGCCGGTATAAAGCCAACACCGAAATTAGAAACACAATCGCCCATGGCGCACGCATCAAGGCCAAATCAAAAGTCTCCCTTTTACAGGCCTTTGTTTCATGACATTGACAGGTATCTATCATCACCAAAATTGGCACTAGCCTTCCTAGAAGAGGAGGCGCCGGTAAGGTGCTGGTGATCATTCAGTTAACTGTGGATGTTCGTGCCTCAGTGTTAGCATTCTTTGCACATACGGAACGCCAATATACATCAAGAGGCGACACAAGTGGTCCTATAATTCTATTGATGAGACCCTTGCAAGATGGCAATGCCTATTCGAACCCTATCCGTTGACGAAAATTACGACGGTGGAATTGTGCACCTGTTTCGTTGTACTTCTTGTTGGTTGCCATCCGACAGATATATCTTTATTCCGCATATCCATCAAACTATTGACTATAATCAAACTGTGAAGAAGGAAAATATTATGTTTCCATTGCTCCCATACTATGCAAACTCCCTAATTACCCTATCCTAACCATTATACCACTGTAAAAGTAACGCCATAAAATATCACCAATAAACAAACCATCAAAACTGTCCTGCTCACTTCCGTGTCCTATCCATCTCGAATCATAATATCCCTGGCCATATCTCATTAATATATTATCATTGTAAAACCGTTTTCGAACGCCGTGTAGCTGTAACCCCGAAAACTCCGATCCCCAACCTAACTCCAGTCCTGTGACATGCATGCATAATCCTGTCTTTTTTTCTTTTTCTTTTTCTGTGTTTGGTTGAAATGAGACTCCTTAAAAATCATGCAAATGCAGATGCAAATAGAATACAATGCACAATGCAAATCCTAACACCGGAAAGAAAATCCCATCACTGTCCCCACCCCTCCCCAGGCGCACTCCCACTTCGTCCCCGTCTCGCGGGCACACCCCTCGGAAGACCCATATCAACCGGCTGGGGATGCGGGATCATCGGTGTAGACAGATTCGGATGATACAACTGGTACGTCGCGATGTTTGCCGGCGACGCGAACGGGAACGGAGCCGGGGCCGGAACCGAAGAATGACCGTACAACCGATGTCTAGCTCCCGAAAGATCCACAGGCTGGCCACCGAAATACATCCTCGGTGCAGGCGCGGGTGCGGGTGCGGGTTCAAGCGGTAGTGGTGGTGGTGGTGGTGGTGGTGGCGGAGACGCGTAGGCGGAATCAGGGTGAAGAGCTGCGCTGGGTGCTGGCTGCGGTGGTAGTTCACTGATCCAGCTGCCCATTCCGGAGACTGCTGGATGCTCGGGGACCATTTGGGGGAATGGGCTGATGGGCATTGGCGCTGCTGTCGTTCCAGCATTTGGCTGGATGTGAGGGACCACAGGTGGAGGGTAGAGAACTGGATCCGTCGTCCAGGATTGGCGAGAGTTCGCTGATGGTCCTCGCGACATTGGTTCAGCAGCGGCTGGGATTGGATCGGTGGCGTTGGCGTTGGCGTGATAGCCCGGCATGTTCATGTCGGTCATTGAGGGTGGAGAGGAACCTGGCATAAACGCAGACGGATGATGAACGGACATCAAATGCGTAGCTGATTGTCCAACAAGACCCGATCGAGATTGCCCGCTCATGCGTCGGGACTCCCTGATATCCTGGTTGCCTTCAATATGCATCGACTGGTTTCCATAAGCGAAGATGGATGAAACGCTTCCAGACAAGTCGCCAGCCGGCTCATGGGGTCTCAGTGTTGTAGAAGCATGAAGTTGTTGATACTGAGCCTCTTTCATCTCCAAAGATTCGAAATGTTGCGCAATTAGGTCAGCACCAGCCTCACTAGACAAAGAGTGACTCATCCGCTCCGGTCTCAAATCCGGGGAGAATGGTGCGATATGGCTGCTTCGACTGACCAAGGACTCTGCGGACGATCTGGCAGGCGCCCTCGAGGCAGGGCGTCCGGCAGGAGGTGAATATGGTCGACGCTTCGCCGCGTGAATGAGCTCGTTTGTGCGCCTCGATGCCGTGACAGTCGCATAGGTTGGTATGTTCTCTTCTCCCGATGGAGAAGTAACAGCCAAGTCCACATTGCTATCACGAGACGACGGTGGTGTTCCATGATGAACAGCCGCAAGCGCTTCAACTGCTGAGCCTTGCGAGCCTCTTCGGCCCCTGTCCAAGTTGCTGCCGGGCACATTATGTCCATGTACCTGGAAGACCCTGAGGACGGGCGCAGCAGGCCTAGGCCTACGTGCCTCCCGGACCATCTGCGAAAGCGGCGTACCTCGCTTTGGCTTCCTCACATTGACTTCACTCTCATCATCGGCCTCCTGGTCACGACTGGGTTCTCGGAAGATATGCGGCGGGAATAGCTCCAAATTAATGATCTCCTGTGGCGACTCCACATGATCGAGTTTGATGTCACCCAGATTCAGCGTTGGCTCCGGCGAATTCTCTTCGTTCGAAGAAGAGTCAGGCAATGATGAAGACGAGCTACTCGTGCGATCAAAAACGGACTTGAGCTTTGGCGGTGCTACTTGGGTCGAGCTGCGTGAGAGGCGTCGAAGCTCGCCGCGGATATTCCCCATGGTCCGGGTCAGGTCTTCGTGAGCTTGACGCACAGTTACTGGCGCCTTGGAAATCTTCCTGGTTTTTTTGGGGTAGTGATCCAGCAAGCGTGATCCATGCGTCTCATATTCCCGGTAGTCTTTGACCATGCCGCCATAATCAATGGCGCCCATTCTGGTTTTTGCCTTTTCGTACGAGGCACAAAACATGCTCGTGGTGACGACAAGCCACGAGTCGTAGAATCCCGTAGAGCCAGGCCCTAAACTTGCGATGCTAGCCATTAGCGGCTGGCTTGCCTGCTCCTTATCCATGATCTTAAGCTCATCTCGGCAGAAACCCTGCACAACGCTGTGGATTCTAATGACGTCAATAGCACCGGGTCCCGGACTTGTCTCAGAGTACGAATCTCTAGAAGCATCCTCATTGCTGTCAGTTTGTGACTCTGACAACGCCGGTGTCTGCACGCTCGATTCGAGTGTCTCGTCCCCATCCGATTGCGATGCAAAGCTCTGCTGTTGCTTGGGTGAATTGGCAGTCCTTTCCAGGAGTCCATACCGGATCAGAGTTCCCAGTGTGGCATCAATCTCCGGGCGATCTCCAGGTCTACTGCTGGTCATGACCTCGACATCCCAGGATTCCAGAGCTCCTCGTCCCATGTTAATTAATCCGACTGGGACCTGGTGACCAAGGAATGCCAATAAGTTGATGAGGTTCAACGCGGCAAAGTGCTCCATACGATAGAGATCGTGCATGATGCTCAGAAAAGGTTCCGCAAGTTTTTCGTCTGTCAAGTGTGAGTTTATATGGTAGTTAACGATTGGTTTTCCCGTCGCACTGAGGCGATGGCCGATCGCATGTATTGCCAAAGGGAGACATTCGTAGTGTTTGACCAGAGCGATCGCTTTCTTTTTTTGGGAGCGGTCCGCATTCTTGACACCAATATCTTTGAAGAGAAGCTTGCAAGCATCTTCCTCCTCAAGGGGTGGAACTGTCAGGCAGTATGGTTCGAAAAGGCGCTGCTTCCTTGCGAGCGTTCTGTCAATAGAGGTATAGATGATATTTGACCTTGGCCTAAAGGGGAGGATCTGTTTGAAATGGTTCAAATCCTCATCCTGATCGAAAGTAATGCCATCGAAGATCAAAAGCCATTCCTCCCGAGCCTGAAACCAATCACGAACTTCGAATACAAATTGCTGCGGTGTTGTCGCCTCTGACTCTTCGAATTGTTGGTCATCTGGCGCCAGGGAGGCCGCTTGAGCAATCTCCCAGTAGGATTTATAAGTTGACTGGCGTGATTTGGCGTCCACCCAGAAGATGCCGCCAGGGTAACATTTGCGTTGGTCCCAGATATACTGTCGTGCTAAATGTGTTTTTCCGGAACCAGGTACTCCGTGTATAAGAACCGCAGTGAGACGATCAACGCGTTTCCTGGCCTTGTGTAGACGATCATCCATCAAACGAAGTTCCTTTTCCATGCCATAAAAGGTCGCATTTGGATGAAACCCTGGCGGTACTATGAAGAAAGGCTCACTTGGGGCTGGAAGCTCGACGCTAGAAGCAGGATCTGGCGCAGAAGCACTCGCTCCTCCTGGGGGGGGCACATAGACCACTACAGGTTGCGCCACTGGGGATGCGTGGGAGATAGGGCGCACGTCTGGAAAATCGGGATGAGCGATGAGACCACTACCTAAGAAGAAAAGGAAGTCAGCAATGGTCTGACTGTATAAAAACTATGTTGATCTCATCAAATGCAGCAAAGCAAACACATAATACATTGTTTATAAAACAGGATATCATCGCTCAAGACAGATTGAAGACAGTTTTTTTTTTTTTTT